GCCGGGATTTGAACCCGGGACTTAAATTTATTAGTTGATACATTCGCGGATGTTGTTGGGTCGATTGGACTCACCCTGGCACACTTTACTTTTCGTATTTGGGAAGAAACCCGAAGCGCCAATCATACGACTAGACCACTGAGCCATTAGTACCCCAAGACGCGTACTGATTGTGGAGGATCCGCCCCCGTATTCTCATCTATATCACTGGACGGTCTCCTGCGATAGTCTTGGAATTGTCCCTGATGACCATTCTGATGAGTAAGTAGCTGTGAGTGATGGAAGCTTGGCCTATGATAAGGACGTTTCTTGAGATATCCCTTAGATTTGACTCGAACGGTGTTTTTACACTGAACAAACCGCCAGAGGCTCGAATGCTGCATGCACAATCCATGCCGAAGAAGCAACCGACAACAGCCCCATTGACAGTCAGACTTGAAGCGACAGTATTGTCCTCTGACGCCGGTAAGCCATGATCTAGAACTCCTATACGATATCTCTGATCCCCGCCTGTCTACCCCCAGCCCCAACCGATGATCGATAGCCGCGTTGTCCTCCTGGCGATGAGTTACTGCCGCGCTCCAAGAGAGCTTGAGAGTCCCGTGGCTTCTTGAGAGTCTCGTCGAGCTCGGCTCGGGTTGCCGAAGAGTCCAGCTCTGCCTTGGTCACGTACAGTTGTCGTCCCGTATAATCCTGGAGCTCTGCTTTGCCTTGTAGTCGCGAGAGCCGCTCTCCTCTGTACGCACGTCGCCTTGTGCACTTTTGACCTGTCGCTTTCTGCGGTATCGCCTCAACAAGGAGAAGCCCAGGCAGAGGAGGAGTACAACGCCAAGGGAACCGCCCACAGCGGCACTGATCTGCACACTTCTCGACGCGGTTGGTACCGTGCCATGATCGGTCCCGTTCGTGGATGTTGACAACGTCGTTACGGATGTGTTTGCGCTTTCCGACCCCGAACTTGTACGCAACTGTAAATCTGTCTGTAGCTTTTGGCCTCCAAGAAATATCGGTGTCATGAAGGCAGTCAATGTTTGAGGAGAGTCTTGGTCCCAGAACATGGAATACTCTTCAGCAACTGGCGGAGGCAAGGAAGATGTTATGGCCGGATCCACCCTCGGGCCAAATGTTATCGTGTACGTGGGGTACAGACTGTGACTGTCGCTATAATCTGTGACTATTACGGTTCCCTCTGTTGAAGTCTTCTGACGTATACCAGAAGTGCCGTTTTGTACAAAGGCAAGGCCACTGTGCGCCTCCCATTAGTCGGTCTTGATGATACCAGCATGCCTGAGAAACGTACCTCGGACAGCAAAAGACGCCATTGTACAATTCCAGGCTAGTAGCCGTTGTCATGCCCATCGGACAGAACAAGCCTGGCGAATACGTGTATACCTGCCATGATACTATCCTATCTGGGAACATGGTATTGGTGCTCGAAGCCGACCCTGGGAAGCAAGAACCCGTGCTGGACGAATTCCTAGATCCAATCACTTGCGATGGGAAGTAACTAACCGAAAAAATGCCATCTTGGCAGTCCCAAAGGTACGCGGATGAGCATTCAGGTGCTGGCGTGAAAACGGTCGTGAGTGGCAAGTACGGAGCTGACCCCGTTGTGGTTGTCATGGTTATAGAGTTGATTTACGTTGCCTAAAAAAGAAGGGAAAAAGACAGCGGCTCCAATCGGTCACCTATCGAGAGGTAAGTTTCTTTATATGAAAGCCTGCACCACAAACTACAAAGCAAGAGTATTCACGCAGTCTTGAGGACTTATAATGTCAATCCTGGCCAGCATGGAAGGATCTCACAAGGCATCCCCAAACACTGTCGACAGCCTGCATAATCGAAGAACATCCAGCCAACCATAGAGGCAGCCATTTGGAGACAGTTCCATTCGTACGACACCTCGCTGCAGGCTTGGGTTTTAAATATGCAATGCTGCAGTGTGCCTGTGTTAACATCGGGACTGGATATGACCTCAGATTGCAACGCCAGCCGCACCAGCCCTTAGGTATTGGCCAAAAACTCCAGTGCACCGCGCCACAGGAGAACATATTGGAGTCATATACCACGATAACGCTGGACATGATAGGCAAGCAGGAAGAGCCCCCACCGTGCTTCCCTCCTCGCCCCCATAGCATAAACACGACCTCCGTGCTACATACTGATGCAAGAACCCCAGAAATATCTGACTCGGAGGTCGTATCTGCCACAGTCTACTCAAACAGCTTCTCCTGATCTGGACTGTGACAGTACCGTCCAGAGCGATGCTTGCAGCTAAGCTTGACACAGTTACATCACTGCAGGGCAAGAACCTGATGACCGCCGCGGGTGTCTGCCAGCTCCTGGCTGAAGAATACGGCCGCATTTGAAACGTTCCAATGTTTGGGAAGTGGAAGCCGAGCCTGTTGGAGTCCAGAGCTCGGACCAACGTCTCTCAGCTGCATTCGCGGTCGGTTTCAAGACGGTACGACGTGGCATCACAATGAGTATAATGACATTAGAGCAATCATGCTGTTCGGCGCCGAGTGATCCCTATCGGAATCCAACCACGGGAAGCAGAACTGCCGAATGCAACGCCAACTACCCTGGTAGGTCCTGGGAAAACAAGGGGCTCAAGTTTGAATTGATATGAGATCAACAGTGGCTACCTTCAATCTGAAGTTAACCATGAAGGGGTCAAACACAAGGTGCAGGCGAGGAAGGAGATGCAGTGAGCGAGGAGAACGAAGAATAACATGATGAGGATGCTGAAGCACCAGAAGCCCCAGTCGAACCGAACAGTGATGACAACGATGTGGAAAAAGTCGGAGTGGGAGATGGTACTGACGAGGAAGGGGTTGCTGTGGTCCCATTGGGTGACCAGGTTGTTTGTTTGTTTGTTTTGTATTTAACGTGGGGGATTGCTCCTCAGTAGTGCAAACCACGCCTCCCAGAGCCTCTGCATCGCAGGGTTGTGGAGGTATCAAGATAATAAGTACAGTCAGTCCCGCTCACGAGCCCATCCCCGTTGTTGCGGCGGTATGACCTTGGGTCATCCATCTGGTCCTTCAAGACCAGGTTGAAGCTGCGAACGGCCGCAGTGCAGGTGAAGGAACCGAGGACGAAGCTGAATCAACAGGCTCAAAGCGCAACCGACCAGCCGGTTCACAAGCCCACGACGACAAGAAGCAGCACGAGAACGCCGCATCTAGGAAGCTCGAACAAGACGACTGGTTAGATTCGAGCCTACGAGAGGTTGACCCCATCGCAATTCATGCGTGTCCCTTTATTTACCACTGCCGAAGAGCACGGCCTTCACAATGTCCATAGGGTCATCCGAAGGAGCATCGTCCTTAATGAGCTCCCACACCCCGTCGATCTTCTGCTCAACCTCAGCACTCAAAGGGCCCTTGTTGATACCCGCCATCACCCCGTCCAGCTGGGCATCGTTATTAGCCCCAATGATCACCCCATCGCCGAGTTCGCCTCGAAGCACCGAGTTGTGAACGACCCATCTCAAAGCCAGTTCCAGCCCCGATACCCCTTCCTCCGCTGCTATCTTTCCCCATCGCTCAAGCCCCTTGAGCATGGTGGGCGGCTTGACATACATGTCGTTATACATGCCGCCAGGCTGGGAGTTGGGATCCCATCGGCCCGTCCCCGCACCGCCCGCCAGGTCCTCGGGGCGCTTGGCGAACCAGCCTCCTGCGATGGGGCTGTAGGCGTAGAAAGCGATGTTGTGCTTGCGCAGGACTGGGAAGAGACTCGTCTCCCAGCGCCGCGTGACGGCGTTGTAGCAGCCTTGGTATACGGATGGCGCGACGAAACCACGCTCTTTGGCGATGCGGACTGCGTCTTCGACAATGGACATTTTGGAGTTGCACAGGCCGAACCGTCGGAACGCCCCGGCTCTGTATAGCTCGTCGACTCCTGCGAGTGTCTCTTCAAGGGGGATCCTTGCGTCCGGCACGTCTGCCGTGGTTGGGAACAATCAGCATTGATTCAAATTCGTCTCTGCCTCTGGGACAGGACTCCGCAGGGGCTAGGAATGTTGCTTACGGATATAGTACACGTCGACCTGGGTAGAACTCGTTAGCATGACAGGGAAAAGAAGATGCGGGAAAATCGCGTTATTCAAGCTCGTCAAGTTTCCTCGTCACTTACACTCGTTGTCCTGAGTGTCTCGAAGCTCTCCTTGCCATTCGCGACAACGACATCCCGGGTAGATGGACTCGGGCTCATGCCCCCAAGACATTTGGTGTCAACCGTGAAGCGGGCCGTCGCATTGGCCGTTCCGAGTACCTGCTCGCTGTTGCCGTACGCTTTTGAAGTGTCAATGGTAGTGATACCGTGCCTCTCGAGCGAATCGAATGTTCCGGCGATATGTCCTGGGTTGGAGAAGCCTTCCCCAGGCATTGCGAACACTAAGCCACCGAATACGATCTTCGCGGGAGCGTGTGCCATTGTGGACGTTGTTGTTGCTGTTGTTGTTGGAGTTTCTTAATCTCTTGGATGGTTCTTGAACATCTCATTGTCAAGCCGATTGTCAAGCGGCACGAACCATTATTTTTTCGCAGCTGGGTAGCACTATACCCTGGTCCCCTTGGTGGATTACAAACCCAAAGGGTTCGACCATGCGCCGCCCTACTGCATTAATTCTAGCGAACGTCTCGCCTAAGCGAAAACCAAGGCCTCGATATTAGCATTGCTTCATGGGTGATGCCGACCTGATGCTGACAAATTAGCTGATTTGTCAGTCGAGGGCGGTTTGCACATTGCACGACACCATGATCTGGACACCGCATTGAAGGTTCAAGACTATCAAGCTCCCCGGGCAATATCCCCTATATATATAGCTGAAGGCTCATAGAGCACATGGCCCAACCTCGACAAGCCTCGGAATAGATATAAAAAGTTACGATACTAATGTTCGCGGCGAGAGAAATGGGACAAACGGAATGCTATAACTTACTCAACCAGGCAGCTCGAGTGCTGCTGGACCATGGTGCATCCTTGCCACCTCACATCAACCGAAAATCTTGCGTTTTGTCTGTGAGCTCATCGGCGCTGATACTCTCCATAGCCTGACCATCCATCTTGCCATAAACAAAAGCCTCGCCAACGAACTCGTAGTAGTCAAGTTTCTCTCCAGCATAGGGCTTGCGGCTCTTCTTCCCCTGGTTCGGCTCCAAGTCGACTGACACCAAAGGGCGGAGGATGCATGGCACGCTGCAGCCAAAAAGAATGCACACCAGATCGTCCTTTTCTGTCAGAGGAGGCCCAATGCCGACGAGCGCATCCTCGTGCACGTCGTGTCCGGCCGCGCCCTCGAGCACGACGCGGTTCCATATCACGGCTTGTACTCGCTTGATGTAGTCGTGCATGATACCCGATGGGTTTTGTTCGAGAATGTCTTTTGTAGCGATATGCCCGTTTGGCGTGTCGTGTACGAGGCTGCGAAGACAGGCTCGATGATACCAGCTGGGTGGCGGTTTGCCGTCTGGGCCGCGATCCGCGACCAAGGTCCTCCAGACTTTGTCGGGACAGAGTATATTTCTTCCACCTCCTCATCGCGCGACCACCCCAGCCTCTTCACGGCGCCGTGGGGGATGATGCCATCGGGAATAGGATCAGTTTTCCAACATACAGTACTGATAACGAAGCCTTTGACGTAGATAGATGGATCCCTATTGAGCAGATTCTGACGCTCCTCGACGGGGGTCATTGGCCGAGCGACTGGTCGTATTCTCGTGGCAGAATCTTCACCATTAGTGGACATATGCGAGTTGGTGGCTCATGGGCCTGGCTGCATCGCCTGTGACTCATTCGATGGCGAGTTGTCTCGACTGTGAGTAGGATTTGTGGCGGTACGCTGCGTTCCTTCATCGATGCCATTGAGCAAGGATGAACCGGGGACACCTTCTGATTCCGGGACCATGCCAAAACGAACCACTGGCTCCTTGCTGCGCGAGGCATTGTAGCATCTGGCGTTGGGTAGACCGACAAAACTGTCACCATTCTTCCGCCCGTTAAACCCCAACTCCCCCCCCCCTGCTTTCCGAAGGGCGACTCGGGCACCGTCTTGATCCATGACGGGAGCTCGACCAGCTGATCGTACATGACCGTCTTGGTCTTTCTTTCAGTCAAAGCCCATTGGCGGCAGATGATGTCCAGAGACTTGCTGCTCGCAATTACATACCGGACGAAGTCTGTGTAGACTACCAGGAGGTCCTTCGTGTGAACGGGCGTCGGCGGCGGAACTTCCATCTCAGCCGGTGAGATCCTCGAAGCGGACTCGGAATAGGTATCCCTAGCAATGTTCACAAAGGCGTAGATGGTGTCTCGGGGGTCGGTCGTCTCAAAGGTTGACAACGTCGACACCAGAGCCTCTAGAGTCTTCGTCGACTCGAAGAGGCTCTGGTCAGCAGCTTTGAGGAAGGTGTTGCTCAGCTCGTCCACCAGTATCTTGGCGCCAAGCGGCCGCAGCTCGGTGATTGCGTTATAGTCTTTGGACCTGTCATCGAAGAGTCTGCGAGTCTTCTGGGAGTTCAGATCGAAGAGACTGATTGCGTCGGAGAAGTCCCTCCAGTCCACTTTTTTGGAGACTGGGTGATCTGGTCTTTACATTGCATGGTCCGTCTGTAGCCTGTGATCGAGACCCCGCGAGCCCACCAACGCCGCCTCTACAAGATAGAGTTGCACCGGCGGAACGCCGTAATAAGAGAGTTTGTCCAGGGGGAGAGACAACAGGAGAAAGAAGAGCGCATCAAGAAGATGACGGAGCTCAGCGCCAAGCTCATGGCCGGGGCTCGAGGAGATGGCGCAAGACTGGACTGGCGTGCAAAGCGGGCGCTCATGGGCGCTTTCATGGTTCGATGGGGGGCCGCTATAGCTGCCGCGGGCCACGAGGAAAGCAGTGAGGATGACGGGTTGAGGGGTGTGCGCAGGGTATTGACATACGATTGAAACCACCCTGTCGCTCTACCTCACCAATAGCCTTGATCCCAGGCTCGGAGGGTGGCGTGCGTTGCGCTCTTGCCGTTGGTCAGCTTGAACACAGTACTTGCGCGGACGAGAATGAGCTTGAGGCTAACATTACGGGTTCGTGCGGGTGTATTGAGAGGTATGCTTGGTGCGACCAGATCAACAATCTATATATGTGGCTATACCCGATTTCTTACTTTTAGCGAAAAGGGTTTCGAGTTCTATGACATGCGCTTTTCTGTCAACCCCGTATTGCACCTAATTGTGAGTTCTGGCTCCGTGTTTCGTTGCCAGACAGTGAGAAAGTAACATGTGCCAGAAGATAGGGAGTTGGCTAGGCGAAGAGACATATTTTTTTAACGGACACAGTCGAACGCAGTCAAGCCTGGCCCTATAGCCTTTCACCAAGGACGAAGAGCGGACTCTGACCGGTTTGATGCTTCTTGCCAGGGAGTGTGACTGAAAAGTTCTACGTCTTCAGCCTCCCTCTCACCTATCTCCTCGAGCTTTTCCTCTCGTGCGAGTTGCTGGGCTGTGTGTTCCGGGATTTGCACGGACGCGGCGAAAGCGATGGGACCCTGTACAAGGACAGGCTGCGTCAAGGAGCGAAGTATCAGAAGAACGCAAAGCAGAGTCCGCAGTTCATCGGAGAAACCAGACAGCGGTTCCCCTTCCCAAAGCCGGATCCAACGATTTGGAAATAGCCCACACGCTTGATGTAAACGTTCTTCAGGTGTGTATGTCCTAGAGGTAGGCGACATCGGTAAGTTTTGCAAATGAACAGACGTCTCTGGGGGTTAGATTTGTGTCCACCGCTCCGCACCCTAGAGATCGCAGAGCCGTGGTGAACTTTCGAGGATCGTTGCGAGTTCCTTTGGCAGTGAGCGTAGAGAGCGCTCTGTGTTGTTGATCCCCTCGAGATTCAATCCTTACAGGCCAGTAAAGACTGAAATGTCTTTGATCATATAGAACCCGTATTTCTCATGGTCGCCGGAGCGCTCCTCGGGTGGATACGCGATGTGTATTGACCTGATCTTCCCGCATGACCGATGTAGTGTGGCGATTGTCTCCTTTAACGATGGGACTCCAAGCCAGCTTAATTGCATTGAATCAGTCTTGAGCTTGGTCGAGACGAGTAAGAATAGTTTGTCTTACCTGAATACTTCCAAGTTCGGCGTTTTCACCAACAAGTTTTGAATCAGTCCATTGTTACCGGGTGTCTTGTCAATCTACTATCGTCTCTCTCTATCAAGAATTCCGTGGTGTAGACACAATTCTTGTTGCTGGTAAGCTTGTAGAGTTCATAGTCGTCCTAGTTGCGAGTTTCGCGATACAGAAAACGGGAGAACTCGTCGTTGAATTGCCTGTTGATGAGACAGAGGTTGTACAATGACCTCTCATTTCGGATCTGCTCACCCAGGCATCGCAAGGCAACGTTGTTTGCGTACTCCGCGGCGGAGGACGGCATATTGTCTGGTCGTGACTATGCCAAACCACACGCTGCGCTCCACCGGGAGAGAAGCAGAAGATGAGAGTGAAATTCAGCTCTAGGTATAGTCGGGCTGCTTACCATATTTGTGCCATATGAGGTGCAAACGGATTGCAAGGAGTATGGTGAGGGTGCATATGATTAGGTTCTACAGACCAGAAGGGTCCACTCGCACAACCTTCCTCTTACAACTACAAACTTTAGAGGTATTTTGGTCGCGCGATCGATTCGTTTTCGTTCCGCTTACTTTTTTTATTACAAAAGGAGCTCAGATTTATTTGTTAGGGTTCGTTTTTTATTCCATTTAATAGTTTTAAGGAAGCGCGAGTTCGCTAGTACGGCACCAAGCCATTCCACACAGTAAGAATAGCTCGCATACGGCCCATAAACGCGAGCTGATCTCGCGGACATGGGCAGCCGAGCACGAACCCGCTTCTAGCTTACGCCCTAATACCAGTTCATTACCGACCAATCAATACCCTAGAGTATGCTGTAGATGCAGCATACTCGAATAGGGTTCACTCCGCAGAGCTCCACTTACACTGTCATCCACTTTCTCCCCTGAACCTGGCGAGTTCAACGCTGTCACGATCCGTTTGGCTCGCTTCACGAGTTGACGACATGGAGATGTAATCATCCCACTGGTCACTGGTTGTGTGTGATAGCTTGCGCTGAGTGAACAATGTACAACTGGACATATGTTCCAACCCCGGGATACCCCAGAACCCAGCAAACTATCCGAAAGTCCTGCTTGATAGTGCTGAAGGCTTTTCTCATTATACTCGGGCCTCAGAACCCACATGCACAGTAGAATAAACCCTAATCCCATGCCTCGTAGTCACATCATCATCGCCGACGACGACGGAGCCCATATTGGACCCAACTCCTGCCCTGATGTCGGTGGTAAGCTCTACCTCGTCATCATTCCGAATTTTGCTATCACTCTCGTGGAGGCGACCCCAGGTTCTTCTTGGTGTGTCATAGGACCCGGAGCTGTTCTGCGTCAGTCCACTCGTTTTCTTTCGGGACGCGCCATCAGTCTTCCACCATCGCTGCAGGAGAGGAGCATATGTCGGAAGACAAGCGCAGAGAATACCGATGAAAGGTTCGCAGCAAGACCAGATGAAGACCTGCGCCATGGCCCAGGTGAAATCCTGGGCTTTGACAAGGCGGTTCATCATGACAATGCGGACCATGCTGGCAACGCAGACGCTGATCTGGGTTAGCAAGGAGGCCTGATCATTGACGGGATGCAGTATACTCACAACGACCCGAGCAGGAGAATCCCACAAACAATTAGCTTCTGACCCGGGGGCATCTGCAACTTGTAAACTGAGCCAGCATGTCAGCTCCAAGGTCAAGACCCAACGGCGAGGAGATCGACTGACTTGTAGGCATTGGCACAAGCAGGATGCATACGTCTATCAGCATGGCACATATGCCATTCACGAAATAGAATAACGAAGTGTCCATGCAGTATCCCTTAGCTGTAGGATCGGTGAACTGCTTCCAGAAGTAGGATGCTGGACGACAGCCTGACAGCCAAGCGATGGCGATTGAGATCCAGTACCCGCCGACAAGACCCATACAGATCTTGTATGCCCAGCTAGCCCCAAATATTCTTCGGTAAAACAAAAGAATGGAGGCCTTGGTGAGCGAAACACAGGTGGCGTATATCAGCACGAAAGCATAGGTTGTTTGCCACAGCTTGTTGAAATCGTCGAATGTTAGGGACCAGAGGTGTTTTCCGCCTCCGAAAGGGATGCTGGTGAGACAGAGAGCCACTGTAGCTAGGGCAAAGACCTGGATCAGTTAGTATCGAACTGGCGATTTTCGGATTATGAGCGCTTAGAAGGCTTACCAAAGCCGCCACAATGAAGAAATCGTCGACCGCAAGACCTGCGCCTGATCTGATGAGCCGCGCAGCAATGCGAGTTGCCACAGCTAGAGTACCCAAGACGCCCATGGAGACTGCCCAAGCGACAACGCTGGTGGTTTGACTGTCTTGTAGGTGAATACCCCCTGGGGCAGGTCCGAAGTCTCCTAGGGGAGCCATTGTTTGGGTCAAAGTAACGACGAAAGTGGCAGAGTGTCTGTCGAGGTTCAGTCCTTGTCTGAGAGAGATGGCAGAAGGTCCGTTTAACTACTGTCCGTCGGAATCAATCCTCTTCACAGTAGGAAGTCGTCGCGTGGTGCCTCTCATGTTCCCATCTCAATTGAATATCACATCCAGTGCCTGGGAAGACGTTCAGAGGGGAGTTGAATTGGCGCCCATGCACATTGGGCCGTGGTGCTGGGCTCCCGTATCTCGCGAGTCAAGCCAGTAATGACCACGGCGACGACAAGGTTCAAGCAAGGTTCAAGCCGTCTTTCTCTCCTGACTCATCACTCGCAACCCCCCTACACCCTGTATATCTGTGTCCTTATCTTCCCAATTGCATTTGGCACTCTTGGGGTGGTCGTTTAGGAAATAAGCTAAGCAGCTAAACTGGGTGGACAAAAGTCTCCGCCCGACCCACCACAATCTCCTTCAGATCAAAACAACGCGTCAATCACCCTTCGACTTCACCACTCTCTCAACACCGCAATTGATAATGGATTTACGATCTTTTGGGGACGAATTAAGCGGTAATCGCGTCGCTAACGGCGAATTTACTTCAGAAGCTCGCTTGGCAATCGTGGCGGCACGAATCGACAGCAGAACGCGTAGGGATGTTACAATCGCGTTTAAAACGAAGCGCCTGAAAACCATCTCCGATATTACCACCAACTTTGAGGCCACTTCTACACCGAAATCTGCCCCAAGGAGCGGTCGCCCACCTGTTTTGAATACTCGCGAACGCGCTCATGTGATCGAAAAGGCGAGAGAGCTCCCCAGGGCGACGTGGCAAAAGATTCGAAACGAAGCCTGCGTTTCGTGCTCTCCCAAGACTATCAAGAGGATATGTCACGCACACGGCCTCCAGAAATGGCACGCAGCGAAGCGAATCAAGCTCACAGATAAGGACGCTCAGAAGAGGCTCACTTTTGCCAATTATTATAGCACATCAGAGCGCCTGGAGGAATTATTGCGAGCTATGTTCTCAGATGAATGTACGGTCCAAAATTCATCCGATAATCCAGGCGATTGGGCCATCCGATTCTCTTCAGAGCGGTATCGTTATGATCTTGTGAATGAGACGGATCACGGCAAATCTCGTATTTCGATAATGGTGTGGTCTATGATCTGACTACGCGGCGGAGAAGGAGGACTAGGCAAGTTGGTCTTCTGCCCACTCGATCCGGATGCTCCGCGCGGAGGAGTATCCGCGGAGTCATACAAATGGGTTCTTGAGAAAGGCCTGTTTCCGTTCTATGAGGCTAGAGATCCTTTTGTTCAAGATAACGCGAAAATTCACCTCACTGGCGGTGTTCCGGAGTGGATGGAGGAGCACGGCATCCACTGTATCGACTGGCCTCCTCACAGCCCCGATATGAACCTAATCGAGCACGTTTGGCGACTTCTGAAAAAGAACATACGTGAAATCGAGCCTGAATTTTCTGAATTGAAGGATAATATCCCCCATTAACGCTACGCACACGAGTTAATTGAGCAGGCGTGGTCAGAGATCGATCCGGAGCAGGTTCGGGCCTTGATGGAGTCACTGGAGGACCGAATAGCTGCAGTGAGGCGCGCCGGTGGTTGGTATACACACTATTGACTTAGTTATTAAATACAATTTATTTGAGAATTCTATCACCAGAATTGGATGCGTTATGGTTCAATTGAGTTGGAGGGTATAGTAGATGGAAGGGGTAAAATTGGGGATCGGGCGGAGACTTTTGTCCACGCATTGTACCTCGGCATGTCGCATGAGAGCGAGGTTTTGAAAAACATCCCCCCCCTAAATGATGCCGGCCGCTATTCAGAAAACATATCGCATCGCCACGAAGCAGATCGTCTTCAATCCAACCAGAAGTGATGAGAAGCGGTGTGGTACAGATTCCAATCTCCCGCCTATATGGGCCCGGGCCCGCCAAGATGGTAAGATGTATTGGTGAGGTGGAACAGACGGACACCTTCCCCAATGCAAGCTATAATGCGACTTCGTTACCGTCTCTGTGGTTCAAGTTCGAGATGCCTGCCGGGCCTGCCACTTGAAACCTCGACGTTGCACCATCATCCACTTGAAGAGCTGGAGGATGGAGATATGCTATCTGACCCCCATTCAGCCCGCGAACCCCTCTCGTCTACCGAGAAGGGCCGGCCACGTTCTTTGCAACGTCACACGCCAACGGCGCTTCTTGCTTACCCTTCATTCGTTCAGCAAGTGTAGCAAACTACCGAGATGGAAATGGCTGGGGATGTTCATCAGGCCCACGTCGTCTCAGGGGGGACGAAACACCTTCCTCTATCGTCGCAAAGTGGAGCTGCGAGGCCGCGTCTTCTGCATTCTTGTCTCATTCCAACCCATGAGACACAACCAGATAGGGGTCCCCTTAAGTACCAGCACCTCTTATTGAACTCGATTCCGCGCAAGTTTGGCAAGCCACCCTTCCTCTAGACCAAGTACACAGATCCTGAGTCGTTCTTTGACACCATAGCAACCCCTCACGAGACATGGATAGTGCGACCAATGGTCATGCCCCCAACTGGGAGCCGCTGTTGGAGCAGCCGGCCTTTACCCCAACCAGAAAGATGCGCGTCGTCTGCATCGGCGCAGGGTTCTCAGGCTTGATGGTCGCGTACAAGATTCAACACGATCTGAAGCTGGAGGACGAGCTCGACCTTGCGATCTATGACCATAATTCTGATGTCGGAGGGACATGGTTTGAAAACACCTAGTAAGAGAACTCCTTGTCTGCCTCGTGCTGCCGTATGAGAGACTTTAAAGGTAGTCAGAAACAGACAGGGGGGCAAAACTGATACCTATCTCTGTAGTCCCGGTGCCGCATGTGATATTCCAGCACGTGAGTCGGCCTCCAATGTGTCATCCCCTGCTTAAGAGATCTGATGAGTCAAGATGGCTATATCTTCCCATTCGAGCCGAATCCGGACTGGAGTGGCTTCTACGTTGGCCAGCAAGAGATCCTCGCGTATATCAAGCGAACCACTGAGAAGTACGGCCTGAATAAAAACCTGCAGCTCAACACCAAGATCCTAGAAACCATCTGGGACGAAGACTCGGGCAAGTGGAAGATCAAGCTCGAGCATGATGGCAAGGTGATGGAGGACGAGGCCGATGTCCTCATCAACGCTACTGGATTTCTCAAGTAGGTAAATGCGCACGATACCATACATCGGGTGAGCTGATTGAGACCAGCAACTGGGAATGGCCAGACATCAAGGGGCTGAAAGATTTCAAGGGGAAACTGGTGCACACTGCGGGATGGTAAGTTTGTACGAACCTTGCAACTTCGGGCCATGCTCTGACAACATGCAGGGATAACTCATACGAATGGGAAGGCAAAAAGGTGGCTGTGATAGGCAATGGCGCCTCGGGTATCCAAGCAGTGGCAACGATGCAACCCAAGGTCGAGAAACTGGTCAATTACATCCGGAACCCGACCTGGATCGCGGTGAACTTCTTGGTGGATAAGGCACCCGAGACCTCTAGTTTCAAATACCCTGAGGAGCAAAGGAAAATCTGGAAAAACGATCCCAAGGCATTCTTCGAGTATCGGCAGAAGCTAGAACAAGCGTGAGTTGGCCCTCGATCCTGAGTCATTGGGTATGTACCGTATTGACCGGCTTTGAAGGCTGAACGGGTTCTTCTTCGCCATGGTGCTCGACCATCCATTCCAGCATGGCTTTGAAGGCGCCAATAGAGAGCGCATGCACCAGTCTTTGATGTCCGACCCGCAACTAGAGAAGAGAATGTCACCTCCCTTCCACGCCGGCTGTCGTCGCATCACGCCGGGAGACGGCTACCTGGAAGCCTTGCAGCAGCCAAACTGCAGGGACAGCTGGGAGGCTATCGAGTGCATCACGGAGAAGGGAATCAAAACTTCCACTGGAGTGGAAGAATTCGACCTCATCGTCTGCGCAACCGGGTTCGTCGGTTCCTACATTCCGCAATGGAAACTAACCGGCCGCAATGGGGTCACGCTCGAAGAGAAATGGAGGGGCGACCCTGAAGCTTTCCTCGGTGCCCAGGTCGACGATATGCCGAACTATTTCATGGTGACTGGACCGAACATGCCCCTTTCCCATGGAACAGTGTTGGGCGCGATGTGCTGGATGACGGACTACATCACGAAGTGGATCAGGCGGATGAGTCGCCAGGACATCAAGTGAGTTCTCGCCCCTCTTCAGTTTTATGATTGACCGATCATGCTAATCATGGGAACTTTAGAACTGTCTGTGTGAAGAAGGATGCTGTTTCCGACTTCAACGAGTTCGCACAAGAGCTGCTTAGGCGCTCGGTATGGTCTGGGGACTGTCGCTCGTTCTACAAGAACGGAAAGAGACTCGGGAAGATAACGGCTCTCTACCCAGGGTCCATCAGTAAGCAGTCTCTAGATTACTTACATCCCCTCTCTACGACCCTGGTCCCCCATACGGCCTGCTTTGAGGGGCTCGGCTTCCGATACCGAATCACGCGGCGCGAGTTTTGTCCATTTCAAAGTAAGACTTGAGGCGGAGATAGTTAACCCTAGATGCTAGTGCACTTCAAGAACGCCCTGGAAGAGATAGGTTTCAACGGTGAGAACTTCGATTTCACATGGTGGTCCCGCAACCGGTTTCGCTGCCTTGGGAATGGGACAGCCGTATCGGATCAGGACGGCATGGGAAACCTGGCACCCTACATGTGAAGGCAGCATATGCCAAGGAATACCATTGTGCTTGGTTATCTAACACTCAGGGCACGTAAAAGGAGGCAGGCGAGCCGTCTTCGGCTTCAACTTTCCCTGAGCGGACCTGACGGTTGTGTAGAATACAGATAGCCTCTTGGATGATGGCGATGAGTATACCAAGTGCTACCATGATAATTTGTGTCCGAAGCCCAGTGTTATACCTTCTCGATGATAGCGTCTCTAGACGCAAGCCCACTACTCAGGAAGCCTACTGTAGCACGGAAGAGGATGAGCAAGACTGGTCAACTTACGATGGAGCATCGTCCGTCGCCTTGGAAGTAGTTACCGCGTTCCACCATCAACCCACTCATGGCACTCATCACAAACATGGCGATAGTGATGCTTCGTTTACCGGCTCGCGACAGTTCAGTTGCACCCCATGAGTTATGTACGGGATGGTACCCGACCGCAAACGAATTCCCGAGCGTCCACAGGCCCCAGCGAGTCCGGCGACCAAGACCGTCCAGGTGCTGCACTTGCCGCGCTACGATCAGCGTGAGCAGGAAGCAGGCTTGAGCATGAATGACTGTCAGGCCGCGCTGGCTCGTGTGGTCGCTCAGCCAGGCGAAGAAGAAGTATACGACCACCAGCGCGATGGATGCGCCGACGGCCGCGACTCGCGGCCCGCGAGAGCGTTGGCTGCTGTGTGACTGAAGCCCAGGGCCCTGCGATGCGGTGGTGTAAGTATCCATCTTCTCAAGACCTAGGATACTGCGAAATTTCTGAATTACAGCGAGGAAGTAGCTTACAAAAAAAAACAGTCAGAGAAGCTCACTTAACGATAGAGTGTGGCTCCTCAACCCATTTTCCAGCCACAATGACGGATGGGTCACGGACCAGGGTACAAGGTACCTTGGAGCCCAACTGGTACCCGTTTGTACCAGATTCGTACCCAACTGGGATGATAGCTACTTCTGGGATGGGGACACCACCCATCCCTTCTTTCAATCAAGCAACTTCCAGAATACAGACCAATAGCCACCATTCGTGACCCTGGTCCTTATTCTGGATACCGCTACCACAAGGCACAAGAGGGCGTATATATCGCAAGGGGAGACTACATGCATTGAATGGTGCGCAAGCCACTGTGGCGTACCGTGATCTCGAAGTCTCCCCCCATCCACCGGCCGTCGGTAACCGAGTTCCGTGGTATTCCACGCTCGCTGGCCCGTGCGTCACTGCTACGAGTAAAAATTTCTCAAGAGTGAATTCTCCTCGTGGCTTTCAACTTCATCAAATACCATCGTACCACGCACAGTTGCTGTGAGCATTGAGACCCAATGGACACCGTCGCTCAGCTAGTATCTTTTGTGCATATGCGAAGATAAGACGTAGGTATATGTATAGTTCTATTCATCTATCTCTCCTGTCACTTGTCTCTTTCTCCGACTGTCATCGCAGCATTCCTAACTCCGGCCACTCGAACCACCCACGAGTCTTCATCTGAAAGATCTTGCTGCCGCGACACGTCTTGTGTTGGGGCTCTAAGATGGCTAGGTGATTCACAAGGGCGGAATGACCTCGTGTTATGCCGTATCCCAAACGCTGCAAGAACGAATCACAATGGACCATCATAGTCCTCCCTCATCGGTGTTTATCACTACTACACTCACCACATGGGCGAGGCTCCAAGCGCTCCTACATACCACTCTCTACCTCATCATAAGTACCAACATCATATCCATACGTATCACGATCACCTACTCTCCAATCCACAATATGATCCAACGAGGGCGGTCCGCGTGTATTCAGTCAGCCTCTAAAGTTCGTCCGGCTATGCGCTTCCAAGACCCGACGTGATAACCCCGAATACCCCCCACTATGCCGCCGAAGATGTCGACCGGGTTGTTTGCAGTGAGGTGTCAGCTACGTCACTCCACGTGCTTCACACCTGTAGATCTGGGTTCTGGATTCCGCAATCGTCAATCTCTGCCAAGGCATGTCAAGCTATCGATTTGGGAGTCTCTCGTCGACCAGCCGGGCCAGTCCAGTTGTGGGTATTGACCTGGGAAGACTTCGTCCGTCCTCGGTAGTCTCGTGCTATTTATCTCCATGCCCTCTCAATGCATCGTTACCACCCGCTCTGGCGAACCTTGACATCTCGACGCCTCACCCGCCAAACCATACCTTTTAAGGCCTTTACCTCTGTGTGCTCTTTGAAGATGTCGTCGGATTCCAAATCCAAGTCCAAGTTCTCCCACCTGCCATTGAGCACCAGCGGCCCTGTCGAATGTGCCGTCCAGGGAACTGAGCTGCTCAATACCCCATACCTCAATCACGGTTCCGCCCACTCGACGGAGGAGCGCCATGCCTTCAACCTCACTGGCTTGCTGCCGCAGAGCGTCCAGTCTCTCGAGCAGCAGACCAAGCGTGCATACGAACAGTACTCCTCTAGGAAAGACGACCTTGCCAAGAACACCTTCTTGACTTCGTTGAAGGACCAGAATCTGGTCTTGTACTTCAAGGTGAGGCCGCCTCTATACTGCTCTCATGCCAGGCCCTCAAACCAGTGTCCTTGACAGTTTCATTGATCAGGCCTCACCGCCCGCAAGCTGTCTCACATGCAAGCCGTTGTATTGACACCTTGCAGCTCCTGCAGGATCATATGAAGGAAATGTTCAGCGTAGTCTACACGCCTACAGAGGGCGATGCGATCCAGAATTTCTCTCGCCTCTTCCGACGACCAGAAGGTTGCTTCCTCAACATCAATGACGTTGACAGGGTCTCTCACGATCTGTCACAGTGGGGTAACCCGGAAGACATTGACTACATTGTCGTCTCAGGTGAGCATAAACCGATCGGCGGAACACGGCCAATACCTATCACCTGGAGCCTTTATGCACCTGCTTACCAATAACAGATGGCGAAGAGATCCTAGGAATTGGAGACCAAGGAGCAGGAGGAATCCTCATCTCGGTGGCCAAGCTTGTACTCACCACGTTGTGTGCCGGTATACACCCCAACAGGACACTCCCGGTGGTGCTAGATTGCGGAACGAACAACGAGAAGCTGCTCGACGATGACCTATATCTGGGTCTTCGGCAGAAGAGAGTGCGCGGCGAGAAGTATGACAAGTTCGTCGATGAATTCGTTCAATCAGCCCGCAAGCTCTTTCCTCATGCGTACATCCACTTTGAGGATTTCGGCTTAACGAATGGTATGTGGCTCGAAGCAGCTTTCCACGAGGTCGTCCGAGCTGATTCCGTAACACAGCACGCCGCATCTTGGATCTTTACCGCCCGAAGATACCTTGCTTCAATGATGACGTTCAGGGCACTGGATGTGTAACGCTAGCGGCCATCATGGCTGGACTACACGTCAGTCAACAAAAGCTCCAGGACCTCAAGTTGGTCATCTTCGGTGCAGGCACCGCTGGAGTGGGTATCGCCGATCAGGTCCGCGATGCTATTGCCGCGGAGAAGGGCATTGGCAAGGAGGAGGCGGCAAAGCAAATCTGGTAAGTAGATGAACACATATCGACGTGGCGTGTGCTGGCAGGAGCTCCTGCCACCTTGATTCGTCGCGGAAACACAACTGATGACATAACAGGCTCGTCGACAAGCCCGGACTACTCACCACCAAAACCGAGCTAAACCACGGCCAAGAGATCTACGCCAAAGATGCGTCCGAGTCGAATGGAATGGAGAACTCCCTACTTTCGGTCATCAAGGAGGTCCACCCAAATGTTTTGATTGGAACTTCCACTGTACCGAAAGCCTTCACGGAGGAAATCGTCAAGGCCATGGCAGAACATACCAAACGCCCCGTGATCCTCCCTCTATCGAACCCCACCAGACTACATGAGGCGGTACCAGAGGACATTCTGAAATGGACCGATGGCAGAGCCCTCGTGGCTACGGGCTCTCCCTTCGATCCAGTGAAAGGCCCATGGGGTTCTGACGGAAAGGAAATCGAGATAGAGGTTGCCGAATGCAACAACTCGGTCGTCTTTCCGGGTATAGGCCTCGGGTCAGTGCTCTGCCGCGCATCGCTGCTCACAGACAAGATGCTCGTCGCAGCGGTCCGAGGTGTTGCAGACCTCAGTCCCGCGTTGAAAGACGACACCGCTCCGCTGCTGCCCGGCGTCGAAGACGTTAGAGACGTCTCCGTCCGAGTTGCTCGGGAGGTCATCTTGGCTGCTGTTGGGGAGGGCAAGGCTACTGAGAAGGACATCCCTACCGACAAGGCGGAACTGGATGAGTGGATTCGTGAGCAGATGTGGAACCCGGTCTATCGACCGCTGAAGCGTGTTGATCCCGAGGGAGCTAGCAGGACGGCCAAGGCTGAGCTGAAGGTCGTTGGGAGCTTGGAGAAGGCGAAGGAGCGCGTCACGGGTCAATGAGCCAATTGCCTCCAGCTGTTTGTTGGGATGGGTTTGTTTCTGACTCTTTTTCTAGACGTAGATAGGATAGTCTGACGTGGCACCTATCAAAGGGGTGCCTTGTTTGCCCTTGTACACTCGTAGGCACTTGGGTACTCAATACCTAGCTTCCTTCATTGATCCTAATGAAGATCCAGTCATTCGATCTCCTCTCATCATACAGGGCGCTGTGACCAGGCTGGCGTTCAGGTGAAATTCTGCAGATTTTACTGGCATTGGTGATCACGGCTGCTGTCACCCCTCATCACGTGAGGTCCCGCGACCGTGCTTGTCACCGTCGCGGTATTAAACTCACATCCAATGTTATCTACAAGTAACAGAAGAACATGTCAGACACAAACTATTTGGTGCTGTCCATCGCCAAACAGGACGCCTGGGGTCCTATGAGCGGTCGCCTTGCTATAAAGCTACCTCTATCGCAAGAAGCTACTGGCATATATCTGCCAATGTCGCCCTTTATCCCACTGTGCCTGACGGCCTTGGTCACAGTTCAGAATAAGTTTCATGACGTTCCGCCCGCGTCATACTCTCTCAGTCATCGTCCACCCGTCGTCTCAACATCGTTGTATTCCCCTTGCAGCCCACCTCCATACCTAGACATCTTAGGTACCTCATCCGAATCAGATCGTCCGATGTAAATCGTCTAAGCGTGCATCCCCTCATTAAGTGAGGCGGGCTTGGCCCTCTGGGGCACACCTTCTTGATCCTCCTTTCTACGAGGGCTCTTTGACCTGGAGGGCAATGCAGAAAACGTCTGAGCTTGCTCCCCTCCCCTTTTACTGGCTAGCCCTTCTCATGCACGCCTTGCTAATTGGCGACCTCCGTTTCCAAGCAGACAGTACAGTACTCACCTAGGGGTCATGGTTCCCTGCAGATAGTCTGGAGTCGACATTGGACCTAGCCGAGGAACACGAACCGTCCAAGCTCCCCCTCCTCAAGCTGGCGGCTTTGACCTTGAGTATGAACCTAGCTCATCGGCAACTCCCATCTTCAGGATAATGCAGAACGTCTAAGCTCCCCCTTGACTGCCCGGCCCTTTAGCCACCTCTATGCGCAGCTTCCTCATCAGCCACTTCCCTTTCAAGCAGACAACGGTACGAATCGGCCGAGCTCCCAGGGGCTTTGACCATGCGCGCGAATGCAGCTAGTCGGCGACATATATTGGATAGACACTTGGATAGCTCATCTGAACTATAACGTCTGGTTTCTTCCTCATCAGCGAGGCGTTCCTCATCGGCGATGCGACTGGAGACTGTACTAGTCTGTATCTAGATGTCGGCGACTCACTTACACGTTCTTCCTGGCTTACCACTATCTAGTACAGGTAAACCGACATCGCCAGATCGCCTCCGTCTCTTCTCAAGAGCCTGCGAATCGATGGTCCCCCGTCCCGGCTGACGAGCTCCTCCCAGCTGACGAACCACGCCTCAAGCCACAGCAAGATCCCATATCAAGCCGTCGATGAGTCCCAGACTCATGATCGCAGCTGGAGGAGGCCCAGTCACGCGTAGGTCGAGCAGCCGTGCGGCTTGGAACGAGGGCATGGAACAACAGCATTCACAAAGACGTGATCTTTTCGAGTGCCTGATGGGCACCAGTGTATCTAGATGGTATTTCGAATTCACACAATAATATCCTGAACTGCTGCCTCGAGCCTGAACTGCTGCCTCAAGCAAAGCATGGGAGGATGCGAGTTTTCCTCCCATCCACCCCGTCATCTTCCTTCTTCCCACAACCATTTTCCCTCTTCACACCATCATCTCTCTTCTTCACTCTCAACAAACACAACATCTCAACACTTTTCCATGCCTGCTTGGCTTCAGAATGTCCCTTCAGTTGATCTCTACCAACATACAGCTCACATCATCTGCATGTCAACAGACGCAGCCTTTTGTTTGGTATGTTTATAGCACTGCGGACTCACTCAAGTCGAGGCATCACCACCCTCTCACGCACTGACATAGACCTGAGGGAACAAGGCACAAAGCCTTGATTTGACCTCGTAACCTGCAGCCTCGTCCTCGAAGACATGTACCTTATCGCGAGGTGTTCTCTGAGATACATTTCGTAAGTCTCCCCTGTAATTATGCCACATACTCTCCATCGCATACGACATCGTCTCACCTCCCAGCCGTCTCATCGACGCGGACGACGTCGTCACGACCTCGGCAGCAATTCGTCAAACTGTGCGATCGTCCCCGTCGAGGAACTTCCCACTGAAGTCGCTACCGCGCACCGTCGCGAAGCTTACCCTCAAGACAAAGCGGATTATGCACGTAAGTTTTCACCATCTCAAGAGCACAACTCCGAATCCCACCACCTCCCTTGGTTGAGTACTACTCCATGTTGTCAAGATACCTTCTTACTCACTCACCACCAAGATCCGGTGCGACGGATGGAGAACCAGCATCGTCGAACAACTGATGAAGTGCGCAATGCAATGATTGATCAGTCCGATTCTGAAATAAAGGCTAAACAACGAACCTGGCTGATAACTTGAAGAGATCCCAGTTGCTAATGAACTCACCACCGATCAAGATGGCACTATCGATCGCTCGATGGGCATCTTCGCCAGCGGAAGGAAGCAAAGAAGCGGAAGAGAGACGACAAGGACAGCACGAAGAAGAAAAAGAAGATGCGCAGGTTGATGCGCAAGCTTAAGAAGCTGGAGGCAGACTCATCTTCGGACGACGATTCGAGTAGCTCAGACGCATGAAGTTACAATATCGCGAGCCAGGGCGATCTTCAAGTTCGTCCGTCCCGTGGATATACTAATACCAGTCCAGACCATGAGCATCGGGTATCGCCAGTATACACGGCTGGGCCCTCTTCAATCATCGGCCAGGTTCGTTGTTTGGGCTTTGAGCTGGACTGTACTCATGCCACCACGAAAATTGTAAGCCTGTGGGCAACCCTTCGCTTACGTCGAAACACAGTTGGCAAAGGACTTCAGCCTAGACTTTGCTTACCCTATCACGTACAATAGCACCGTCGACTAGTTCAAGCCCGCGCAGCCACGTACTCTGCGCCCCAGGGTCCCAAGACGCCTATCTTCATCTAGGACTAAGACATCGACCTCGGCCGCGGACACGTCTCGGTACGCCGCATGTCGTACCTGAAAAGTGCAGGTATAAACCGCCGCCAAACATGGAATGCTGAGACCCGGCTTCAATAAGTTACCCGCCCCAATTGCCCTACGCAAATCACCCCATGCCACCACATCCGCACCGCGCAAACTTTGGGGATGGACTGATCCTCTTGCCGTCCTAAGGGAGCTGATTCTGTTCCGGTCTGTAACCCTCAATCCTCGACACACTTTTATCTCACGGGTGGTGCTGACTGGCCAATGATAGGATCGTCATGACACTTGCCGGGCAAGCAAAGTCCCTGCTCGACATGGTGTCCATTGAGGCATCACAGGGGCACGATGTCGGCCGTATAGATACCGAAACTTTTATTCGGCGTCGCTTGGCGTAGAATACGATTTCTGGGCGGCCGACGGCGGTGCGCCGTCAAAGCATGTGGCCTTTCTATAAGTAGGCTGACACGACTACTACCAGTGCCGTCCTGAACCCTCGACCGATCCCCCAGAAAGGCGGGAAGAAGCCGGAGTGCACGACCCTCTAAGATGACGCCGAGATACTTGCGGCATGAAAGCTGGTGGTATCGCGCTCGTCAGACCTGCCGTGGTGACGCCGCGATTGTGATTGACAATGGTCGGTTCGAATGCTTTCTCTGTGTATAGTCCGAGCTAAAGCTAACGTCGCTTGGTCCTGTAGGCAAGGTTTCTCCACTATCCGAGCAGGATGGTCAGTCGAGTCGAAGCCGCGAGTCACCCTGCCTTCGATCATGGCGACAACACAGGGACAGGAAGCTGGGAAAGACATACTCCTACGCCGGGACTGATTGTTACGCCCAACACCACCCCTCGTGGACGTATCAAGAATGCCTGTGACGATCGCGGAACTGGTTGGCTTGAGTCTATGGAGATAACTTGCTGAGCAGCTTGAGCCTCCGGTCCCAGCAGACAAGCTGAATGTGCACCCTGCGACGCGGCGGCATCATGAAGTCACTCGGGCTACCCGGTGGCTAGCGGTCGGCATATCTTGACTGAAGCGTCCGTACAGTAAGTTGCATCTCTGATCTCGACTGAATCGTTGCTGACTTGGCTAGTTCCTGTTACGAACCCGGTGCAGATCGAGGGGCTTTCCGCGGCAGCTTCTTGCGGTGGCCATTCATGGTGTTTGAACAACGGCCTTACCACTCTGCGAGCACAAGCCTTCCTCATGGTAATCACCATCAGCCGACTCCGTACCAGCAACCTGCATACAACAGCCCTTTTGCTCCTGCGGCCCCCCTTTTCGGGATCCTCGGATGCTTCTCGCGGACCCAGTAACAGAGGGGGCCCTGGCCACTGCCGTAGCCATGATAACGGCTTCGGTCATTGTAACAGAGGTGGTCGTTTCGATGGAAACGGTGATCGAGGCGATAACTTTCACAACCGGGATCACCGTCCTCGGCCGGGATTTAATAACTATTGCTGGCCTCTACCGGGCACAGAGCCACATCTCTAGCCGGCTACATCAACCGCGACTTCGCACTGATCCACTAGGAGCGACCGCGACCCAACCTCGTGGGCCGCATGGTGCTCGTGGGTGAAGACGAATTCGTGAGTAAGATGGCGATCCTGGTTGACGACATGGCCGACAAGGGCGGCACATTCGCCAAAACTACTACCACTGCCAAGGAGGGAGGCGCACGCGAGGTCATGGCTGTCGTCACTCACGGTATCCTGAACGGGGACGCCATTAACATGCTTCAAGAGAGCTGTCTCTCCTAGATCCTGGTTACCAGTTTTACCGCAGAGATAACATGCGCTTGCAGAGATCAATGTTCGTCATTGAACTGGCGAGAACTCGGAGACAAACATTCCGACTTAGAGGGCCGGCGGTGGGAGCCGGTTACGCCCCCATGTTCGAGATCAGGCTGATTGTAGAACTCTACTTCTGGGTTGCAGCCAAAGAAGCATCCTCTCGGTGGTCATTGCAGTTAACGTCTTCTGCACTTATACCCGGGGTTTACATGATCTCCTCCCTCATCTTACCCCTATCCTACGAAATCGTCACGAGAAGGACACGAGAAGGTGCAGTAGAACACGATCGATCTGGCTTAACGCATTGCCGACATTAGACCGGGAAATTTGAAGGTAAGAGAATGGATGCGAATCTGCTTCGAGCTGCTGGACATGCTCAAGGCACTCAAGAAGGGTATCCGAAGAGCAGCCAACAACACCCTCGGCTTCAACGCCAAGACGATTGGTCCCCAGGGTGTGTTGGCAACTCTGCTAAACAACCTGCGAGACCAAGAGAGAGTCCACCCACAGCTGGTGGCCCTGACTGGGTGTCATGGTAGACAAGAACCGGCACCTTTGCTCAAGAAGGATCCCGCCGATTTTGCAACACGAGGCCCCATCCTAGTGGCAACCACTCGGACGAACTGGATTGGTGAGACTTGGAAAGACTATTTCACTGCGAATCTGTTTGTTCCAGATTACAAGACAATGGCAGAAGCGATCAATTTGTCCTCCGTCGTGTTTCCCGCGAGCTTGACCTCTGGGGGTACCGGTCGTAACACATCAGCAGAGATTGGTATTGTCCCGCGGCCGTGCCTGATAGACATCTCAAGGCTCCATCAGAAGCCCTCCGAGATTGATCGTACTTCTACTAAAACGAGATCCCCTATCCTTCGTTGGGAGGTTCGAGAACGCTGAGCGACGGCCCGATATGATCGGTCTGCTCGAGTGGATGCTGCTGCTGCTTGTCGATGGGAATGTCTCTCTGGCACCCCGTCAGGAGAACATTAAGCGACACTGCCGCTCTCTGCACAGAGAAGACGAGCGTTACGCGTGCCAGGAGTGCGATAAGACCTTCTCACCCAGCGACAATCTTCCCCAACGCGCGCGAGACAATGCCAATGGTGCTATCGTCATGAACCTCATCACATCGATGGCCGGCCTCAAGGCGGCGCCTTTCGGCGACGCCAACCAGCACAACTCTGTCAAAGCGATGTTGATGTATCGATGCGCGCATTGCAGGCAAAGAAGATTACGACCGCGTAGACCCCGGCGTTTTTGCGGCTCAGCCTCAGGTCCTCCGTCTCGTCCGTCAATGTCTGAAAGGAGTGGTCCGATGAGCGTGCCATTGAGCAGGGAGACACTGTCGTCTAACATCGTGTCCGTTTTGATGTCCCTGAGTCTTCGGATGGCGGTTCAACCGAGACGGACGAGGATGTCGACAAGGATTTCTTCCCAGATCTGTTTGTCGATAAGAGGAAACTCGACCCTGCGTTTCACCGTGAGATCGAGTACGTTCCGGATGAAAGTCACCACTGCCCGGGTCCCAGACTGTCCTGCCGAGCGGCAAGATTCCCCGGGGTATCTCTACCAGGGAAGTAATTGGTACCTCTGTCAGTGCAATGGTTAGGAAATAATCGATGCCTCTGTCGGCACAACGCCCGAGCGACCTCTTTGGGACCCCTGACAGACTTGAGGGATGGCGGCTGCGTCCACGATCCTGCCCACCCACTCTCGAGACGCGCCTTACGCTTTTGATCGGGACCATGCAGGCTTTGCCTTTTCGCATGATCGTCGCCAGCTGAAGTGGGGACCCACCTGAAAGGGGTTGCTTTCTGGGAAGTTCACCATCTCCTCTTGCTTGGTCTGAATACGGCGCGGGAGCCAAGGCCGTCTGATTCTGGCTGGAGGCCTCTGCTCCAGGCCAGAGAAGTTCAGGTCCCCCGCAAGCAAGTCAGGCGGCGTGTTCGTCCAAGAAGCAAGGGCCCAAGTCAAGCAAGTAGCCCGTTGCCGGTCCGTCGACCGCTGGTGGATATATTACGTGTACGACTTCTTCCTGAAAAGCAAGTTCCGCTCTATCTTCAAAGCGATCGGAGTCGTTAACACTGTTAAGCATGCGGCCGCAAGATCGCTGATCCCAACCTACAGCTTGTCAATGTCGGCACCAGAAAAGCCGACATATCTGCCTGCTGAGCTTTGCATGGTCTGCGAGGGCCAGAATGCCTCGGCGAAGCTGGACCCAAGTCAGTCGGCAGTCCCTAGACCGATGAAAAACACGGGGCTCTATCGTCGACGACATACGCACTGACTCGATCTGCTCACCAATAGATACTTTGGCACTCCCCTGTTTTACGGACGAGACATTCAGGAGTACAAGAAGTTTGCCATGGCATGGTACGGCATGTTGCGGCAAGATCTTGAAATCTTGGCGCCCAAGGTATGAGATACCCACGCACTGTTCTTACTTCAACCGATATCTTCAATCAGCTGATCTGCAACAAGGGAAAACCAGCTATATCTTCGCCTCCGACTCTATGTTCAAGATCACCAACCAGGCTTAAATCAAGCTCATCAAGGCCTTCATCAAAGATCTTGAGACATTGTCCAGAGTTCCCCGCGAGAAGGTCTCTATCCAAGAGTCATGGAAGACCACGGCACCTCGCTAAGCGAACGGACGATCGATATTGCCGCTGCTTGCGGCCAGATTCACCCCCTATAGACGCAGAAGATGATCAACTCTGCAGTCCGCGAGCAGATGAACGCCGCAGGACCTATCGTCGACGACGGTATACGTACGGTCAAAGTCCGGGAAACGACTTCTACATATGCATCTGAGCTGACCACGTTCCAGGTAACCCTTCCAGTTTGTGCGTCGTGATTGCTTTCCATCAAACGACGGACCTATTCCCGGTGGATGAAGTTTGTCCATATATAATCTTCCAAGCATAAAGAGAACGGGGGTGGGGTGGGGGGAGATAAGATGGAACTCACCATTGACGACTTACTCCAAAGACACGCCCCTGGTTGTCCTGTGCTCTTGCACCAGAGTCACGAGCATTAGATGCACGAAGTGCATCGGTGGCAAGGGAGATTGCGCTCCGGTTTGTACCTTTGAACATGTACCAGGTTGAGGGGTCACGGTTCGCTAACGAACCGGGATCTAGGCGTACTCAATGATGGAGGGCGACGCGAGCCATGTTGCCAAGGTTCTCGACTGGGTCGCTACTTTCAAGGAGAAGGACGATGCCGATGAGTACCTGAATGGCGCCGACATTCGAGCTGCAGCCGCGCTTGCGATCGCCTCCCTCTGTTCCGCATTCGAAAACACAGAGAAGGGGCTGCGCTCCTTCTATGGGATGGCGGGAAGCAAGAAGGTACGGTCGGTACGTGTGGTGATCGTTGATGGCAAAGATGTTCATATTGGGACTGGAAGAAGCAGAAGTCGGCTGAGCCGCTTCTCCGAGGGCAACCCTGGAGGACTTACGAAGTGGTGTGTTAGAACTGACTATACCAGGGCAAGGGTGACGCACTGACCAGAACAGATACCTAAACCTCTTTCCAACGTGCGTGGAGGTGACCGATCAGCGGCCTCCGAGCAGAAGAAGAAAAGGGCAGCAGAGGACCGCACGTTCAGATACACGAAGTCTGTACCCGAATTGCACTGTTAAAAGATCCTCATCTTTTGCTCACCACTACTTCCCTCTTGGAAATCAGCGACTAACCTGCAGACAGTTCCCATACGGCGATATGGACCTGGCAAATGGCAATCAGTCATCTCACGGTACGCTTGCCGGATCGAGGTCATGCAAGAAGGCTGCCGCGGAGTCCATCCCGGTCAATTATGAGGCTTCCTTCCGTTTGTGCGCCATAACTCGCCGCCAGATGGTCGAGGATATCAGCGCATCTGTATACGATGTGAACTTCTGCTGCGAGGAACTCGATTCCCTGCCAGACTTCACGCCGCAGGAGACGCGGACTCTACAAATTCGAGACATTGTCTGGGACGCGGTCCACTAGGAAAACGGATACAATACCATCGAGGTTGCCAAGGTTCATAAACCTTACAAACGTTGCAGTTTCATTGAATACCAGGCTAATGAGTCTGTAGAAAGGACTCTACCGGGTCAAAGAGGATCTCGGTATCATGAACGCCCCCGTGGCGACATATTTTCGTGCTGTACATTCTCGACAAGGGGTGTGAGCGTGATGCGCTAACCAGGCTGCCAAGAAGCGACAAGAAGGATGGCGACGTGGGAGTATCTCGAGTTCCTGTAGATACCCTTGGATATGGCTCCTCGGTCCACTTCACGGGCGAGAAGGTGGAAGAGATGACCGAGCTCCTGAGGGAGCACTGCTCAAGTGACGAGCTTTACATGGAGACGAGCTCTACCTGATGTAGCGGACGATCAGATCAACGAAGACGCCATACTGGCCAAGCAGTTAGGCACCATTGAAGTACTGTTCTACCGAACAGTAGAAAGTGACGGCAGAGAGCAGTGTTTCAGCGACGAGCTCTACATGGAGCAATGTTCAAGCGATGAGTTATACCCACGGCCAAGATGCGAAGCAGGTCTATTCTTCAGGGCATCAGCTCGTGGCAGACCTCGGGATGATGGGACATGAAACTGTCTTCGGAGAGCAAGAGGTGGCTTTGCTCCAGGAGAATGAGGAGGCGCACCGTGTGGAAGATGAAGCAGAGCGTCGGAGGCTCCGTGAGGAGGAAGCTGCTTTGGAAAGGGAAAACGAAATCAACGCCCTGACCATGGCTTTGGACCTGCCGGCGCCGGCATCCAGAAGCCTATCGACGCGTACTCCCATGCAGGCGTTTACAATAGCCTCGTTACCGCCTGCCGGTGTCGGACACCCTAGCCGCAAGGTACCGAATCGCGTGCCCCACGTGGCCGAGGTCCATTCACAGTTGGACAGAAACCTTGGAGTCCTCTGAATACTTGATGGTGGATTCTCTTCGTCGGGAGAGTTTTAAAGGGGGCCGAAAGACACAGACAATCAACCAGACAGTTTTCGCGCGACACAGGACCGAGGTGGAGGAAGCCATCGATCTTGCAAGAATCGGGGCGGTTCTCTTGATGGCGAGAGATGACAAACAGCCTCCTGCTTACCATATAAGCGATGGTATGTTCCCTGCCGTGTCATCGCCGCCCCAACGCGTACCCGCTCCCATTCGATCTGCTACTCCTACCGTACCGTAAGAAGGTGTCGGATATCTTCCAAACATCTTCCAGGTTTGAATAATCATACATGCGTTAGTATCACGGCGATGGCGAGAGAGAGCTGGGCCCTACCGTTGCGACCCTGTCTCTGGGTTGCCCTTCCATAATGTGCTTTTGCCCCAAGAAGAACGAACGGGTTGGAGCCCGGTCCACAATGCACAAGAAGAATCGACCTCCGACGGTCTCGTTTGTACTAGAGCATGGTGACATAGTGGTCATGCATGGGACTGGCATTCACAAGCACTACGAGGTAAGTGAAGACAAAATCGGGCAAACTCAATGATGGAGCTAATGATATGTGGCTAGCAGTGTCAATCGATGGGCTCTGCATCCCGAGCAAGGAGGATCGCCATAAGGCTATGTTCCTGGCAGTCTCCCAGTGAGTAAGCAACCGCCCGAGGAAGCATATGCTTCTTGAAAATTGATCCAAGAGCCTCGCGAGCTCGGTTTCTTCATTCTGGTAGAAGCCGACCCCTAGCTTGGGATTTTCGTCGTTGCTGATGCTGAGCTCGAGCTCGGATCCTTGTACTCGGGATACAGGGGAGACTATCGTTCATGCCGTCTTCGCAATCGTCGCAGACGCAGCGAGTGCACTGATGCGGGCGTCAGCATTCCAACCTACGGCAGTTCGGAGGGTCTGGTGAAGCCCAACAAGTTAATCTCTATCTTGCCGATCTCGGCCTCGGTGTTTTGCTGCGGCGAAAAGCGGCTACCAAGATTCGGCGTGGCATTGAGTTCGACGACAATCGGGTGCTGGAAACGATAACGACCTCGCATGAAGAGCACTGATCGATCGATACATGTGGCTCGAGTCGGTGGGTTGGTTGCCAACTCTATGCGGCCCCATGAAGGGACTTGAGCTCACGCAAGTGAGTTTGGGTATTCAGGCAAGTACATACACCGAGAGGCCTCTGTGACTATGCAGACATAGAGCTCCCATCTGAGCGCCCTGCTAACAAAATACAGCAGAGCTGGACAGAAGCATTAGTCCTGTTTTTATGCATCAAAAGGAAACCACCGAAGGCGGCCGGCTCTGTTGACTCGTTTACGACTTTACCAACAAACCGCACGATGCGAGCCTCCTGCAAAAACCTTTAATCTGGCCATCCCATCGTCTGCGGCTGTCAAAAGCGTCATCAACCAGTCGTACAAACAGAACTGCCAAAAAGACGACCTAAACCAACCTAATGGGCGGCCCATAGGCCGTACGCTACGCTTTTGCTGTAGTGACGAAATAGGCCGCTTAAGACAGAAGCAGTGCTTACCGACCGTTGGTTTCTTCGAGCCAATTAGCGTTGTGACTCCTCGCATGTTATCCGTTATTCCGTTACCCCTTTTATTATTCTACCCCTTTTTTTCTTTTCTATCCATTAATTTATGTACCCCTTTTTATTTATATACCCCTTTTATTTTTCTATTCCTTTTATTATTCTATCCACACGAATTATTACAAGCCCCTTCCGTTTTCCACCTCCCTCTATTATTCTACCCCGGATGATCTACGTGGAGTCACAATGCTAATTGGGAGAGTTGGTGCTGTTCAGATGGACATGACAACCGACTCGTTCTCGGCTGACAGCTCCCGCACGGCCATGCGTCCAGGCATCGCCATGGGCGCGGCATTCTACGAGTTCCTGGCTTGCAAGAAGATGGGAAAGGAGAAGCTGCGTATGCACTTCGGCAACTTGGCGAGGATCTTGTGGCAGATTGACCACGGGTCTGAGTATGGATTCGACAAGAAGTTCCTGCCATGCTTCCTGGCAGGCACACCAACGTCCGGCACCTCTCCCCACTCCGATCCCCTCGGTCAAGTACGGGGCGTCTCGCCGCAGCAACGGCACCTAGTCAGAGCAGAAGCCTATCGCGAAGCGCAATTTCAACGAGATGGACGAGGAGGTCGATCTTTCCGCGCCGAGCTTCCATGGACGACCCTAAAAGAAGTCCAAGACCGGTGGTGGGCCTGCCAGTCAGCTCAAGCTCCAACATCAGATGCAACAGTTCGGCCTGGATCAAAGTCAGTTCCCGAACATCACGGATCCCAACCATGTTGCTGCGCTCCAAAGAACGATAGCAAATCTCAGCAGGGACAGGGGCTCATTGAGCTGCTCTATCCGTAAAGCCATGGGGCCCCGGCAGCGAAAGGCAACGATACTTCTTGTTAGGGGGCTGGAGAAGGAAAGAGCTACTTTGGAGATGGGGACAGCAGCTGGCAGGCCCTCATGAAGGCTGGGTTCAAGACTTCAAGAACATGGACTTGGGCCGCACTGCTGGTGCCAATGCCCTTCACCCTGGCTGGCGTCGCCAGATGATCGGACCCAGATATTCTCCGGCTTTTGCCCCCCTCCAGTCTTAAACCCCGGAAGCCCTCATGATAAGGGTTAAGGGTTAGAGGTAAGAGCACTAAGGGTTCAGATGATGCTGGGAGAGATGACAAGCAGCCTCCGGCTCACCGGATAAGCGATGATATGTTCCCTACCATGTCGTCGTCGCCGCCCGAGGAAGCATTTGCTACTTGGAAATTCATCTAAGGGCATCACGAGCTCGGGTTCTGATCTTGAGCCTGTGAGTATGTCCTCCAGCGCAACGTTTTTCCTTTTCGATTTGTGTTGCGGCCCATATGGCGTGAGCTTGGGCTCTGCACGCTTGTCACAGGACTTCTGATTGAACCACGGTCGGGGGAACACCTTCACCCACTAAACTACCCCTGGCTTAGGATACTAGTGAAGGACTAGGCGAAATCACCCAGGAAGGACCGTCCTGTTCACTCGTTTGCAACCAATGGGGGTGAGGGACATCACCACCCAATCGGACTACGAGACTTTGTCCTCTATACTTTTTCTATCGACTACATCTTCGACCAGACCAGAATCCGACCAATTGCGGATCTCTGCACGTGCTACCGGCATAGGATGCCCCTGGCAGTGCAGAGGGTTCGGAAGAGGATGATGAAGCGCACATCGCCCGTCACTGCAACGCCTGGACCTTGTACCGTCGCTGCTACAATCATGAATTGATCAAAAGGGGCATACACATGTACAAGCAGGTGTGCATTACCTGTGAGTACATAATGATACCTCGTCTTGACACGCCCCATGCTAACTTGCGAAGCCAAAATCCTAGGTCAAGTCTGGGGAAGGGAGAAGGAGACTAAGAGTCCTTCCTGGGTATATTGGACCACTATGAAGCTCGATCTTGATAGGGGCCTGGAGAAGAACTTTAATAGTAGGGGTTGGAGCACCTTGAGGAGCCCAGCTATCACTTAGATACCTCAACAATCAGTTTGCCCTGAACCAAACAAACACTCTTTCCGCTGGTCCGGAACGACCTTAAACTACATTTAGGACTTAATATTCGCGGACTGATCCGACCATGCGGGCCTACAGCCCGATATTATTCACCTATCAACTCTAGGACAGTTCCGATACTGCTGTCGCTTCTGCCCTCTTTAGCCTTCGCGCGGCAACACTCGGAGCTCACCGATGAGCCTATACTCTTGGTAAATGGACATGCCAAAAATTTCTTAAGGGGTCGACGTAGAGCGACTCAACATCAAATTTGCATCATTCAAGCCTCTACCCGCGTCACAATTTGGCCAGATCGTCAGCCCAAACGAAATCGACATTCTGCGCAGCCGGACACAATCTGTCGGCGGCAGAGGCAGCGTCAGTACATGGCCGCAGAACTCGATGCCTCCTATTTTGTTCATCGAGGAATCGTTCTTGGCCCAGGTAAATTACTGTCTGGTATTTCGTCCATAAACCACCAAGGACACCGATCCGCCTCTCAAGCATCCTCTGGCCGGGTGGTTCTGTGTGGCTCCGACGGGACGGGCTGACGAGAACCAGATTGGGCTTGATGGTGGTCAACATGGCCAACTACATCGTTCGACACCACGACGATGAGCACCGTCAGGGGGCCGACTACATCGAGATGGTCACCAGCTAGCCCCCCTTTCCCCGAAGGCACCGTCGACCTGCGTGCTGCCGAATGCCGTATGATGATCCAGCTACGTGTGCTTGCATGGGCATACCCCCAGACGCTGCAGCTCCAGACCGAGAAACAACAGCTTCTCAATCAGTACTAGGGACGAGGAGAACGAGATCACTTTCCTCTATTCAATTCAGAACGACCAAGGCCCCGGCAACGAAAGCTACGAGAACCAATCAGCCGATAACGATATCGCCCGAAACGAACCAGTCGACGTAAATCAGTCATTCGAAGAACTCAGAGCCAAAGGTAGAGCTAACGGCTAGTACGACGAAAGCATGGAGAACGCGAACGTCTTCATCGGTTACGACGAGGCCCCTGGTGCTTTACGGCGTATGGCTACATATGCTTGCATGGGGTCTACCGGCCAGGCGTCGACGTATGATCATGACGGGTGCCTGCCCGGCGAGGACATGCCTCCCACACACACGAAGACACCATATGGTTCACCAGTAACAAGCTGACCTGCCTGGGAATCACAGGCCTGACCCAGAAGGTCGGCTTTGCAATCCACAGCGCCGAGGAAATGTTGGTAGATCTTGTTGCTCGTCTCCCTCTCTGGAGGGCCTCGATATCGGCCAGGAGTTCATCAGCGACGTAAACTAGGGAACTATCATCAAGATGGGTGTTAAGACCATTTTCCATCGGCATGGGCGCTTTCAGAATGACGAGCTGATGGCTTGGGTTGCACAACAAGGCAGCACCATTCCGACCACACACTCGGCATACCCATAGCCAGGCGACGGCACCAGACCATGGGTTGACATTACACAGATGCTGGACAAGATGCCCCCGGATGTCGCACAACGGGACGACACGCACAGCCCGGACAAGATGGTGGCCAAGACCCACCTACCACGCACGGTTCGCGTTAATCATCGCTCGACTCCTGACAGTTCACGATGGCGTGACTACCGCCATTCGCGCCCATGGCGATGGTCATCAGCAACCGTCTTGACCCAGCATCAATCGATAGCGGTCAGCGACCCTGCGCTGCCAATAGCCTCACCAAACTTTCGCGATTGGGCCTAGTGGCTACCCTGGGACATGATGGCCATGTGGGAGTACCTAAGTCCTGGCCTAGCCGCACCCGAAGACCGAAAAACGAAGGCCTGGACGGAGGCCGAGACCATTCGCCTTGTCCTGGTCGTACTGCAGGCCGACAACCCCGAGCTCAACATGAAGAGTTGGAAGGGAATTGTCGCTGGAGCTAATGCGACCAGCGGTACCAATGGCCACGGGGCTCGCGGGGGTCTGTATGCCATCGCAGCGATAAAGGGGGTGCGCCAGCCTCCAGCTTGCACGGTGCCGATGGTCATGGCTGTGCCGTTGACCAGGCTGGATGTAACCACATCACGATTTCGATGTAATAACAACATCGACGATAGTGCTCTGGAAACCCTCGTTAGGGTAGGTAACGACCTCCTGGCAAGGATCGGCTCGAACGGAGTCGTGGGCACCCTCCCTAACGGCAATACAAAGTTCGTCTGCTATGAACGGAAGATCGACGGCACGGGATTGTGTCTCGCCGCCATAAACAACGACAAGAAAGGCCTGAAAAGGTAACTCTGCAAGAAACACAATCCCGACATTTGACTCTACGTACAACAAGAAGCAAGACAAGACCAACATGTTCAAGTTCCCGGAACCGGGTTGCGATAAGGAGCCCGCTAGCTTTAACACGTACTTAACGCGTACTTGGGACATCGGCGTAGTGTGCATGGGTTCAGGGGAGCCGAGAACCAGCTCTGGGCGGATCAGGTTCGCGGCTGATGGGGTTCTTCACCAGAAGCAAACCTTCGCTGCTCGAGACCCTCAAGTCCACCACGGGCTTCGCTGACGTCACCGTTAAGTACGGCTGGCCGCCGCAAGCCCTGGGCCCCGACCAGCACAGTGTCGCGCTGCAAACCCTCGGCCTTTCGGAGCAGCTGAGTATCGAGAATGCGAAGTTACTCAACTACAGGTGTCAGGTTACGGGCATGCGGCGATGAGGTCCTCAACTCCTACCACCTCCCTAGACCCTTGGGTCTCTGGCTGAATTCGGCGTATGCAAAGTACATCGTCAAGGGCAACTTCATGACGCTCAGTGCGAGACCGAAGGCCATCCTCGAATACCAGAAGAAGTATCAAGTCTCCGTATATAGCCGAAAACGAGGATCATAGGCGCGCATTCTTCAGCAGACTTCTTCCAGGCCTGCTCACGGGCTCACCGATGAGCTTCTCGGTATGGCCGTTACGTTTGATGGAAAATTGTTGGACGGTGGTGTAGGCTGTGTCGAGCTCGTTCTACTCATTTGGGACCACCTCCCGATCAAACGTGCAGATTAACGTGCTCCTGCGCGTTATCGAACTGGACTCTGGACCCTCTTCGCCTGCTAACGGAGACGTCTTTGTGGCCAGAGAGGCCCTAACCAGTATCGAGACACAGATGGCTACTGTCATTCCGTGCATGAATGAGGATTACCGCACGATCGAGGGTGTCCTCCTCGGCATTCCTCACGATTGCCTCGTCATCCTGGTCTCTGACAGTTCGCCCGAACATAGCAGACCCCGATGACTCGCTGCCGAAAAAGAAGCCCACCCGAAGACGATGAACACCGCCTCTTCCGCCACGGTGCCGATGTGACGAAGTTCAAGACACCCATGCAGGGTGACAATAGTGTCCGACTCTCGGACGAACTTGCCGGTAAGTTCATGAGGCGCCTTTTAACCTCTTTTTATATAAACTTACTAATGTCCCGCAGGATACTACGGCAAGATGTCAGACCACCGGCGACGAATTGAGGGCAAAGGCCCAGGGGATAACGGCTTGAGATGTTCCCAGAGCATCCTATCCTTCGCATTCGACCCCGGCCCGATCGTCCCCTCCCTGCTGTGCGCCCGTTCCTGTCGATCGGCATGTGTCCAGCATGCTCGAGGATCCTTCACGGTCGCTACTTCGACATCCTCGACATTGAGCATCGGCGGATGCATGAACGCGGTGCTTGCAAATGCAGTACGGTCTTTCCGAACCTGCAGCAGCCTCGGCAGGTCCCCCTTGCCCAGAACGGAGGCAACATCTTCGACGAGCCTGTCGTTGGTCAGGAATGTGAGCCTCACGCTATTGGGGCTGGTGCTGGGAGTCGTCGCATCGTCAGGCTATAGTGGAACGGTCAGAGGGGCGGGTCTCGTCGAGACGTCCATGATTGTGCGGCACCTTTCCCCAGGTCTCATATTCACGATGAGGCTCAAGGCCATGAGCCAGTTTACGCCTGTACGTCCGCTGCCACCGATAGCTTCACAGAAGGCCGTCCGATCAAGCGGGATGGCAAACGTTACTGGACTGGCCTGAACAGAAGCTGGGACTAGCCGTCCTCTGACATATCCTTACTGCAGGCAACGAGAACGTATTCATCAAGACCGGATACGACGAGGCCGCTGGCAACGAGAACGCCATCGTCAAGAACGATGGCAATGAGGACATCGTCATCAAGAACGAGGACAATGAGGCCGCATGGGATATCGCAGGCATTGAGGCCGTTGGCAACGAAACGAGACCTACGCCCCTTCAGGGCATCCCCGACGTTAGAAGAGCAAGGTGCCGTTTCTACATGATCCTGCTCGTCGTGAGATTTCTCGACGAGCCCGCAGCAGAAATGCAAACTGCTAACAAAGGGCAGCATGGAAAAATGCCGACGACACGCTCAAGAACATCATGGAAGTCGTCAATATCAATGGCGATGGAAAGATAAAGTACGAAAGTCGGCACAGTTCGCCCCAATTGCCCCATCTCGAACTCCTCCCGATCCTGGAGCTTCGAGTCAAGTTAAATCACTCGAGGCTAACGCGACCATAGGATTCCGAGTCTTTATTGAAGCAGCTGAACGCCAGCTTTTCTACCTCTTCAAGAAGATAGACCGAGACCGCGATGGAAGAGTCGACAAAGAGGAGCTCCATGGCGCGCCAGCATGACGGCCGATTGACTTTGGAGCAGCGTCTTCTGCCCAATGATTCAGAGACGAGTGACTAGATTACCGTCTAGATGCAAGAGGGCGTTGTCGGCACATCTGGCGGCTTCGAACAAATGCTCGAAAGCACGTATATAGCAACTCGCTCGAGCTTCTTCGGTGAGTTATTTGATTTGAAACCTCACTTGAGCTCATCTGCTGACTCCATGATAGCCATGGTATCCGTCGCCGAGCAGTTCAGAAACCTGCACGGGGGCACGACTAGTGCATCCGCCACTGATTGTGGTCATCCGAAACTTGCCCAGGAGCCGGAAACGGGACATGAGCATGTGCCGCAGACGCCCTCGAACTCCTGCAATAGAAGACGGGAAAGTTTGCAGCTCGCTATCTGTTGCCTCATCGCCAGCAACTACTTTGCCAATTGGCGTGGACTTGCGGAGATCCCCAGGGTTCATCCAGGGAGTCCTCGGATTTTCTTTGTACAACCCGGACAGCGGCCGTGGCTGGCCTGTTCCCAGCGAGTATAAGTCGACCGTAACTCGGAAGACCCTTCTGGCCGAGGAGGCTATCGCCGCGCATGAGAACGCGCTCAAGTTTCACGAAGAAAGCCTACAGGATCTGCACTCCAATCATGCTAGAGATATCGAAAGCATCAGAGCGAGCTCCAAGGCGGACTATGACTCGCAGGTCAATATACTCACGTCCGAGCACGCTGAGAACATCAAATTGCTAGAGAGCGATGCCTCCGAAGCCCGCGATGAGATCAAAAAGGTAGCCACGCAAGTAGCCTTCGCTATAGGCTTGGACGTTAGCGTCGAAAAGATCTCTGAACACATCGGAGACTTGGTTGCTGACCAAAAGGCCCTGCTCGTGCGGCTTTCGCTGCCGCTTCTGGTGCTGCTAAGACTGCTGGCCATGAGGGCCTTAAACCAGTCGCGATTGCGACTAGAAAAGCCCGCCACTGCTTCTGGTGTCGTGGGAAGTATCGATCTGAGGGTAGGTACTGGAAGACAGCCCCGCGCGAGCGTATACACACGCCTGTCGATTCCCTAGACTTCGACATTCTGACCAACTGTCTTGCTGTCGAGGCTTCCAGCCTACGACAGATCAGCGGACGCGGTGCCGAGATACACCGCGTGCGTCCGGCGAGGATAGCATGATGAATACCCCCCTTGCCCTGTTTCCGATGGCGACGATCGAAGTCGACGATCCGGACTGGGGAACGACGCCCCTCCATCCGAACACAAGAAATGTGGCCAGCGGCGGAGACGAGTGAGTGTGCATTCGATCCTATGGTACCATGGCGCATCTTGTCAGTCACCCCCGTCAAACCCGCAACCATTCACGCCTGTCCACTCGAACCACGGCACTTGTTCCTCTTCTGTCGATATACCGTTTTGTGGGCGACAATTGCAAACATGGCGAGTAGCAATGTTTCTGGGGATCGCGTGGGCTCAAATCATGCGTCGCCTTCTCCGTCGCTGTGACCTGAAAGAGCACGCAGGTCTCGCAACGCCTCCGGGCAACCACGCCAGACAGCGACGGTTCCCGACGCAGGGCCTTCTTCCGCTCCTACCAGGTTGCCATCAGATCGCAACCCCCCGACAGCTTCCATCAAACAGTGTGATAGATGGTTGTTGTGGCTGATAACGTATATTCTGATGACTTCTGATACGTGTGTGTATCTGGAAGAATCTTCTGAAGTGTGCTACAGCACACCGAATTGCCTTAAGAGCCCCCCTGTTGGTGCACTGCCACCTCCATAAACGCCACTGTGGCTTGCGTGCCCTTCAACAGCTTCCCGGTCACCTCAAGTCCACCGGGCTCCCCAAATACAATGTCTGGGACAAGTACCCCCCAGTTGCCACTCGCGAACTGGTCAGCGTCCGACCTACGGAACGCAACATATGGTCTGAGGGGTCCATGAACGCAATGGGTGAGCTCATCCAGCACTACATGATGCGATTCGAGCGAGTCGATTTGGCGACACGCCCGTGGTGGGAAACCGCGGGCGCAGACTTGAACCCAAGACACCAGCCAGGCGAATACCACTACCCCGTACAGCTATGAGACAGTTGCAGCTTTATCAGTGACGAGATATACGACCAGGGTTGGACTTGCCTAGAAGGACATTGCGAGCGCTTCTTCCAGTTCCCTGCCGAAGTCGATCCTGATGCATTGCAGTACACCCAGGCATCCCTGCGCCATCGATTAGGACCGCGATCACGGCATCTAAAAGCTGAAGCGGGAGGTCATGGGGAATATCGTGATGGGAGGCCTCGAGAAGATGCCTCTGGAGCGACAGGAGCAGCAGGTAGAGGACGAAGCAGCGGGGGACGACCTCGTGCAGCCCTCCCTACCTCTCGAATGTGTTGTGCGGAAGATTGCGTCGCTGATGGTCATGTCGAATGGCCTGATGGCTACGCCGCACGAAGAGGTGGCTGGCGCGCAGCAAGGACAGGCGGAAACGAACGATGAATGGTCTCCATCGTTCATTTCTAAACGCATCATCGGGTCCCACTGGTCACTGAACGCCTTGGATATTTCGTTTGGTGACCAAACTGCACGATGACAGATGGGCGGCCTTGGTTGAAGCATCGCAACACGAGACGCCGCACATCCTCAAGGTCGAAGTCGAACCTCCCACCCAAGTCCGAGTTGGGGCTGTGTTTTACCTCCCGCCGTCGTCCGTTCCTAATCCAATGGCGAACGTTACGGACATACGACATGGTCGGGGGTCCGGTATGGAAAGATAAAGAGAACCGCGTGTAAACAGAGCATGGAGTCGGGCACTCTTAGGGAGCTGGAACTCAAGAACTTCCATTTCCGGAACTTCGACGGGGACCAGGACGACGAACACACCATATGGTTCACCAGTAATAAGCTGACCTACCTGCGCATCACAGGCCTGACCCAGGAGGTCGGCTTTGCAATCCACAGCGCCGAGGGAATGTTGGTGGCTCTTGTCGCTCGTTTCCCCCCTCGGGCAGGAGCCAGGGCAGGGCAGGGCAGGGTAAATGTGACTGGGGCTGTGACACTTGTTCCACGTGAACAGACCCACGCGCACGGGAAGATATCTCCATTTGGGAGGCCTGAGCTTGGTTGATCGGCGTTCTTGGGCATTCCATGAGGCAGAAGGGTCCTCTTCGGACTTAACACCTCATGGCAGACAGACAGCTCAGGGCTTTTGCTCATGGCGGCCGGCTGCTGCGTTCCACGTCCTGGAAGGTCATCCACCTGCAGACATGGGGCCTACCGGCCAGACGCCAGCGTCTGATCATGATTGGTGCCTTGACTTCTTGACGACAGTCTTCCCCCTTTGATCACCGAATTGACTGCAGTCTCCGTACACCGGCGGTCCTTTCAATACTCCTCACACAATTACGACTTTGACTCTCCAATTTTCCCACGTCCTTTACCTACCGTCAAGATGAGACTCGGAGTCCGCCCCCGTGCGGAGCAGTTTGGAAACGTTCAGATCAACGAGCTCCTGGGCTTTCCCGGCGAGGACCTGCCTCCCTAGCCCCGGACCACACATTCGGAACATCCTCAGCCAGGCGATGGCACCAGGCCCTGTGTCATCGTTAAGCAGATGCTCTCGCATTGTCGCACTCTACATACCCCTTGATGTTCGGAGGGCCTGTTGTTGCTGGCGGAAAAAGTGAAAGACGAGGGCAAGGTGTGAGCAGGAAAGGGGCGAGCTGTGAGGATCTGGTCTTTCGACAGTAGATTTGGGAAGCACTGCTTGTGCATTGTTGGGCGTCGATGGGCACCAGAAGCCCGCTCTCCGCTCGCCGCCTGTGCCGTTTTGACAGGTGTGACCATCGACACCATGACGCCGATCCTCACAGCGACGTCATTCTCTGCAACGCGCTCGAAGAGCTCTTCCGACTGCTGATGAAGCACCGCGCAACTCTGGACAAGCGAACCACGAGAATGCTAAGAGGAAGAGCAAAGGCGGAGGGTTTGGATTCCCTTCGTGATCCTGGTCACCAACCGCTTTCGATTTCCCGTCGACCGCCATGACGCATTGCCGACCGCCAAGAAGAGTCTTCTTGACAGACAGCATGTCGATGACCATGAAGCCTCACTCGACCGTATCGAGTATCGGCAGGAAACAGAAACTCTTTATGGTGGCACGAGTGCAAAGGCAAAGGCTACGATAGAGAAGCATGTTCGAAGGCTTGCTAGTAAGGAAGTCTCGGATGACGATAGTGAGAACGTTGTCATGGGTGGTATCCCCGATGCAGATCAGGGATACGAGGATGACGATGAGGACCTCGGCGACGAGGTCGACGAGGCGGAGCTTATTGATGACGACAATGTTGACGACAAAATCACCGAAGACATCGCGATAAGGTTTTATCGAAAATGTCGTTAACAAGGTTTTCGAAAATGCTGTCGACAATGTCGCCGCCAATGCCAGTCGCAGCAATCGGCCATTTCCCGTCTGATCGGGCAGTTCTGCGCCGATGCGGAACGGATGTTGTGGCTGGCTGCCATCAACCGCTAGCAGGCACATGGACGTGGCCGTAATGAGCCCCGGGTCAAGAAGGAGAACTCCCCCACCCAGCACCAAGCTGGCGTTGGTCGGCTCGATCACTACTCTGGCGGTGGTCGGCTTGACCACTACTCCAGCGCTCCTTTCAAGGCCAACCCGGGTATGGTACACCCGTACACTGGATACGATCGACGGGAGGAACAGGAATCCCCGGTTGCCCGCATCCAAGTCCTTTATGGCCAGTCCAACGTACCTAGCCCGCAGGTCATGGCAGATCCCTTGGAAGCGAAGGCTTACCTGGAGGGATTTTCCCTGGGCGGTCGCCTTCAGGAGGCGTCAAGCATAATCGCCCCTACAAGTACGCCAGCGAAGGCTGCGAGAACCTCCCGGGCTTCACCAACTTGGGCAGCCTGCTGCAACACGAGCGCGAGGTCCATGTCCTGTGGCCGACGCCAACAAGCTGCCCACGCTTGTCGCTCCCGCAGCGCCGGCCAAAATTCCAATGCCCAAAATGCTGCAGCAGCAACCCAGCTTCCGCTTGACCGTCGACGGCCTACGAAGCCGCCGCCTGCTTGAGAAGTTTTGCAAAGACAGTCAGCGCCGTGACATATTCCAGATTCTGAACCATTGTGGAGAGTGAGCCATATCGTCCGTTGCCCAATGGACACACCACTTCATCTGTCCGACACCGACATGCCACCGGGCACGATGATCCCCGGCATGCCTCTTGTAGGCCATGGAATGCTTATGCAGCAACCTCCCGAGACACCCCAGCCGGGCCCGAAGAACTTCTCATGCAGCACGAGCGAGAAACGAGTTGCGAGACGCAGTGACCTTGCAAGACACGAACGAACCCATAGCGGCCATCGGCCCCATGTCTGCGATCACGAAAGCTGTGGAAAGCAGGTCCGCAACGAGCTACGCAACAAGGCCTACTACAACTTGTATCCGGCGTCCACCGAGACCGCAGCATGCGTCGACCTCCTTACGCAAGCCGGCGCCGTCGCCGTGATCGTGGGCACTACCAAGCTTGGCTATTCACGACAGCAGAGGAGCCTTCCGAGTGTATCGACTACCAAGCACCGTGGAACCCGCGTAGCGATGGCTACCAGACTCCTGCGGGAAGCAGCAGTAGCTGTGCAGCTGCGTAGCCTTGGCTCGACATCGCCGTGCGATGGCCGTTTACACGGCACACCGCCCCCCCCCCCCCCACCCAACCCCCCCGGTTTGACCACCTCAACCATCTCAGCCCCGTTTGCCGGAGACAAGACGCCCTCAGGGGCGAGCATCAACGAGGCGACGGCTGCAGAATATCAAGCCCGGTGCAGTGAGAGCACCAACGCCCCATCAAGGTCGGGTGGAAGCAGGAGGGGTTTATATGCTTGACATATGCCATGACGTCCCATGCCCTCCACGAAACAATGGCTGCGGGGGCTGTATGTAGCCCCTACTCCTGCTGAAAGTTCGGAGCCTCTCGGTAATTTTCCAACCCGCAAGTGCGATTATAATGGATATACTCGCATAGCGAAGTCCAGAGCTGCGAAGATGGAGGATGGCTTGTGAAGACGCAGCTGAGACCGGAGGTCCAGCAGGTCAACATGATGCACTGGGGATGATTGCATGCTCTAGCCAACCGCCCAGTCAGATTGGGGTCCGGTGCTGCCCACATGGGGCCCGCCCATCTGAACGCGAACCGGCTTAGCAGCGTCGGGCCGTCATCTTCGTCGCCAGCAGCCCCTGTGACGACCGCGAGCCAGCAATTTCAAGGACTGCACTTGTCAAACAGAGCGTGGGGGCTTTTAGATGGGTGAAAACGTATATTCTGGTGTAATCCGTGTTCTTGTTGTATCTCTGTGAAAATCCTTCTGTGGGCTAAGTGGCCCAACAATGCCCTATTGGCCTTGTTGGTGCACTGCCACCTCCCTGAACGCCACGGTGGCTTGCGCGCCATTCAACAGAACTTGCCGACTGGCCTGGAAAGGGGGAACGGAACTTGAAATTTTCACCCCCGAGTTCAGTTCCGCTGGAAACAGCACTCGTCCTTACTACGTCGCTCGCCGCCGCTTTTCACGGCTTGCTTGGAACGGTGCTAGAGGCGCATAGCTACCCATACACTGCGATTCAGATGGGGACATCCCCTGACCACGCGGAAGACAAGATCATGCTGCGCATCCAAGCTATCTGCGACTGCCACGACGCGTGTGTGAACGGCGGAGGCAATTCATGGTGGATGGACCATGCGCGGCACCAACCCGACATGAACAGATTTAGAGGCTTGCGTTGTCTTGCTGCAGGCCAGGGAGAAGCTCATCAACATCCGACTTCGACGAGTCGCCCGTGGGCTGATTGCCCTTCTTACGGTCAAGATGCTTTTCCTCGGCAGCCTGCCCATCACGCTTCTGCCGGGCAGTTTGTTGTTCTCGGAGCATCTCGAGTTGAGCATCCTTACCGCTGACGACGCGAAAGAGGGCAACGTCCGTGCAGTGGCGTGTCCGGACATCGAAAAGAAGAAGGAAAACCCGAAGAAAAAAAACCAGATAAAAACAAGGGGGCGGGGCGGGAGACTCCAGTCCTTCACCTGCAAATGGGGACGTCGATGTCCCGTAAGAGGCTTTGGCGAGCATTGAAACCGAGATGGCGGTCCCAGAGTGTTCGCGCTCGGTTGGGCTTCGTTTCATCAGAAATGCAGAAATGAGGCTGGCATCGAACAAGAGCCCACGATCGCAGCTCAGGACTCACTTGAGGACCATCCCCTTGTCATGGACCAAGATGAGGCTAGCAAGCTCGGTATCGTGAAACAGCCGGTTGAGGCCCAAAATATCTAACTTGTGAGTCAGACTCCGGCCGTGAACAACCAACGCGAGCCTACCATCGAACAGGAGAACAAGGAACGCAAGCCCATTGTCGAGCAGGAGCCCATTGCAGCAGTTCATGACGCACTCCACCACCATACCCCTGCCAATGCCTAGGCAGATGAAGGTCCCCATGAGGAAGATATAGTATAAAAGAACCAACCGAGCTTTGCCCCCGAGTCGGGGGGAAGCGAAAGGATGACGACCCAGAGCCCCACGATGGTAAAACTTGGCAAGGGACGTTGTCGGCCAAATTTCGCCACGGGTTCCTGTGGATCTCAAAGCATGGGCTGTTAGGCGATGGCCTGGGGCGCGAGATGCTGCGGCTGGCGTCGAGGAGTTCATCAGAGTTCGCGATGGTGAGGCACGACGTTTTAATACTATTACAGCGTTGATGAAGAACTTTGCCGATGACTTCGCTCGTCAGACCAACCTGCTCATTGGAGAGTCGGCTCCGTTTGGCAATGGTCCTGGCCCTTCGATGCAAGCTCTTGTCGCCAGTCTCGACGGCACCGATCGCCAACTTGGCGACCCCTTGCCCGTCCCCGAGGAGAAGAAGGAGCGTAAGAAGCATGGACCGATATTCCGCACGACGGATTCTTCAATGGTATCATCGTCTACCATTATAGACATGCCGTACGATATTAAGATCTCCGAATGGTTCCCCTTCTTCGATGCTCGAAATCAGGTTTGATTGGCCGGCAACACGCCCAGGGACCGATGGGTTTATCTGTACAACATGCTCTTCAACCTGGAGAGTTCGATCAGGCTTCTCAAGTACCAAGAGGAGCATAAAGACGAGGAAGGGGTCAACGTAAAGGACATTCTTTGGAATAAGCATTACTACGAGCCGGGCCCTGCCTGGCTACGTACGACAAAATGAGGGAAGGGCGGGTTGTGGAAATGCCGGAAGGGCGAGGGCGCCACGGAACAGGAGCTGGCGTGCACGAAGTGCGTTAGCTATGTCACATCCACTTCTCTTGATGTCTCCAGACTCATGTGGTAGTGGCACGCACGCAGACCCGGTGGCAACACCGTAAGAACGACTTCAAGCCTACGGGTAGGCATCCATCCACCTCGCCGCCCTCTTTCGGCACGAGAACATCGTTAAATTCTTGTTAGATAAAGATCTGGCAAGCTCATATCAGAAGTTGCTTATATCGAGGCCGTTTCTTTTGTTGAGACCGAGGAAGAGATGGGCGTGCGACTGGCGCAGCACCTGCGCCAGAGAAAAAAGAAGCAGCGCGAGTACGTCGCCGCCCGGGAGAAGAAGGAACGTCAATACCTTGGACGACAATTCCAGCTCCGCCAGAAAATGAAGAATATCGGCAAATTCATCAAGATTGACCTTGATACCAATGGTCTCCAGCGCCTTCAAGTTGAGAACGATGACCTGCGCGGCCAGGTCGAAGGTCAGAAGCGTGCCTAGATGGCCATGAAGCAGCGGATGGAGCGGATGGAGCGGATGGAGCACGCCAGCAGAACAACGACTCCATGTCAGGCCGTCACCGGCTAGGCCCATAGCAATGCCACAGACAACCTGCCCACCCCCAGAACAACTGAATTGGCAACCCGTGATGCCCGAGGTCAACAAATGGGCAGCCCTTGATGCCCGGGATGAACCAGTGGCCAGCTTGTCCAACCCATTCAAGGGCTTGAGTCATCATGTGAACCAGGGCAGAGCCACTCAACAAGACCGCATGACCTCCAACGCTCAGCATGGACAGGTTAGTGATCCATTGCATGCCCATTGCTATTTGCACCGATATTAACACTTGAGAAAGTCATTCAGATCGGCACCCGCTTAGCCGGCCGCAGCCGGTCAGTTTGCAAATTTCCAAGGTGGCACCCCGCTGCCGGAGTTCAGTCCCGTGCCCCAGTTCAGTTCCGCTAGCAACGGAACTCATCCTACCTATGGTGCTCGACGCCGGGCCGTGGTGCCTGGGGACAGCCAATTGGGCAGCCCGTGATGCCCGGGATCAGTCAACGAGCCCCGGATTCACCCAGGGAGCAACGGGGTTTTCGCTGTACCTACAACCCGGACAGCGGCCGTGGCTGGCCTGTTCCAAGCGAATACGAGTCAACCGTAACTCGGAAGACCATCTTGGCAGAGGAGGCTGCTGGCCATGGCTTCTGCTGCCGCCGCTGCTGCGATCAGTCTTCTACCACGGCTCCCTCTTCTGGCACTGGGCAGCCCGTGACGCCCGGTGACCTTTTGTGGCGATTATGGATGTCGCTCCTCCCACCGAGGAGTGGCCGGCCGTGATGCCCTTGTTCCAGGCGAAGGGGTATACTTATACCCGTCGAGGGTTTCAAAGAGCACCCCGCTCACCTGTCGAGTCCTTGCGTCCCCCTTCGCCATGGGTTCCGACCTCATGGAGGACTCAGTCTTCAATGACGACTTCGAAGATGATTCTGACGCATTCTCGCCCGAGCCGGTATGCAATGTCTTCCCTCTCGAGGCCCTTCATGGCACTCTGGAAACGCTGGACAGCCGCTGGCAGGCCCTTGGGTAAAAGCTAGCAGTGGCTGGGTCCAGGATATTCAGAACATGAACTTGGGTCGCAATGTAGGTACTGCTGACAATGACCATGCCATTCACCATGGCCTATTTAGCCAGATCGGATCTGGATACTCTCCGGCGTTTGCGCCCATCCAGTTCACTGCCCCGGCGGCCTTCCATCATCAGGTGCACCGCCAACTCCGGTAGTGCGCCCGGTCCGATGATGATCTCTAGGATTGGGTCAATCTTCTAGATCGTCGATGTCCTGGCATGGGCGGAGTCAGCAATCCAGCCAACTTCTCACATGCGGTACATGTCGGTTTTGACCCTCAGACAGGGAGGGCAGTTCGTGGGCCTGACCAGCGAACGCACCCCCTGCTCGGCAGATAGGGGTGTTGCAGGCGCTCTCCCGTTACCGATGCTCGAACAGGCACCAGCATCGCCAGCCACGAAAACTTGCCCGAGGTACCGCCGGGTCCTCGTGTTCTGAGGGATCATCGATGGTTCCGTCACGGGAAGACGACATCGAGTTTCACCGGAGAACGCCGACAAAGGATGACATGGGGTCATGGCTTCTAATACGGCAGCATGCGTTTTCTGGGAGGACACCATCAGGGGGTCATGACTCCCAACGACGCAGCACGCGCTGTCGTGAGGATACCACGGTCCAGAGGGCGGTCCCAAGCGCACTCGCAGAGCCAAGGCTGCCGCCCGAGCCCCGGTTCGTGCCCCTGAGCCGGAGCAGAAGCAAGAGGACGATGCGTAAACGCCATTCAAGCGGCATGATACAAGTACCAGCGGCAGGGGAAAATGGGGATACGTTGGCCATAAACTCTGAGCTCATCGGTGGAGGCAAGTCTTCTTATACCAAACCAGCAGCTAATGTGTTTTGCTAACATGTAAGTATGTGTAGGGTCGCCTTGCCTGCTTTACTTGCACTGTATTTCTTGCTCCACCAAGCGGAACTTCTGCTAGCGATCATGGAGGCTGGTACGACGGAAACATAGAGAAGGCAGTCAACGCGAACGCCATCATGGAGACTGCAGGCAACGAGAACGTCTTCATCAAGACCGAATACGACGAGGCCGCTGGCATGGAGAACGCAGGCAACGAGGATGCCGTTATGAGTAACGCAGGCAAAGAGTCTCTCCCTCCCACCGTCGGGAGTGTCCAAGCGGTCTCCGCCATGGAGCACCCATAACAGATGTTATCGCCAGAGCTCTCGACGACGAGTCGTCGATACTCCTGTCTCTGCTCGCGCCGTCCTGAAGGCTGCTGTTGGCAGATGGTCGCTTTGCAGTGGCGGACGAGATGAGAAGGCTCATTGGAAGCCCAGGGGAGCGTCTCGCTCTCGTTGGGGGAGCAGGTAGCCGAAATGGAGCCACGGCGGGCTGGGGGAAGATCTCGAACTGAATAGGGGATTTGGAGGCCAATTAGGCTATTGTACGGAGTATAGGGTCTCAAAATCCCCTGAAACCCTGACCCTGCCGTTAAGTGTCGGCTTTACACGCCTCACACACGCGACCGGTTCCACTCTCTGGGTATTCGCCCGTGTCACCCATGGATGCCTTCAAACACCGTCTTTACTGGGTCGACGGCCCCAATGGCCTTGGGTTGGTCCCGAGTTCAAGAGATCCTCGACAATGCTCATGGTCCCGGCCGCTCTGGGAATCGCGCCAATGTTGATGTCGATTCGTACAATGGGAAACACCGTCGTCATGTGCTCGGGGTGCAACCACCAGGATTTTGCACCAGGAACTTGAGATGCGAAAGCAAGTCAAGACCGTCATACTCCTAGGCGACAGAATGTCTGCACCCGTTTTTGGGCATCTCTCACTCCGAGGCGGCTGAAGATGTGGATGGCATCCTTTCAGCTCTCCCTCCCGAACAGAGACCGAGACGGGTCGTACAGCATGGGGCACACCTTGCAATGCTTTATGTTCTCTGGAAGTGGCCACGTTTTGCGCGATTGGGTCAGCCGAATCGCCGAGTATGGTCTGAGTCGGTACCGCCTGACGAAGAAAGAGAGATGTCAGACCACCGTCGACGGATGGAGGGCAAAGGGCCTGGGGATGACGGGTCGATTCGAGATTTCCGATGTGAAAAAGAGACAACAGAGTTCTCTGCGAATCAACGATGCAGAATAATCTCCGCTACAAGAAGTGCCACTGGAAAAGAATTCACGATCCGAACAGCACCTACCAGATCAACAAGCGCCCCTTTCCCGGTGGCAAGATCACCTGCCGTGAGGCTAGCTGCGATAACGAAGTGAGAGGTAGGAGCCCGCCCCCCATCCCCTATTGGTCTGTCACAACTTACTAACCTGTGGGTAGGCCGGCGATGATTGATCTACTGTCAGCATCACTTCCATAACCACAATGCTAGCACGGGCCCCATCCCCTCGGGTACCATGAAGCGTGACAGCCGTGAGCTTTCGGGGGACAATCACATTCCTGTCACCTAAGCTGGAGGAAACTTCCCTTCAATCCAATCGCAGCAGTTTCGTGGTCAACCTGCCCAGTGATGTCTCTCTCATTGACGAGCACGATTTCGACGCGGGTTGTGGACATGCAGATGCTGCGTCGACCCCAAACGGCCGCAAGGACGGACGACATGCATAACCCAGAGAAAATGGTCATCAAGGCGCGTCGGTCCGGCATGACCTTAAAAGGAATTTGAGGATTGACATTCGCAATCTGGCCTGCTGTCGCTCCGCTGAGAACTGTCCGTTCTGTTTCGCGCAAGCATGTTGCTTCCGAGATGAGCGCCAGCGCCGAGAACCTGGCTTCTGCGTCCGAGGCCCCTCATTACGTCCCAACGACTGGTGCCGGCGATGTCACTGCCGGTGATGGTCATTCGTTACACCAGGGAGTAGGACACTCATCTGCGAGCAACTACGATGGAGCTACGCTCACAGGTATTGCCACTAGCAATAACGGCGCCGAAGGCATCGGTGGCAGCAACGTCGAGTATCCTCCCCTAATACTCCCGACATTATCTGGCCTACCTTCCAGCGCCCAACTCTCCGACTCCGTCTCGCTCCGTGGGCCACAATGAAGGGAACCAGAACCGGCCTCTGCAAGGTGACGGTGTCCGCGGACAGGTCAGTCATTTCGGAGAACACTGACCAGTTATGCATTTTGGCTCCGCTCATCACTTGCTATTAAGAGCGAGAAGAAGAAAAGAGAGATGGGGGGAAAAGGAGAAAAGAGAAAACAAATAAAAAAGAGAAAAGAGAAAGAGGTTTCGACTTGGAACGTTGACGTCGTTTTCGATAAATGTGTCATGGCGAACGGGGCGGTGGGAAATAATTCATCCAGCAGGCGGGCGGCCGCCAAGTCACCTTCTTGCCAAGGGTACCAAGAAGGCCGCTTCCACCATCAAGACGACCAACTCTTGGATGCAGCTTCGCAAAGCGGCGATCCACCACCACCTCTTCCGAGTCCGCGTTACAGACGAGAAGGTAGAAGAAATGACCGGATGGCTCCGGGTCCATCGATACCTAGGATGGAATTCCACGGGATACTCGTGAGAAATCGTGCAGACATCCACGAATCGAACGAGCCAAGTTGGCAACCCGTGATGCCCGGGATGAATCAAGTTGGCAACCCGTCACGCCCGGGACGAATCGAGCGAACCAAGTCCCTTCTTTTCATCCCGCGTTCGCTCACCCGCCCGCCTGCTCATCGCCACACCTATGGAAGACCTTGACATGGGAACTTCCCATCGCAGTTTTGAGAACGTTCACCCCGCCGAACTTCGACCGCTATCACTGCGCTGGCATCGAAGATCTTGAAGGCGGCGTAGACTTCAATATCTTGTTTAACGCCGACCCTTTCCTTAAGATCGAGTAAATCTTGCCTCAAGGTCTAGTCATCGCAGTAAAGGCTCCTTTCTATACTACCTTTCCTAGTGGAAAGCACGGCATTGTCGTGAGAGTTCTTCGGATCTAGTCGAGCTTGACCTTGCATCTCCTTTGATGCCCCCGAAGTGGAAGCAGGAGCGATGGATACTCACTACCTGCGACCAAATCCGGGTATTCAGAGCGATCCCTGTGCCATGCCTGGAGCTGGGCGAGCCAGGGTACTGGTCAGGGTTCGACGATGGCGAGCCAGAAAACCGGCCCGGGCTTGACGATACCGATCCAGAACGCCGGCAGCAGCAATGACTTCCGCAGCACCGGCGCCGGTATGAGCATGAGCGATGACCTGCCGGTCTGGGACACCATCATGGCTTTCGAGTCGACTGAGCGACGGGACGAGAGCGATCCACTGGCTCGTGACACCACCAGTTCATCATTGTCCAGCCCGTCCACTACTTCCGCATGATGAACGGTGTGAAGGTTTCCCAGGTCGCGTACCCTCGGGAGGTTCCCCAGGTCATTTACCATATGGAGCACAGTGGCTTCCAGAGCTCCGGAGGTGTCGACTTCGGCATGCAGGACGACCAGGGCGCGATCCGCAGCGGCGCGGTGCCGGTTCCGACCTTCGGCGAGGACTGGCCGATATATCCCAACGGCAGCTCCACGGGCAAATTCGGCGACAACTGCCCGAGTTGCACTCCCCATCCGGTCACCCTGGGACATCATGGCCTTGTGGCCATTCCGCCGGAGGGGGTCTCGCTGGCGCGCTCGCACTGCCTCCGAGGACAGTTCAGATCTCGGTGTGACCGGGCGGGCGTCAAGATCGAGCTGCACAACGAACCCAGACTGACCCAGCCATTTCCACCACCATCACTGGGCCACCCAGAGCAAGAAGGGAAGGGTCAGGCAAACCACATCGGCGCAACCCATTGACTTCACTTTTTGCACATAGCATCCTCACCACACGCCATCTGGAGAGGGAAAGCCGCTTTTTCGTCTTAGGATATGACTTGCTCCCTCGGCATTCATCATGAGCGTTGTCGCTTATGTGCGCGAGCGTCGTCTTCAGCTGCGCATGAGATCATCCGTGATTGCATCCAGGCCAGCTAACGAGCAGCAAGTGGTATCGCCACGTGCACCGCGACTCAACCCACAAGCGCACATACATGTCCAGCACAATGGCCTCGCAACAACGAGTAGAGTATTGACTTGCTCGCGAAGTCAATGATCTGACTGGTCAAAACAAACCCATTGAGGGTGGTAACCGGCTCGTATCGAGAGGCCACCCCTAGGCTGACTGCCTACATATAAAAGCCTGAATTCAACGCGTGGCTCAAGCGAGCATTGAAGTCAAGAATCTCGTGCCAGTCTGAAGACATGCTGCTGCAACAGCTGGACGTTACCGAGTTCTGTGGCAGTGCTGGTCTCTTCTTCGTTGATGAGCTCCCTGGCAAGGTCGCTTCTGCCGAGCGTTCGCCCAGTCAGCAGAAAAAAAGCTGCTACATCTCTAATGCAGCAGAAAAATCCGTCACCTGCTTGATGTATCCTTGTTAGAGGGGTCTAGATAACAGATGCCACGGCCATTGCACTACGCCTGTACCACGGTCATGACAGATGACATCAGCATTCTCCTAACCCCAGGCGACGACGTGAAGCAGAGGGCTCGGGCTTGGTCCAAATGTACGGCACTCCACGTGGCTGCGGCTTGTTGCGACGGAAACAGCACACGAGGAATACAGTTTGGCTGGCGCGATGTCTGCCTCCTGTGCACTTCGAGTCACTCGAGCTGCCGCTCTCTTCCTCTCGGGCAAGCTTGCGCGCCTTTACCGCTACCATCTCCTAAGCTATCCCTCCCCGCCGCCGATTACTCTCGCCCAGCACGATATCGTCCCGCGGATGGCCTCACTTAAACCGTGGCGGGCTCGCTTGCGTCCATCTGAGAGGCTTGAGATGAGTGCCGACGACTCTATATTGGGCATACATGGCAGAGGGATATATTGATCATGAACCCTGGGTGCATTGGTATAGGCAAGTTCTCGTGTGCCGAAACCAGCAGCTGATATCTTCTGCTAACATGAGGGTATGTGTAGAGTCGCTATATCTGCTACACTTGCACAGTCTTCCTTGCTCAGCAGCCGGTGGTGGTAACAATACCAACACCCAGGGCTCAAGAAATATTTCCTGGACTTTGCCACTGCCGAGTGAGCTATCCTTGCGAGTGTCAATGGCGCTATCCAGGAGCAGTTCAAGAAGCTTCACATTTCAGCAGAGGACAAGAAGCTTGATGGAGGCTCTGTACGTCCACATCATTGATACCATGCATTTGGTATGCCACTTCCCTCAGCGGGCACACATAGGTATGCCTTCGCCAGGATCGGCCGTCCACTCCAAGGAAAACGACATGGTTCGTAAGGCCGAGGTTCCCGCCTCGGTCTGCAGCACAGACTCGAACGGCGCTGCACTCGGGATTCTTTAGACAAGCAAGAAAAACGAGGACTGTTCGAAGAGTTCCGAGGGACTGCGGGCCCCAATGCTGTCTAGGCTGCGATCGGTATGCCGTTGCGAACGAAACGAAGAAACGATGCTACTGACGGCGGTTCGGAGGGCAGCTCACAACCCCGGCGTAAGCGCGCTCGCAGGGCAAAGGCGCGAGCCCATGCTCGTATCCTTGAGAAGCAGGAGGGGTGCATTTCTGCAAGCTGGCGTCCGAAGAGGTCAATATCGAGGAGGAAATATGAATGAACTCGAACAAGACCTGGTTGCGCAAGCAGCAAGGAAAAGAGTATCGGAAGCAGATGGCAGACTTGGGACCGCCGAAACGCAAACGCAAACGCAACCGGGTGAAGAAACCGCGCATCGCCGAGGGTCAGTTCATGCCAGCCTCCACGCCCGGAGGGAGGGCGAAGAATGACTGCTTGTCAAAGGTTCTCCAAAAAAAACTCAAACACGGGGCCGGCACCCCTTCAAGGCATCCCCGACGTTCCTGACTACGATAACACCACCCAGGCTCGCGTCCAGAACTACGTGAACAATATGCCCGGCGACCCGACCAACTTGCTGGCCGCTGAGCAGCACTAGCTCCAGATCATCGTCGCCCATACCCTTGCCAATCGAGAGAGTCACAGACTTTCCTCTCCCGGCCGCTAAGTGAACCTTCGCCAAGTCAGCCGTCCGATGGAATAAGAACGACGTCGTTCGTGAGACCGCGGTCCCCGTCTCGGTATATATAGACCCCCAACTCGAACGATGTCGCAGGATCAACGAGCGACCACTTCAGCATCCCCGTTGACCGCGAAGATGCTAAGCCTCGGCCCTTCCCCAGCCCGAGGGACCGTGGGCACTAACCTTCTAGTGAACCGACGTTTTTCTTCCTGTTTACAGACCATCGAGGGACTCCACGCGCCCTACGCTCTGCCTAGGCTTCAGCTGGCTTCGATATAGCCAGGCCGCTCTCCCTGTTGCCACCATCGGCAGGTGGCAAGCTCGGCAAGCAGCTCTTTCATTGCCGACAAGTACTCCCGAAAGGTCGCTCTCCAGGTTGCTCGCGTGCTTTGGATCATCGGCTCAATGTAAGTCGACCTTGGAACATGTCGGTTCATCCCAACCTCATTTACTAACCAAAACTAGCATCCAATGTGCTTCCAAGAGCGTTGGCATGCTTTGCGCCGGTCGCGTTATCGCTGGCTTTTGTGTATGTGTCGCCTCCTCCATCGTACAAGTCTACCAGTCAGAAGTCCCGCCCAAGGAAATTCGCGGCCGCGTTGTCTCTCTGCAGCAATGGGCCATCACCTGGGGCATCCTGATCCAAGCAGATGGCACTCGGCCCACGAGCAGGAGACCTGACAGATGTACATATGAGCTGACGACACGGTTGAGTCGCGCCAACAGTGGCCCAAGATCTTCACCATGAGCTTCGAGGGCCCCTTTAGACACTTGACTGGAAAGGAGGGTCGCCCTGGCAGAACGGCACCGACGTCAATCCCGAGCTCGTTCATGAGGGCATGATCCAATCCAAGACACTGACCAACTTGGCCCGACCGGAATGCCCTACCCGTAACCTCTTGCGACAGTCATCGCTTGTTACCTGTCAGTCGCTATAATTCTGGTCGTTGAGCACCAACGAACGACATTTCTAACACACCTCGGCCAGACACCGAATCACCTGGACACACAGCGAGCGCGCATATCATGCAGTGTCACCAATGAAGCTTCGATACAAGGCGCCCTCAGGCGGGGGCAGCATCGAGGTCGACGATGCCGCGACCGTCGCGCAGCTGCTCGAAACCCTCAAGTCCACCACGGGCTTCGCTGACGTCACGGTCAAGTACAGCTGGCCGCCGCAAGCCGACCACGGGTTGATGAAGAGGGGGCATGGTAAAGGGCGATATATGTAAGTGCATAATCACACTCTCATCGATAACACCTCCACCTTCTGAAACTCAATAACCACCCACCGGCAGTAAGGTCATCTCTGGACTGGACGGTCAAGGTCTTGACGTGCCCGTCATGTAAGTACGTGATGCACCCGCACACATCGCCAAGAGAGTCTATCTTGGGTCCCAGAACGCGTTCTCCCACCGCCCTGGCTACGTTGTTGTGTATGGTGAGGACGAAATCCCCTACCTGGCTCAGGTTGCTATGCAATCTCCAGGTCAAATGGGACCGCAGCAACACGCAATGGCCAATTCCAACCCGGGTACTCCTTGAAAATCTTAATGGATATTACAATGGACAATCAGTCGGAAACCCAAAGGACGTATGATTATCCAGAGCCGCAAACGACATCTGTCGAGGCGGTCCGGGGAGCTTCGGAGATATGTGTTAGCCGCCGTATTGATGGCTCGCGGATGCCACGCCGCCGACGACGGCCCCAAGAACCCCCTCAACTGCCTACACGTCAGCTGCAAGCGACATTCCGGCAAGGGGTTCACTCGTCTGGAAAATCTTGACGAGCACCTCCGACGAGTCCATCCTAGCAGTCCGGATAGCGTTGCAGCTCTCGACGATAAGCCCCAGGTTACGAATGTCGGCCTCGGTTTGAGCTCGCTCGTTGGCGAAAAGCGCAAGGCGGACCTCTGCGACGAGGTCAAGCGCCTCCGGGCTGAGCACGGCGGCTTGCGCGGCCAAGTACACAAGCAGCGCGACGAGAGGATATGTCCGGTGCTCGTTACCCACCGACGATCCCTCCCGGAGTCGATCCCAACGCGAGAGATGCGTTGGGCATGACAGCCCTACACCATCATTGTAGGCGTTGGGGGAGTTGAGGCTTCAGATTTTTGAAGTCACAAACGACTGGTTGTCGCCGGAGCCAACCCGAATCTCTTGATGGGCCATCCGACAGATCAGAGGACGGGGTGCAGATCTGGGGTCTACCGGCCAGGCGCCAACGTCCGATCGTGAATGGTGCCTCTCCCGGTGAGGACCTGAACCTGCCTCCCTACCCCACGGCCACCCCTTCGGAACGTTCCCTACCTGGCGATGGGTCACCGTCCAACAGATGCTGGACAAGATCTTCCCAGATCTCGCCCAACGGGACGACATGCACAGCCCGACAAAATGGTGGTCAAACCCCACCCACGTTACCTGTATCGAGGTCCGCGCGACGACGCCTGGTGACCGTCCGGCGCATCGCCAGCGTCCACCCCATCAGAGCCGGCTCGAGCCACGATGTCGTCATGGTCGACGGGTAGAATGTAGTAGCGAAAAAGCACGAAGAATACAAAGTCAGCGATCTGGTCGTATTCTTCGAGATCCATAGCTTCCTACCCGACACCACCTACTTCTGGGAGTACGTGGCTACGAGCAACCGAGCAATCGTAAGATGAACCGCAAAGGAGGCGTTCCTGTCAAGATGTGCATGATTGACAAGCACCTGTCCCAAGGTCTCATCTTCAAGATAATACGCTTCCTACCGATTCAAGAACGGTACGTTTCTTTCGTCAAGACCGAGAAAGAGATGGCCGTGCGACTGGCGCAGCACCTGCGCCAGAGAAAGAAAGAGCACCGCGAAGATCTCGCCGCCCAGAAGAAGGAACGTCAGTACCTCGGACGACGATTCCAGTCCCGCCAGAGAATTAAAGATATCGGCACATTCATCACGGATTCACTGCACGCCACTTCTGGCAACCTCTTCCAGTCCAAGCCCCGCGGCGAGCATCAGAATCCCGTTACCAAGAACGAGGACAACAACTGCGAGCAACTCGCTTCTTAGCCCACCATCTTCCTGAATAGATGCATCACGACGAATGGGGGCGTGGGGAATTGTTACTCCAGCGGATGACGTGACTTTACGCCGAGGCGCACGCGACCTTTGCTTTCGTCCACGACAGGTAAGGCCTTGCTCCTGGTATGGAGGAGGAGGCACAAGGAGCGTTTGGCTTTTCGTTGTTTCGGTTCGGCTCGCGTGCATTGCGATGGTCGATCGGTCATAGAGAGGAGTGTGCCTTCGGTTTGAAATGCCATGCCTCTGTATATGGCTCTTTACTCACAAACCGAGAGCCGTCAAATACGTCTCTGCGGACTCAGAATTCGCTCAGAACATAGCTAAGAACATCCCTGCTGTCCCTAATGTCTCCCGTTACGACACGATGGTACCGTTGCTGCGTCTGGCAATGCAAGGAACCCAAGCAAAGCAGCCAAGACCGTCATGATTGAAATACGGCGCTGAAAGATCCGGTAGGGAAGAGCTTGGACACTATCAGCGCAGAGCTTTCAAGCTTTGCAGACTTGGGCACCTTGTTCCGCAAAAACCGTCGCCATCATGGAGAGAAGTACATTCGCTCGCAGCTCTTCGGTATAACGGTCCAGAACAAGGGAGATCTCGAGCCGACCTACGACAAGGACGACGATGAGCCCATGGAGGTGCGAAAGTACTTCTGTTACGTTAATCTCACCAATAAGGTGGCGTCCACGAACATCTCCCTGTTCCTGGCCCCCGTTGCCCCCCTGGAACTGTGGCTCTGCGGCCGCATAGACAACTGGTACCAGAACAAGCACGGCAATGGATACCGTACCCGAGCACCAAGAATGCTCGGTACGGCGCCAACGATGTCAGCATTGTCGTGTGCACCATCGGTCCGGTCGACAACTTCGAGATGTGCATCCGCTCCTGGCTCAACAACAACCCTCTGGAGCTGATCTTCGTGACCACCGACGACAAACCGATGGTCACTCTGCCTGATTGGCAAGACCAAAGCCGCCCGCCCAACCTACCAGGCAGCCAGCATCGTTCTCTTTTCTGTCAAGGAGGTGAACCAGGGAGTGCAGATGATCGAGGGCATCAACGCCGCTCGTGGCACCCCGGTCGCGACCGTGGAAGATCACATCCTGTGGCCTGACACCAGCTTCGAATACATCGAGGCTACGAGACCTAGTCCAGCTGGCAGAAGAGATGATGTCCATGCAGAGCTTCATCCAGACCGAGAAGTGTGCGCTCCCCCCTACTCCAGTCCGAAAGGCTCCGACAGCGGCGGAAACGGTCCGAAGCAGCGTTGGGCGTGCCTCCGGACTGCGAGCACCTGGCTCCGTTAAGAAGCCCACCTACGGCTGTTTCGAGCTCGTCTACCAAGACTAGATTATGACCAGCTTCTTGCCAAGCGTCTGATTTTGATTTGTTCGTTTCTTCTCCTTCGGCTTATGAATATTGAAATGGAAATTCCGGTTAATTATGGGCGAGATCTGTTTCTTTGCTCAGGCGGGTCAAACCGGCTGACCACCATCTCGCTGCCGATGATTGGTAGGCCACATCGGTACGTTGCCCGATGAAGGACGCTATGCGTTGATCACGCCGAGTTCGACAAAGCAATGAACGAGTGGATGGAGGTGAACGGCTCCTTTCAGGATAAGGATTCATTGGCCCAAGGCACGGTCCCTAACTTTAAGACGAAACGGAAACGAGCAAACCAGAAGGAGGGAGGAATGCTCGAGCTGGCGTGCGGCTACATTTACCCCGGGATGATGGCCGACGAGAACAAACGCCAGCTTGTCCGCCGTCACTTCCAGTCATTCTTTGCACGTCCGATCCTCCTGCACTACAATATGGAGTACTCCGATCGCAGCGCTCGCTCGTCTTCACACTAGACCGATTACGACCGAGGCCGGAACACCAGACATCCAGAAGACCGATCGATACGCCTCGTTCGTGCCGATGCCCACCGAGCCCGCGGGCCACCACCGCCGCCACCACTGCCACCACTCCTGGAGCTCCCGCAAGGACTCCGCCAAGAGAACCGGCAGCGTCGTGGCCCGAAAGCGCCACAAGGGCCCAGTGGCTATCTGGCCTGTTGTCGCCCCGATGAGAATAACATCGATGTCAACGCCAAAAACGAGGATGGGTTGACAGCTCTGGACTGCGCCGTGAGGCTGGGCCGGCCAAAAGTCGCACAATTGATCGATCCGGAAATGACCGCGATCTGTTTCTCGCAAGCGTGCTGACTTTCGAGATGAGCGCCAACGCCGAGAACCTGGCTTCTGCCCCCAACGGTACCCGCAACTGAGAAGGGTGCATCTGGGCCTTGGGGTAAAGGCCAGCCGTCCGTTCATCGAGGGTGATTGTTCATTCATCCGAAGAGACGTTGGAGGAGCTGTCGATCTTTGACATCGACAGCAATGACATCAGCGATAGCGAAGCCATGCCACGTCCCGCGCTACGTACCCACGACTGGTGCTGGCGATGTCGCCAATGGTGATGGGCATTCGTCGCACCAGGGGGCCGGCCACGTCCATCCCAGCAGACCGGACAGCGTTGCGATTTGCGGACGATGAGGAGCACCAGCCTGCGGCGGCGAAGAAGCATGCAGCGGTCGAGGCAAAGAAGCGCGCCAAGGAGACTCTCGAGGAGGATGGTGAGGATGAGGCCGTCGTGAAGGATGAGACTATCGGTAAGGATGAGGCCGCCAATGATTCCCTGGGAATGGCCCATGTCAAGAAGATAATAGCGGACTATCGTGCGCGCTGGCTGTCGCGCAGTGTGAGCCCTGAGCTGGCCAAGGAACAATGGCAGTTACTGGCAAAGAAGCTCGCCAAGGAGAAGCTCGCCAAGGAGAAGCTCGCCAAGGAGAAGCTCGCCAAGGAGAAGCTCGCCAAGGAGAAGCTCGCCAAGGAGAAGCTCGCCAAGGAGAAGCTCGCCAAGGAGAAGCTCGCCAAGGAGAAGCTCGCCGAGGAGACTCGCAAGGAGGGTTAAGACTCACGGCCTTGCTGCGAGCCCGCGTGTTGGCGACAAGCGTAAGGCGGACGGACCGGACCTCCGTGATGAGGTCAAGCGCCTGCAGCCTGAGTGCGCCATCGAAATCGCCGTGATCCCTGCGATTTGTGACCCTCCCCAGAGATCTCGGCCACTCAGGATGAATCCAAGGACATGATTGTCAGCGAGCTGCTCAACCAGGGTGAGATGGAGCGTCTTGTGCGAGACTCGTTCGGCAACTACGCGGTCCAGACCGCGTTGGAGCATGCCACATCATCTCCAGAAGCTCAAGCGCAAGGGGAAGAACACTGGCGGCACCCCGCAGAAAGCCACTGCCGCTCCCAAGTGAGGCGCTGCACCCGGCGCTCGAAGGCGCAAGGCTGCGGAGCAGGCCGATGGCGCCGACGCCGAAGATGACGACGTACATCATGAAGCACCAACTTGTTGAGGCCACGGGAGAGTCAACCGCGAAGATCTCCTCCTCGTCTCTGGGCTTAGAATCGTCGAGGTTGTCAAGGGGGCGTCCTAGAAGAATGGAAGAACCGACCCTGCTTGGGTACCGCATTCACGAAGGAGAACCGACCCTGCTTGGGTACAGCCTTCACGAAGAAGGAGATAGGTAAGAGCGCTCCCCACCGCCAGATTGGTCTGTCATGAGTTACTAACAGTAGGCAGGCCGGCGATGGTGGATCTACCTACTGTGTGACCATGCAGTGCAGAGACTTCCTGGCGAAACCCGGCTCGGTATACTCGTGATGGCGATCTCGTTCACTTCGGGAGAGGATAACCTTGGTGTCCTAGCTTCCAGCGTAGATGTTTTCATCGTTACGGAAGACGCTGCAGGCGTAATGGCGATAAGTCAGACTCGGACGACCTTGCCCGTGCGACCCTTGACGAGAAGCCGGGCCCCGTGCCTGGCCAGACGGCTAACTGCGAGGTCTGCGACAAAAGATTTACCGTCGCTCCGTATTCACGCACCGGCCCCAAAGCCTAAAGGAGGAATGCTATGTTCGCCCTGCGGCAAAGAGATTGCAAAGGACCAGAACGACGCCAAGAAGAACAAGAAGCCGAAGTTAGCAGCTCAGGGTGGCGGTGGGTGTCGCAAGATGGCCCCCCCATCGTTATCCAGCTCCTGCGCAACCCTCAACCTCCAGATGAGACCATGGTCGCACCTGCTCTCGAGGGCGGACACTTGGTTATGAGTGCCACCGCTCTTGTTAAGTTCCAGCGACTCGGTTGCGGCCTGTCGAGGTGGCAGTTATCGGAGGCAGGTGCGATCGGCACTCTGACATGAGCGCACCGTGTGTGCAGCGCCCAAAGTCAGCTCCAGTAGCGGCAGTAAGGAGGTAGTCGTACCAATTGCAGGGTATGCGGGAAGCAGCTGCGAAACGTTCGACAAGCGGTCGGTATTCAACGAGATGCAGGAACATGACCAGGTCGACGACGCCGAACGTCTGATCTCCAGAACCGCATTCCGCGGCCCAAGGCGGGGACGGCAGGTGGCTAACCTAGAATCTCCACTGCAGTGAGAAGGTCCTGGTTGCCGAGATGAGGTCGGGCTGGAGCAGAACTGCATCGGAAGTCATGGTGTCGTCCATCCTTCGAGGTGGACGCCTGCGACGGCGCAGTTTTCGAGCTTGCTTGCGCACCTGCCCCGCGTGCTCCATCTAGAGATGGGCCATGGCCCATGAACGGCAGGAATCCCCGGGGACCTTCGTTGCCAGTGTTGGCCTCGCAGCGTAGCAATCCTTGGCTCAGCAGCAGCGCAGCCGGTCGTATAGCACACCAGATATCAACGGTCAGCCCAACGGGCGCAGGACTGATAGCAGTACTCCTGTGCCTGCCGTGCGCATGGGAATGCGACCGACTTGGTCCCGAGGCGCCGCGGTGGTAAACTGCTGCAGTGTTGAATGTTATCCTGCATTCGTACAAAGATCCCGCACAATGGCGGACCCGGTATACGAGATGGCAGATTCGTCGATCAGCGATCCGATGTCGTCAAAGATGGAGGCAAAGAAGCCAAAGCTTGTCGACAAGCTCCATCTGCAGTCAAGCGGCCCGCCAGCGACGATGGACGCTACCAAAAGCCCGCCTTTCTCGTCTTCGCGTGAATAAGGGAGTTCGCGCGGAGGTGCCCGCATAATCGCGATTGCGTAGTTAGGGGGAACGCGTTGTGGACGCCTGTGTCGAACTGGAAGTCGCGATGCTGTCGTGCGTTCATGGCCGCGCAAGTCATGATCAATCTCAATTGCGTTCGCGATGAGTATGTGATTGTGGATGGCGGGGGTTGAGGCCGTGGCCCCCGAAGTGGAAGCAGGAGTCATCCTCGCATCCCAATGCTGCTCGATGGAAGACCCACGGAAACAGCGTTCTGGTGCAGCATGACTCCATGATGGCAGCTCGATGTTACACCATCGGGATCTCCATTTGCAACCCCGACGAAATCGAGGTTCGCCGGCAGCTCTTGCGCTACCGTGCGTTGGCAAACTTCGAGCTGGGACGCTTCCAGGAATCTCGGGATGGGACATGGCGGATATATGTCTCTCTGGTATTGTTGGTTTTTGTGTGATATCTGGTGTGTGGAGGAAGGAGGCATTGTGGACAGGGGACTCCAACATCAAGGCCGAGGGTCCGAGCGGCATGGAAGAGGCTGGGCTCAGCATCACCCACCCGTTTGATTGTCGCCGCCGCTGCAATGGGTTACAATCTCGTCATCGCCGCTGCTGCAATGGGATACAATCTCATTCAGTTCTCGGCGGAGTTCCTCGCGATCGTCCCTCGTGTCGGGATTGCGATCCTGATCGGTTTCTGCAGGTGGTGCAGCGGAGTTGGGTGGAGGCGCCGGACGCCGGAAGCGACCCCACTTTCGCAGCTCACCGGGCTTGGGGGCCGGGGCGTCCTATGAATTTCGGCATCGTCTTCCAAGGTCTCTACCGAAGCAGTTATCCCGAGGCAGAGCACTACCTTTAATCCAAGGCCTGAAGCTGAAGACCATTTGTCACCTTGGTCAGCAAGGAAATGCCGGATGGCTTCCAGCAGTTCATGGAACGCCAACGGCATTGCGCACAAGGTCTTCGGCATGGCGGGAAGCAAAAGGGCAGAGATCCCAGTCGAGTTAATGCAATCCATCATTGCAGTAGTTACGGACAAAGGAAACTACCCGATGCTTATCCACTGTAATCAAGGAAAGCATCGGACCGGGATTGACCCCCTCCCCCACCCCCGAATGGTGCAAGCTGCTGAACTCTTCAGCCATGACCAAAGAAGAATATGAGCGCAACCCAGGCTGTTTTTGAGGTCTTGGATTCCTATACAGGTCTTACGAAAAGAAAAGAGTTGGAACCCCCACCCTTCGGTACGCATGCCAGTGCTGCATCTCACGGCGGCCACAATACTTCCCTTCTTGCCGGCCCTTTCTCTGATCGCCTGCAGTCTTGTACCAGCAGCCATCCCAAGCCGGTAAAGTTTTTTGTGACTGCACACCCGACGGCATCATCCAACCTTGGTATCACCGTGCAACTGACATTCAGCCTGCAACGACAATCTGCCCCCTCACAAATACCTTCACACTGAGCATCTCTCCCCTCTACCAAGCCACACCAAAACCCCAGTCTCACGCCAACACGCGCGGCCGTCCTCCTACCAGGACCTACAAGTCAAGTTGCTCCGGAGCGGGTCGACGACGCCTGGTAACCATCCGACGCATCACCAGCCAGCCTCCGCCTCACCAGAGGCTGAGTCTGATGATGAGTCCGACGGTGCCCCTGACGACATGGACCTAGATGACGTGATTCCTGCCCTCACCACCAAGAAGCAGCTGCCTCTGTCCACCGAAGTCGTCTTCGACTCTGGCCGTGTGACTCGAGGACGGGCGGCTCAACTGGCTGGTTTCAGTCATCGAGCCGTGATGCTATCTCGTGATCGACGGATGGAGTGTTGTAGGTAGCAAAGAAGCACTAAGAGTACAGAGAGGGAGTCTGGTGCCGTAATATATATAAGCTGTACAATTGAGAACCGGTATTCCCGTGTCGATGTAGATGATGATGACTTTGCAATCCGGCTTTTCTCAAGTTCCCAGCAGCACTCCCGTGAATGTAAAATATCCCGAATGATTCATGAATGCAGAGACATGGAGGGAAGTCACGTCCGTGCTGGACGCGGTTTCCCTTCCGCTCATGGACATGGCCTTGGGATGGGAATAGCTAGATCGGCGCCATGGGACCGGGAATCGGCGATGGAGAAGCAAGAGCTTCAGGCCTCAAGATAGCAGAACGCCATCGTATGGGGACTTACGCGTTGGTGGGTATCTTGCATTGACGTTGCCGGTGCGGATATTGCCTGCTGTAGCATGCTATCCATTGGCGACGGACGCAACTGGATTGAAAATGCCACTTTCATCGCGGTTGATCTGCTGCTCGATCTTACGGGACATGATTATAACATGGATGCTTACACAGCATCTAAAGGTGTGATTTATATAAATACCTATGTTCTAACCACAGGTAGAGGAACTACACATGATCGAACGAGCGTCTTACATAGTATATAGCAGGGCCTGAGTGCACCGCATGCGTCTCTGCTCGGTAGGTAGTAGAGACAGTCGAGCTCGTGGTTTTACATCTTAAGATGAATTGAGGCGATCGCCAGAGAGAATAAAAAGGTAATATTATTAAACCATATAACGGATCGAAAAATCTGCAGACACCTTGATTCTTGGTCCCCGAAGTTAGGAGCAGGCATTTTCGCTGAGACTGTTTTTTAATGCTGCTCTCGGCATTTCTAGGTCTCGAGGGGCGGGATTATCAGATGAGTTGGCGAGTGCCTTGCCCTGGCCCGAAAAGGGGTTGACCTATGACATTACGTTGTATTCCAGATACCTCTTAACACATATAAAACAAGCTCCTTTGACTCCATTGGGTTATAACAATTGTTTCCAGTCTGCGAGTGGCAAAGAATTCACAATCTTCCTTGTGGGCTCTCAAGTTCCCGGTCAGATCAGCCCTGCCCGAGCAGCCTCGCCGGCACCTTGCTGCATCAGGTTCTCGATCTTCTGCTTTCCTCTGCCGAGTCCTCCCTCGCCGACGCCCATCCGTCTGGCAACATAGCGCTGTGCGACCACACCGACGCTGAGGCTCAGTGTCTCCTCTACCCACTCAGCCACCCACTCTCGCGGATCTACACCGCCACTCTCGACGATCTCCCGGATCTCGTCGGGAACGTTCAGGTCATCCAAGTCTGGCTGATCGCTCTCGCTGGTGGCCGGCGTCAGTGGCGAAGGCGCATCGAGCCAGCGAATCCACTTGATTGGGATCTGCTGGCTGACGGTGCTGTACATGATCTCGTGGATTGGGTCGAGCACGTAGACGGCAAAGCAGACTTGGGTGTCCGTGCTGTCCTCAGCGACAGGGCTTGTCTCCTTCTCAGCCTCGTCAGCAGTGCTACCCGCAAAGAGCGCCTCGTCGGCGTCTACGGCGATGGGCTGGACAGCAAGGAAGATGTCACTGTTCCGCACAGGGTTGTCTTCGCTCATTGGCTCCAACGCACGCCTCTGTGCTTCGCCTATACCACCAGTTGATGCGAAGAAGTCATGGGAATAGCTCTCGGCATTGACGCGACACAGCTTCGTCCCCTCGAGTAGGCCCTTGACTGCGCCGAGATCGCGAGGCGAGTCAACCTGCCTCCACCAGGGACCGTCGCGCCAACCAGCAGAGCTAGAGGCACCGGTGTAGAAGGCAGCGTCGGAAGTCCGGCGGGCGGTGTTCTCCTGACCTCGTTGGATAACAAGCAGGTCACCGCCCTCGACCTGTGACATGACACGACTAAAGACACCATATATGAGTGGATCGAGGGATGGGTAACCGACTATGTCGTGGGTGATGTGGATGAGCAGTCGTTCATGCGACGAGATGGGCGGAGCGAGCGTGTGCAGGATGTTGGCGAACGTCGGCATCGCACGGTGACGGAGGTCCTCGCCTGTTAGTATGGGGTTAGCAGGGTGCGATGAAGTGCTGGAGGCCACAATCTGCCGACGCGGTTTGGAGCACCGAGCTCTTGGAAGCTGGAGGAGATGGGAGCTGTGTCTAAGCACACTTACCGATGCCTCTCAACGCGCCAACGTTTCCTCTGACCTGCTCGGCCCATTTCTTTGCTTCCTCGTTCTGCTGAATCTCCTTGTACGCGGCCTCGGCCTGTTTCACAGCTGCGCTCGCCGTGGCAGTAGCTGTAGCAAAGATGCCACCCCACCAGCCGCCACCGGCAGCAGCCTCGGGAGCGGGAGCAGGGACGTCCTGCTCAACTGGTCCCTTCTTTTCAGCGTCTTGAAGTTCGGAACTGGTGGCACTAGGGGTGAAGCTGGCATGGAGCGAACGAGCGCTTTCGGCGGACTTGCGGGCGATGCTGGATGGCTTGTCTTCGGAGAGTCGTACGCCAGCAGGTGGCGGGGTCGCTGTGCTGGTTCGTTTGGGATAGGTATCCTTGATGCGAGGGGTGTGTGGTCGAGCGGTCTCCTGGCCGCCTAGCTCGTTCTCCAGATCGGCGAGGATGTCTTGCTCGGGCTTGTCGCCGCGGGTTTTTGGGGCAGTCCCTTTGGCCTTGGTGGACTTCTTAACTGCACTGTCGTCGCCAATGCCCTCAAAGAGCTCGCCCAGCTCGTCGTCTGTAGTTGCTTTGGATCGCTTCGCCGCCATGTTGGATGATTGTCGCGCTCACGGTGGGGTTGTTTGTGCGCGTGCTGTTCGCCTACCGTCCACTCTACTGTTGGTTGGTGGTGGTTGGTTTTGGTTCCAATGGTTAACGGCAGCCGATGGGTAAAAGTCTAGAACAGGGGCTTGCTGGAGAATGGAGTTGCTGGTCACGGACGCTTCCTCGGTTACTGGTATTGATACCAAGTAGTTGTTGCTCAACGTAGGAGAAGATGTCAAATGGTAAGGTAGTGTAGCTACCTTAGGTACCGGTGCAGTATGCGGTGCCGGCGGGCTGGAGAGCGACAGTTCCACAAGATCCAAGATAGATGTACCTGAGGCAGGTATGCACTGACACAGTCGTTGCCGACGCGAAGAGAGGGAAAACTCTGGCAAAGACTAAATGCACAACGCAGCGAGGAGGAAGGGTACGTTGTGACAGGTCATGTAGCTGTAGCTCCAAGCATTGTAGACGGATACAGTTGAGAGTCGGGATTGGGAACTTGGAAGCATTCCAGCTGTCGTCACTCGCTGCATGTGGTTCGTCACTGAGCCTCTGAGGTCCACTGGGACGGAGAGACGGAGAGACGGGGACACGGGAGGACGGAGCAGCGGCATGAACCGTGCTGTACGGTTGCTGTACGTACCCAGTACCCACTAGGGGGAGGTCGCATAGCGCCAGGATGGATACGGGTTAGCGATATCTTTCAGTGGGCTGTGGCTCCACTGCATCTGATTCGCTAGCTAAAACCGTTCAACGATCCAATTTGAGGCCAATGCCAGTGCAGGTGTGGCTGCATCCTGACCTACTGTGGCGGTGCGGCTAGGACAGCCCTCCAAAATCGGGAGAAACGGCGCTGGCCTGGGCCACTGAATCGGGGTGAATGGTGATGAGACGAGGGCCAAAGACATCGAACAATAGGATCTGCCTGTCCCAATCCTTAATACTAGGTATTCATCTTCGCCAGCTCCCTCGATTAACTGTTCTTGCAATCGATGCACCCGTCTGCCTGTGGTGCTGCAACTGATTTTGTAAGTCATTTGGTTTCTGAGGCTGGTACACCTTGTTATATCCAATCCGGCGCTCTCTCTCTCTCTCATACACATACGCACGCCACCATCAATGCAACTCTCCTGTTGATTTCAGCAGCCGTCGTCTCCCAACACCCTTTCCTCTCGACCCTGAATCAGCGAACAGTGCAACTGAGCAGACTGACAGCCGGAAGGTTTATACACAGCTTGTTTTTCTGGTCGTGTCGCGCTTATATCGCTGACATCGCATCGGTATGTTCCTCTATGATACGCCAGCCCAGCTCATATTTTTCACGCCTCCTTACTACATGCATCTCTTCCTGCAACGGCCACTTCACCACACACACTCACCATCCTCTGCCAGTCCTCTTTTCTGCTAATCCACCCTCTGTTTCCGTTTGTTCTCAACTCTTTGCACCGCGTCCCCTTCACTGCCGCGAGCGTTCCGGCCGTGGCTTTACGGTCCCACTTACATCACAATCTCCGACTCAAAACTTCCATCATCTGCATCCTACCCTTTGCTACCACCACTGACAGCCTGCATCAGCGCTGCATCGCTACACCAGTGACCATGGATTCTCCGGCTTCTACTCGAGGTCGAGGGCGAGGTTCTGCGAGGAAACGTCACACTTTCCCAGCCAGGTCCTTGTCACAGAAGGACGCTGAGTCCACCCAGGCTGCCGAGACCATGGAGCAGTTCCCGTCCAGAACGCCAACCGCCAGCTTACCATCCTCATCTTTCTCATTCGAGACCCCTAGTCCTTCTGCTTCTAGAGGCCCGCGAACCCGCACACGCATCGTGGACAGCTCAATGCCTTCTCCAGATGATGCAGACACCAAAGGCGGACGCTCACTCAGAAAGCGGGCTCGCGTGGATTACACATTCGACCACGTCGAGGAAGATGCAACTGATGCAACCACATCCGCCGCACTCTCGGGCACCGGTGCTCAAGCTCTGAAGAAGCGTAAAACTGACCTAGGCTCCGAAGATGCAGAGGCACACGAGAATTCTGACGCTCAAGTCAAGAGGCGCGCATCTGAACAACTCCCACCCCCCTTGACAACCCGTCGACGAAGTCAACTTCGCAAGGCAACTGTGGAACCACAACCGTATGTTCCTGAGCATCACATGGAGGATGTCGAAGTCCAGGATACGATTGAAGTTGGTGGCCACCATAGCGAGTCATCGGACGCATCGAATCTCAGGCGCACCAGTTCTGGCTCATCCAGTAATGACGCAAAGTCAGGTCCGTTGCCGATATCACTCAATACTTTCACTCTATTCCACCCATCTCCTGAAGCCAATCATTCTCATGAGGCTGGAGAGAGCTTTCCCGTCAACCAGCTTATGCGAAGAGGTTCACGTACTTCTGGTCCTGAACCACCGGCAATCGTCGTTGAGCAACCCCCGCGCACTTCATATGAGCATCTCACCCCATACGTGGACGGTGCTGTGGTCTATCATCCACTTGCACGACCTGACGGAGCCGAGCCCGATGCAGCGCATGAGGGTGTTTTAGAAGAAGACGCCGTTGAGGACCAAGTGGATGGTACGGTGGCAGATACTCCGGCTGGTTCACCCGGGCCCGCTGACACGGCGGCGAACTCACCAACCGCCGAAGCGGGAATCCCCTGGACACAACGTCCTCTGAAGAAGCCGATCGCATTTAGACAGCCAAGGAAACCGTCTGAATTCACCCAGCTGCTTGACGACATCAAGTCACAGTCACCCGAAGAGGCTTATAGAAGATTGGAGGTTGTCAATCGAGCACTCGCAGCTTGGCAGAACGAGTACAACGAGTTGAGGAAGATCACAGACGATGAAGATAACTCACAGCGGTATCATCAGGAGGAGGCAGCATTTCAGCATCGTCAAAAGATGGCTATCAGCAAGGATCCCGATGCCAACCCCGTCCGGAAGGACTTCGTCGTCAAAGGTATCAGAGCCAGCAAACCAGATCCTTTTGTTGCATATACGAGGCAACAGGACCGTATCATGGCCAATTCATATCTGTTCGAATACGACGACAGGGACATTAAGATTGGTCTCCAAGATCCGATCGCCCAGCGAGGTGGCGTAGGAAAAGGTCGACTGCGAGATCGGCCCAAGCAGACAGCCAAGGCGGCAGAGTCTGATGACCCTAATGTCGTCGTCGGCAAGCGCTCTAGAAAGGCACCAACGTTATTCGATGGAGTCGAAGCGGCTAGTAGCAGAGGCTCCACCCCAGTGCCCGTTCAGCGCCGTCGACGTCGTGCCGACCAAAGCGCAGAAGATATTGACGAGGCAAGCTTGGCTGTTCCGGATACATTATCGTCGTCGGCTGAACAAGTAACTCCCAAGAAGAAAGGAAAGGGTGGTCGTCCCAGGAAGCATCCTCTTCCAACCACTATTCCTGAGGACAAGCCTGCTCCGGTCGAAAACCTCAAGCCCGAACCCCAACCCGAACCTGAATCTGAGCCAGTCGTAGAACCGACTAGATCGATTCGAAAGCGCTTGCGTAGAGCTCCCGTTGCCGAAGAGGAGGAGGAAGCATCAACGAATGGAGCCAACTCGCACGCCTTACTGAAACCTGGGCCTCGCCGCGTAAACTCTAGAATCTCAGAGGTTCCATCTGGCTCTTTCTATACTATCTCGTCAATGGCTTCTACGAACGCCGCAAATGAGTCTCGTCCCGCAACATCGTCATCCACTGGCACAGTATCCACTGTAGCGTCCAACAGCTATCAGTTCAGAGACAAGCGACAGAAGAAATTCTCCCTTGACGCAAGCGATGAAGAATACGAGGAGCAACCCAAGCCGAAGCGTGTTCGACGACCAACCAAGAAGGCGCAGGTTGAAGACTTCGCACCGACTCCCGTTCCCGTGCCCGCACCAGTCCGGGCTCCTGAGCCTACTCCCGTCCCTATGCAACAGGCAGTAGCTGATGCTGTCGTCGCATCAAAGCCCTACCCCCAGATCAAGCTCAAGCTCAAGAACTACCATCCTCCTACACCCGTTCCTGTCCCCATCCCGCATCTTGCTCCAACCTCGGCACCCATATCGCATCCTTTTTCCATACTACCTGCCAACACTCCAACGCCCTCGCAGACCAGTAACGGCAATAGCAATGGCATCGAGAACGGCCCTAATGGCAGCGATTACAACACGCTGACCAAGTCCGAGAAGATGTCACAATCGATGAAAGGTAAGCTTCTCCGGGACATGCTCCAGATTGGCGGAGTGAATGATGCTGACTCTCTTGACAGCTCGATGGGCGAATGGATCAATGGACATGGCTGTTGCTAAGCGCCGAGCCACACTCAAGGCCAAGAAGGAGGCCGTGAAACAAGCTGAGCCCGGCCTGTTACCCGAAACTATCATTGAATCGGGGCAGCAACAACAACAACACCAGAACCAGCAGCAGTGATCTTCAGCAAGCCGACATACTACTAGCAGTTCTCTCCTGACTCCGAAATATCATGAAGGCCGCGAACTCCGTCGTTCGTATCGCTTCATTCCGAAATAGCCTTGCACCGGGGCTTCCAAGAAAGATCGTCATTCCGAACGAACGACGCATACTTGGATTACCTTTTTATCTGTACAATAGTTGCACTCTTCACCGGAAGAAGACAGATCTGGCAAATGCCGGCGTGAGAGTCTTTGCATTCATCGGCATGGTAGATACCCCGCTGAGACTCCAGTTCACTTTGGAACGCGAACGCAGCATAGCACACGCATAATACATATAAAATTTTCAGTATAAATCATTGTTTGGCATTTTCTGCGCGCTTTGATTTCTTCTTACAGTGTACATAGCTTTATATCGTATTTCGAGTAACACTCGCCATTCATGCGACGTCTCGGTACCTCTAGAGACGATGTCGCGTCCCGGCTTCGGGCTCTTCCAAGTAGGGCAATAAGCGTCAGTCATTCAACCCCTAGGTCAAACACCGAGGAAAGGCGTTTAGAAGGGGTGACACTACCCAGGACCAGGGATCCGGACACCCCAGCTTGAGATGTACCTGACGACTGGATCAAGCCCGTATGCAACCCAGGTCTTGCAGAAACAAAGAGAATCTCACCTCGGTTGTGGGCAAGGCGCCAGACGAGCCGAACGTAACCAGCGTTGATAGCGATTGTACGTGTAAGTAGAGCGATACCCGACCGATCTTCTGTACGAGACTCCATCGATGCATCCCAACGACAAGCATACGGGACGGTACTTGGCGAGGCTCCAGACAGCAGGCCCAGGGCTGCGCTCTTGAGTTGGTAATTCGATACGATGGAAGTTATGATGCAAGAAGTTAAGGAGCCCGCAGTGAAGCGTACATGATAAGGTTTGTGCCCCTTCGAGAAGGCGTCCCTCTAGCAGGAACTCTAATCAAAAGACATGATATGGTATACCCTCTCACGCCACATGTACTTGGGCAATCACATATATAACACGCCGAAGGTAGATGGTCAACCAGGTTGATCCGCTGTCCACCTTACCAAGTCGTCCGACCTTATGAGACATGGAACTCCAGCTCGTTGAAGAAGGGGGCGCCTTTACGTGTAGTGTAACTACTGTACCTCTCTGGCTATGTGAAGTGTGGCAGCGAGGATACAAATTACAAATTGGCAAAAATGCCTGCTAATTCAGAGCTGAGGACTTGAAATGGCGCCTGTGTATAGAAAAATACCATGCGGAAAATCACGGAATATGACGGACAGATCAAATTGCGCGTATCATGATTGTGTGAAGGTGGTGAGCAGAATGTCCAGGCGGACCAGGTGGACCGTGCGCAAGCCAAAAAGTAAGAAGCTCTGCAGCGCGAGAACAGGACGTACAGGATTCCCAGGTTCAGACTGAGAAATACTTCATGCTCGGTGTCATGCGATGCAACTGGGCTTGGAATGGGGTCACGGGCCTGCAGTCAATGCACGATGCGAATCGTCGAAAATCACAGCGAGTGGGTGATTGACAGTCCGATTTTGGGAACTGAACCATTCATTCGTTCAGGATGCTGTTTTGGTATGTCTCTCCTTTACGCCCCTAAGCCGAAATGCAAAGCGACCAGTCCTACAGACATGTTGTCCGCATCCTTCTGTCTTCCGTGAAGTGGCTGGCCATCGGTGTCCCAATCGTGACTTGTCATCAATAGATTGTTCATTGCTTCCCCAACGCTCGAAACGCTCCGTTTACATCACGACACCGGAGTTGCTGGCAATACGCTATGCGACAGGTTAGATATGGTCGTACGGATACATGGAAACGAAGATACTCACGGGCCACAGCTCAGCAGCTTCCTTTCCGACGGGTCCAGTGATGGCAGAGCCCTTCATCTCACCCTTGGGGTTGACGATCTATTGAGCCCATGTTAGCATCCATATGTGTATCATCCAGCATGAACCAAGACTGGCATAGCAGTGCTCCTCCGAGCCCTCGCGACTTCGCGCTGCCAATGGCCATGTGTCGCTTCCCAAAACAGGTTCTGGCAACCGAAATGGAAGGGGGGGATTCGTAACGTACCACACCAGCGTTGTCCTCGAAGTACAGGAAGACACCGTCGGTCCGCTTCCAGGGCTTGGACTGTCTGACGATAACGGCGGGGTGGACCTTCTTGCGCAGCTCGGGCTTTCCCTTCTTGACGGTCGCCATGACCATGTCACCGACACCACCGGCCGGCAGTCTGTTCAGGCGGGCACCGATACCCTTGACGGAGATGATGTAGAGGTTACGGGCACCGGAGTTGTCGGCGCAGTTCATGACAGCACCGCTATGCGACCGTTAGTACTCGTTCGGGATTTGGCAAACATCGATCGATCGTCGTCGAAGGTTCGCTTCGGGGAATGTCTGGGCTTACACGGGCAGACCGAGAGTCATCTTCAGCTTGCCACCGGGGGCACCACGCCTAGAGATTAGTATGTCAGTGTGTGGTCTTCATTTGGTAGTTCGCTCGTCGTCCGAAAGCCAAGCCCGGGTCCCTCGTCCTCGTAATGAGACCGGTTGCAAACCAGGTCTCGCCAGTGAGATGCAACTTCCGACCCAGTCGCAGACATAGACGCATCCCATCGCATTCCGTCTCGGCCTCGTCCTTCCATCTCCTGCGATTCTAGTTCGCGGCCACTCCTCCTGCTTCCACCCCGCTATTCCAACTCTTGCCAATCGTCGGACCCGAGCTTTTCGGTGCAATGTCGAGCTGCGGAAAATCGAGAGAGATGTACTTACGAGATCTTGGCCATTGCTGCTGATTTGTGAGTGAGAGTTGTCGAAAGGGTGGTGGGAGTGGTCTGGTGGAATTGGCGGGCTGTCTCGAAGTCACAAAAAGTTCGGTGGTCTTGAATTTCGAGCACGGAAAATTGATCTGGATGTGCGGGCGAGACCCACAGTACCGAGAGTGCTCGGGCTAGCAATTGGTTGCAGCACGTGACCTTTGATAATGATAAGCAAGCCAGCAACCACCCTGGCTGCCTGGCAGCTGCCTGACAGCTTGGGCGCGACAACATGACAACATTCGGGATGTTGAGCATGAAACTGGGAGATAAGAATGTCGAGACTTTACATGATGGACCTTTCAAGAAGCTATTACGGTAGCAAGGTGGTTTAGAGATTGATACGAAGCCACCATGTGCAGTTGTGCTGTGCTGTACTGTGCTCGTCGTTGTATCTTCACGCCACCACGCACGCAACTGACTTCTCTCCCACGAAGCCGAGACCAGATGTCATCGAAGCTGTAATCCTGCCGGACCCATGTAGATCGAGGCGCCTCCCTCCTGGAACCCTCAAACGGCCGTGATCACCATGGATTTGATCTTCGTCCTTGCGTTATGGCGTGGTGTATGCTGTACCTGATGCAGCTTTTACAGTCCCGCTCCCGACTTGCAACCAAAGAGGCATAGCTGTGTGTGTGACGTCCGAGAAGAGATTGCCGACAAAACTCCAGGTCACCGGAAGCCAGATGTGGAAGCGGTGTGCAGGCGGACCACAGGTCCTGTCCAGCGGACGGAGATGTCCCTGTTCCCGTTCAAGATGCCGGCCAGCGCGATGTGCAACACCCCACGTTGGCACCTGTCGTTGAATTATGTAAGGTTAAGGAGAGCCGGCGAGGCCAAAGATAAGGGCTATGGGCGAAGGACATCTCCCACTAAATCGATTCGCTCTGAGGTACATTCTTCAATTCTAGGACAAGGGAAGTTAAGCTTAATGTAGCACAAAGACCTGCGACGTAGCCTCTAGGTCGTCACTAAACTCCCGCGTAGAGTCTCCTACTAGTGGTTTAAACCACTTTCCAAACCACTTCATTTCGAGTTTCGAATAACTGAGGTCCCCCTTCTCGTCCGAAATTCTGCACTCGCTGATTAGTGACCATCGATTTAGTTGTTTGTCGTTCAGGCGAAGCAGAAAAGGCGTTCGGCATCCTATAAGCACACAAATGCAATCTCCAGCTCGCACGGAGGTCTCGGCGGACTCAAGCAGAGTAACGGCAGCGTCTTGGTAACCGGTTTCAGTTACGAAGAACGACCATGTACCCGCGGCCGGAGCGCGGAGGCCTGATAAATCCGTAGAGGTTGGAAGCATCTCTTTCACAGTGTCCATGACTAGGCCCTGGACACTCAGACAATATCCGTGTCTCTCGACCAAGCATTGTTTGCCGAAGCTCTTGTCATTGTCCCAGGCTCTGTTGTTCGCGGCTAGCGTCTGTTCTTGGGGCAATTCCGACCATGACACCACCCAGCTTGGTAGCTTAAGGTGGTTGGATTGCGTGTGTGTGTACGGAGCCAAAGCCAATAATTCCTCACAATCAGAGCGAAGCAGAAAGAAGGCCAGATCAATGAACACATCACGGGCCTGTTTAGCATAGTCAGGTCGCAGCAGCGACGGATGGTTCGGCGAAGTTTGCAAAAGCGACAGGATACCAAATAGCTTGTCTCGAGGATCCTGGCACTGAAACCGGCACGTCGCCTTCAGCAAGTCCAACAATCCGGAATATCTATCTGCGGCGTCAGGGTCGTCTTTGTCTGCCAAAGGCTTGTGCGCTGGGCCAGTGTAAGAATGTTGCAGGCGGACGATCTCTGGAATATGTGGGTGCGAAAGATAGTGCGGTCCCAAGGCATGGAATTTTTCCCCAAACACTCTGGTTTGAAACGATACCTGCCGAAGCGTATGGACCAAGTCGTGCCATGAGAGGTTTTGGTGTCCGATCTGTACTCTTAAGTTGACTGATCGAAGAACTTCCTGCACTATCCACGTTCGTCGAAACCACGGACGTTGGAAGACGGCTTCAAAGGACCCCTTCGATTGGTCCCAGAAAATATTGAATTGAGAGTTCGATCCCGCCGGACCAAGTAGATAACCATAGAACACCGTACAGGAAAAAGTTCTGCGAAACGATATTGCGTAGAGCCTCGGCCGTCTTATCAGTATGATGGTCTGGCTCCCCAAGGTATATCACCGTCTCTTTCGCACCGCCAAATGTGTCTCCTATGCGAGAAACTTGGGCACTGCGCTCGCGAAGATTCTCTTGGTTAATGCAGATTGAGTCTATCCAGACAACCGTTGGTACAGCCGGGCCATCTGAGGCGAAGTTCCGCAAGGCGAGCAGGGCCGCCTTGCAGTTTGCAGTCACTGGCAAGAGAGTTCCATCACATATGACAGTCTCAGGTCTCTCAGTACTGCCCCAGGTGTAGGAGATGGCGACGTATCCTGGCGCCGAGGTCGGCTCGTGAGTGCTGATGCTACATCGTCGTCGTTACTGTGAGCCGGCTGAAGCGTCAATAGTCTGATCTCGTCGTCGCTCTTCAAGGATTTGTCCTCGTAGGCTGGATGTGTCGCTGCTGTCTGCATGTTGATACCCGCGTAAAAGCTTGTATTTCTGGCCGTTGCGGAAAGACAGGAGCAAGAATCGAGATAGAATGTTGTATTGGGGATTGTCAGCCGCAGGGGGGGGTAAAATCGGCCCGCGCTGCTACCGATACAGCCCCCCTGCTGAATGTGACGTCCTTCCACCTTTGGGCCCAATGAGTGCTTGTTGTGGACCGCCAACTGCATAACCATAACTCGAGCTGCAGCATGGAACACCAACATGATCCGGAAGGCTTATTGGGCGTCATGTCTTCTGCTGGCAATGGCCTCCAGGGTCGTTTGATGTGGCTGGCGTTGGCTGTCGATATTGAAAGGTAAAAGGACGATCACTGCCTCCCAATCCGACTGCCTTGTATGCGTCAACGAAGTTAGTGAAAGCCCACGAAGGACCCCGAATATCGTCTTGGGTATGATGATGGTATTTTGGTCACTCGCTTCGCCGGGCACCCTCTCCACGACACTCGACAACTACACCAGCATCCTGTTCGACCGCCATCATGGAGCCCACGTATGGCTCCCGACTGATGCCCACCGCCGTGGACGACATTGCCCGCGCAACTCCAGATCTCACTGATGCCTTCATTCCCCGCGGTGCCGACATTGGAGACGGGTTTGTAACCGCTACATTCTCTGACATTGCCAATGCCACCAACCGTCTCGCTGCTTGGATCGAGTCCAATATCGGGACAAGCTCCAACTTCGCCGCCATTGCATACATGGGACTTGGAGACCTTCGCTATGTTGCCGTATTCCTCGCAGCCGTCGAATGTGGCTTCAAGGTACGCCTTAAATGCCAACCATCAGACTAGGTGTATATTCTAAATGAGTTGTGAAGGTCCTTTTGCCGTCGCCCCGGAACCCTGCTTGGATGAACTCGTCACTGCTGGAGCAGACCAAGTGCTCCCACCTTTTGTATGGTCCCGAAGTGCAGGGCCTTCTTGGCCCGCTTTCGAGAAGAGGCATGGTCTACAACGTCTGGAGGTCCCTCCCTGGAATGACCTGACGTTGCCAGGGGCGGTGCATTTCCCTTTCAACAGAGACTTCGAGGCAGCAAGACTGGACCCGATCCTCATTCTGCATTCATCCGGCTCGACGGGGCAACCGAGGCCGATCGAGATGAACCATGCTACCTTCGCGGTAGGAGATCATGACCGCAAACTCCCTGTCGTGCCCGGCAGAACCAACCGGAACTGGGCCCTCTGTGATTTCCCAGTAAAGGAAACTTTCTTCTCTCCATTCCCAGCCTTTCACCTTGCTGGGTTCAGCTCCATGGTCGCGCTCCCCATTTATTACTCCAATGCTGCTTTGGTTCTCAGCCCGCCAAACCGTCCTCCATCAGGCCATCTTGTCAGCCAGATCATGGACCACTTCACCCTCAAGGCAACATTCTGCCCACCCATCATTGTGGAACAGCTGGTTCAGGAGGTCGGAGGACTAGAGAAGTGCCAAAGGCTCAAGTTCCTGCTTTACGCCGGCGGGCCGCTTTCTCATGCTGCAGGGGAGGCCCTAAGCAAGGGAACGGATGTCTGTCAATTCTATGGCCAGACCGAAACGGGCCCAGTCCAAGCCCTTGTGCCCAACCGCGAGGACTGAGCCTATCTGGAATGGCACCCTGCACAAGAAGCCATCATGGAACCCGCAGTTGACTGTGCCTATGAGATGACCATGAAGCGCAATCCGGCTTTAGAGGAGTTTCGAGGCATATCATGCAACTTTCCAGAAGCGGAACTTTGGCGCACGAAAGATCTCTTCCTACCTCATCCCACCAAACCGAAGCTTTGGAAGTTCCATGCCCGCACAGATGATATCATTGTTCTCTCCAATGGGGACAAGTATAATCCTGTGCCGAGCGAGACGCAGATCGCTGCTCACCCGCTCTTGGCCGGAGCTTTGATCACCGGCCAGGGCTACCCCCAACCTTCTCTCCTGCTAGAGCCGAAGGACCACTCGCGGGATCTGACATCGCTGGTTGGTGAAGTATGGCCTACAGTCGAGCAAGCAAACGCCGATGTCCCAAGACAGGGCAGGATCACGCGGGGCATGATCCTGGTAACCACATCTTCCAAGCCTTTTGAAAGAGCAGCGAAGGGTACCGTCATCAGAAGCACCACGGCGAAGAAGTACGAGCAAGAAATTGCACAGCTGTACGCTGATGAAACGTCGCGGAACTTTCAGCATATCGTACTTGGCCCCTCGCCAAGTTTCGCAACCACGGTAAAGTTCGTGAACGAGGTCGTGGCTTGCGTATTTCCGGCCTACTCTTCCCGTAAGGATGACGACTTGTTCGTTATGGGCCTCGACTCGCTGCAAACGACCGAGATGGTCTCGCTTCTGAAGGCCGGCATCCAAGCCGGGAGGGAGGGACTTACTGCCTCTTGGCTTTCTCCGAGGTTCGTCTACGAGCACTCTTCCGTAGACAATATGGCGCAAGCCATCCAGCACAAGTCAGTGAAGCCCAGAACCCTGGCGATGCAGGTGTACCGGCACCACAGGACCGCGTCAGACAAATGGAAACCATGGTCGACAAGTGCATCTATGATCTCCCCAAGCGATCGAAGGAACCGTCACAGGATTTACAGCTGCCTAATCAGCATACGGTCATGCTCACTGGATCCACCGGCTCACTCGGTACTCAAATCCTGGTCAAGCTGTTGTCCGATTCGAGTGTCACCAGGGTCCATTGCCTCGACCGCTCTGCCGATGCCCACAAGCGCATCAGCGCTACACTAGCTTCGTGGCCTGTCGCGCCTACCCTGGACACTGCGCGAGTTTCTTTCCACCAAGCTGATCTAGGCAAGCCGGGCTTCGGCCTGACACCCACGGTGCTTTCCACGCTGCGCGAAACCCCGACTTGCATTATCCACAATGCCTGGCAAGTCGACTTCAATCTATCACTCAAATCGTTCGAGGCTGTACACATCCGCGGTGTGCGTCATATCATAGACGTCAGTATTGAGAGCACTTATCACCCGTGTATCGCTTTCGTCTCGTCGCTCTCGTCGGTCGGTAATTCGCGTCGTGTCTCGGAAGAGCGCCAATACAACCTCCTCCCGGAGAACTCGCCGCTCGCAATCAATCTTGGCGCAGCCCAGCCGCTCGGCTATGGCGAGTCAAAGGCTGTCGCAGAGCGCATACTCGCTCATGCAGCCCAAACGAGCGGTGTTAGAACCGCCATCATGCGCGTCGGGCAAGTTGCTGGTCCGATCGGCGAGGGCAACGGTGCCCGATGGGATGAGACTGAGTGGCTACCATTGCTGTTGAAGACTTCCAAAGCAACTGGAAGATTGCCGCTGTTGCTCAACCGAGACGACGGATCGCTCCTGGCGAGCGTAGACTGGGTCCCTTCCGATGTCCTCGCGTCTGCCGTCGGCGATATTGCTACTAACTTCGCCGGAAACATCTGTTCTGACCTTTCTGCTTGTGAAGTCGTTCACCTTGTCAATCCAGAAGTTAGGCCATGGGAAGACCTATTGCCCGTCATGAAGTCAAGACTCGGTGTTTCCCAGGTAGTGAGCTTGAGTGACTGGGTCGCGGAGCTTGAACAGGTGGATGTCAATGATAAGGATGCTTTGAGATCTAGACCTGCGGTCAAGATATTAGACTTCTTCAGGGACATGGGCCAAGGAGGAGGGGGAGGAGGGGGAGGAGATGAAGCTGCCTTCTCAACTGAACGTGCGAGTCGGATGAGCGAGACCTTGAGACGACTTGGCCCTGTACGTGATGAATGGATGGAGAAATGGATGATGGATCTAGGCATCTAAAGTATATGTAACAAACCAACTTTACATAGCTCAACGGTAAAAGTGTGCCTTGTGGTAGCGGTATCCAGAATAAGGACCAGGGTCACGATAGGTGGCTATTGGTCCGTATTCTGGAAGTTGCTTGATTGAAAGAAGGGATGGGTGGTGTCCCCATCCCAGAAGTAGCTGTCATCCCAGATGGGTACAAATCAGGTACAAACGGGTACCTGTTGGGCTCCAAGGTACCTTGTACCCTGGTCCGTGACCCATCCGTCATTGTGGCTGGAAAATGGGTTGAGTAGCCACAAGTGTCGACGTAAGGTGTTGCGGTCCTTCGCCTATGGCCATTATCTTTGGCCTCGCCTGCTTCCTTCAACCTTGCAAGATTTCCGCCCAGTGTCCTCAACGCCCCTGTCAGTGCTCTGGTGTATATCGCTGTTCCAAACGCTAGTGGAAAAAGCGCTGCCGAACTCTGCCACGGAGAAGAGGGAGGACGACTTGCAGCACCCGCAGGCAGATATGTATCGGCAGGACGAATAGAATCCATATCACCAACACCTCTCCTTGGCATTAAACCTCCGTCAGGAATAGGACAAGCAGATATCTTCCCACATAGAGCAAGATTATTCTCGTATGAGCTGTAGGACAGGGAACTCGCGGCCGTGGGAGGGTAATCGGACGTCTTGGTCAAATTGATCAGCGAGCCAGACCATCTGAGAAAGGCAAGAATGTAGCAACGGAAGTCTCTCAGCACGCCCATCTTGTCGCATCCGGACATGGCCTCGTGGAAGTTCAGGTAGGAGACTGGTCCCATGGTGCTAATAGCCGGTGTCGTGGCGGGAATGATGGAGGCAACCCCGAACCAATCGAATACAGGCTGCCAGTACAGGTCATCCCAGTAGCCGACCTCCGCGATATTCTCAGACAGTTCGCGGTTCAACGGACCGTACCATCCCCCCATTGAAGTCGGACACCCCCACTAGTCGGACAGCCAAACCCCACCATCACCACCAAAACACCCCCTTATTTACTTATATACGAATAAAGCCGTCCAGGTTAGAGAGATATAGCGAAATTATTATTTAAAAGCGCTGAAGCTGCTTACGTGTAATATCTAATCGGCGCTTAAATGGCTCGCCCGGATCGTAATAGACGAGGTTCTTATATGGCTTTTAAAACGTCCTTATTAAAAGGGTTATCTTCATTTTTCTTTTCTTTTTTTAATTTAATAATTATTTCTTCTTATTTTTTACGCGTACAGTAAGGCTAACAGTACTTTTATAAGATGTGATGATGTACATCTGTATCCATCTGGTTGGATGCTAAGTCATCAGGTCACGTGTAGATTAGACCAGGAGACCAAAACCATATGTGTTGCAGCCTCGGCTGTACGCACACCTGTTCCTTTTCTCTCACCTTATTATTTTCGAAATACAACACCAGTATCCAGCACACCGCCACAGGCTTCGTGACAAAAAATAATATTTTTATTATCGTTTTAAACTTTTTATTAAGATTAGGAATTTTCTAGCGTTGTTTTAGCCGTAGCTGCTTGAATTTAGCGTTTAAAGCCTTAATCTTCTTATTTTTAATAGCAACCTTAATTTCTCTAGCTTTAAACGCGTTTGCTAATTTTTTTTCTTTTAATTTAACACTTAAAGTGTCACGGGCTCCGGTACGGGCAGTATAGGCGATCGTATGACAGTCTATTCTCTACGGTTCTGGCAGGGTTACAGGTAACTCTATTGACAGGACGTAGCTCGAAGAGCTACAATTCAGGTTCGGGCGGGAACAGTGAAGATATCGTCAGTTCTCAGGTCCACATTGGTCCACCCGGGCCGCCGACAGCTGGCACCCGGGGTCCTCCACTTCCTGCCCATAGGCAGGGTCCAGCGCCGTGACATAAAGACTTGTTTTTATTGAAATTTATAAATTAACAGCTTATAATGAGGGTTTATTAACCTTGAAGGTTTTTTCTTGGGCTATAAGTAGCTTTTACGGCTAATAAAATAACATTTAATAACCTTTAAGCTTAGAAAGATATTTTATTTATTAAAGGTAAAAGTTGTTACCTTATTATAAAAGCAAATAAAGTTAATTTTATTAATGAATAAAGTATTTATTAAAGAATTTAACCTAAACAATTATTAATAGTAAGTGTTGGAACAGGCTTGAACGGTCAATCATAATACTCGAGTATTGGGTCAAGGTCATGATGTTGCTGATGGTTGGATTGAGAGGAATCTAGCTGGACTCGAAGGTCTGGCCAAGTGCCCTCTCAATCCACTATCTTATCTTATCTAATCATATATGTGGGTCCTGGTATAGATGGTTTGCAGTCTGGAATCGCATGGATCCAACAGTAAGCTTTTAGGGCTGTATAAGGCCCGTTATATAAAGTTACATGCCGTCATTAATATACATAAATGTGAGATTCTAGAAGGGTTACAAGCCTTGGGGGTGTGAGCGGTCGCTGCAAATGTTGTTGTCATTTTCAAGTATGTCGGCAGGGCTAATCTACAGCTAAATATCATACTGCACCATGCCAGGGTAGATCTACTGTTCCCTTGACAGCCCCCTAGTGGGTACTGCACCTAAGGGCATCATATATGGGATACAACATCTAACAAATACCTTTTTAATAATTTTATAAATTAAAAACTATAAAAAGGCTAAGCTTAGCTTTTTTTACAATAAAATTCACTTAGTTATCGTCTTTTTTTACGTAAAGGAAAGTTTTTATTACTATATAGAAGCTTTAATTTTAATAAGCTTGCCGTTAAGTCGATTAAAACGCGTTTAAAGCGGAATATTATATTTTGAAGCGTTTTTTTATGAAGATAAGCCCTTATTTTTGATATTCAAATTAGCACTAGCTATGTAATCCTTTATATACAAATAAGAAAGCATTTTAAGTGGCTATACAATGCTGTGTTACATATAAAAAAAGCTTTAAAAAAGCCGCGCAAAACTGTAAATTTGCTATTTAAGATAAAACCCGCGGGGTAATCAACAGTTAATTACGTAAGCGCTGCGGGTTAATTTTTACATTAAAAAAGCTTAAAATCAGGGCTATCTAAAACACTAATTACATTCTAAATAACTTCAATATCGGGCTAAAAGCGTATAAGTGAACATGTGGGAGCTTGGGTGGTGATGGTGAAGTTTGGCTGTCCGACTAGTGGGGGTGTCCGGCTTCTATGGCGGGGGGGGGGGGGGTGGTATGTGTCGAAAATCAGGCAGAAGGTAAGCTGGAACTGGATCAAGTCGAGCTGGATGGAAAGCAGGCAGTCCCCAAAGGCGATGAAGACGTGCCACGCTTGGAATTGGGTAGGATGCTTCACCATCTGCCAAAGGCGTCTAAAATTGATCTTGGCGCAGTTGGGCTCAATTAACCACCGAGTTTGAAGCAGTAAATTCCAGCACAAGTCCAGGAATGTCCAGAAGAGGAAGCGGAGGCGTTTCCAGAAAGCACCCAAGTCGTACCCATAACGCACGATTTGGCCATCACCGATGAGTACTAGTCCGTTGTTCGTAATCATGACTGTCCAATGCCAGAACCCTGCCCTTTCCTGCCCGAAGTCCTCCAGGCTCTCCTCGGAGTCTTCCGCGCCGCTCTCGTCGTCGTCGTCGGTACTCTCCACGTAGTCGTCCGCGTTTTCTTCGTCGTCGTCGTAGTCCTCCATGCTCTCATGATAGTCTGACGTGCTCTCTCCGTAGCCTTCCATGGTATCTTCGAAGTTTCGCCAGTGGTGTTCGGAATCTTGCATGGTTGATCAGGGCGGGACGCGAACCTGCAGTTTTGCGCGTTAGCGAGGTTTTATATATCAAGCTGCAGGAACATCGTGGTGTTTAATAGAGCGTGGCGGGGCAAAGGTGAAATCTTACTAGCATTGCTGCTGTTATCCTACTCAATACGTTGAGGTACTTACGGGCCTGGGCATTACCATCTGATCGGGAGACCGGCTAGTTCCAATGGTGACTGAAGTGGGAGGATGACGAAAGGGATGCTGGTAGTACTGATTTCGGCAAGAGGGAAGGAAGTTGTTGCACTGGTCTATCCGTACAGAGCTTCTCATTATGTGGTGATTCGTTCAGAGTGATACAGGAGTTAGTCATTGGAACAGTCCCGTAACGGCGGTGAAGGCAGTACATGGGATGGATTGACACGGGAACAATCACCGTCTTTCATTACAAGTATGTCATTGGCTGATTACTGCTCTCGATTCTGGGTAATGGGCCAGTTCACAGATGCTACGGGATAGTTGTTTGCTTCTCCTGGCAGAAGCCCTGAGAAGTGACTTACCAGGATGCCGAGATCGCGATTCGGTATCATTGCGATTTAGTGGACATCCCCTGGATTGACATATTGCCATCGTTATAACACAACCTCCATAATAAGATGGTATATGATTTCAGGACTGGAAGCCCCTCAAAACGCCATCGACTACGGGACATTGAGGACGATGCACCAGAAGGGAGCGAAAGCAGCAATCGACTTCGCGGTCGCAATCGCGAAGATGATATATGACAGAAAACACAAGCAGATGAGGTTCGAAGTGGGAGACGAAGTTCATCACCATCTGCAGAGAGAATATGTGCTGCCAGCGGCCTGGGGCCACCGCATAACATCGAGAGCAAAATTCTGACAACATTGACACAGGGGGAGACTCTAGACGATGATGACCTGATTGTGCCCAGTGGCAGGCACAAAGTGAGTAAGCAACCGGAGGAGTAGCAGGTTCGCAATTAGGGGACATCCATTTGAGGACTTTGCTTCCCCTTGGATCGTAAAACATCATTCTTCTAGCATGATACACTTAACCCTCATAAACCTCCGTACGCACTATATGAGAGGGCTTCTAGGTTATAAGTAGATATAAATAAGCAGCTCTGGTTTGACAAGGTTAACTATACTGACAACTAAGTGCAGAAACATAGCAGAACACACCTGCTCTCCTCTTTCCATAGTACTAGTACCCATCCAGTCAACATCAACCATGCCACACCATCCCCCAGGCCACACCACCCAGCCCAGTCTCTCCCACCAGTCACCAAGTCACCCCAACCCCTGGTTGGTATTGGCGGCTCGTCGATTGGCGACTTCAGCCTCAGCCAGCACCTCCCCCCTCCACCGTTCCCATCTTCCCCCAAACACCCCCTCAAGCACTGCCCCCAGCAGCACAAGCCGCCACATATCCAGCACACCAACCCAATATACGACCCGTCGGAAAAGCATCCACCGGAACAGACAAAGCACCAGCACCACCGTCCCGCTCCCCAACCCCCTCGTCCACTGAGCCATGACCCGTGCCGCGAAATCCACAGGCAGCTGCGCAATCCAAAAGGCTTATCTGAGCGTGGCGAAGATGTAGTAATGCCACGAGTCGCCGGTATCACGGACCACGGGCCCAATGGCGGGGGATAGGATGCTGGAGACGCCGTATTGGCTGAAGATGGCTTCCCAGTAGATATCGAAGGCGGCGTAGCCGGCCCATTCACCACTTCCTACACCTCCACCACCTCCTCTACCCACCGCGTACATTGCGCCCTTGAAATGGTACCAGAAGCACCGGCCCAGTCCCCACAGCATCTCAGGGTCCACAGCCCAGCCGCAGAAAAAGCGCCACAGGTCGCGGAAGCTGTAATTGTAGGGATTGCGGATGATCCTCCAGGTCTCCACCAGGCCGCTCTTCTCGGGCCAGAGCTCGCGCTCTGCGTAGAGGTGCAGGACCATGGAGCGGCAGGCCTGGTAGAGCATTGGGATGGCCCAGTTGAGGAATTTCTTGAAGGCGAGGAGGGGCCGAGGGAGGTGGTTGTCGCGGTTGAGGTTGTCGCGATTGAGATTGTGCTCGGGGTGTCGGTCGGTGTTTTCGCCGCGGTCCTTGAAGTCGTCGACGACGTATTGCTTGGGGGCCATGATGGATCACAGCAGAGTTGCGTTCGGTAAGGAGCAGCTGGCTCAGCAAGAGCTTCGGAACTGTTTTTGACTTAGTGATATCAAAGATCGGGTGTGCTGCAGGCTTCGATGGCTTCGGTGTGCTGAATATCTTATAATTACTCATGAAGTGAAGTAATTATCAGGATGGCCTGTGGATCATGCCTAGATGATTACGCAATGTAATTATATGTCAGGCCAGCATGTCCATCCAGGAACGGAATCAGAAGACGAGCACACGCAGATGACAGCAAACAACATACTTCAGATGAAGTGCCCGGAAGCATACCATTAACCTACATACACCACCCTCGTCTATCCATGTGGAGATATAATAATCCCATCGTAGCCTCTGCTGAAGCAGCTTGTCCATTGTGATATGCTTTCCCTCCTTAGGGGAACATTTGCCATTGCGTTTTGCTTTGACCTTTTCAAACCTGAACGCCATTCGCTTGACTAGTATACCGACTTGGTCGGAAAGCAACCCGCCTTCCTACACCGAGATTCCGTAGACGCAGAGACAAGAAGGAAACGACTGGGTATCAAATCTTATCCCACAATATCTAGTTGCTGGGCACATATTTCGCAGCGTCGTCCGTCTCGTTGACGGGAGTCGGGTTTACCGGCTCCTCCTTCTTTATGTCCTGGGTATCGTCTTTCGTCAGAGCCGGGGGAGGCTGGTCCATCTCAACATCACCATCATGGTCGACGTTAACTGACGTTGGTTCAGTCTTGGCTTCGGATTCTCCGGCTGGTGGCTTCTCGACTGCACGCTCAGGAGTGCCCACATTGTCGTCCGCATCCCGCATGAACTCGTCATTCTCCTTGGGATCTATTGCTTTGCCATTCGAGCTGTTGTTGTCGGTAGCTGCAGTCCTGTTGCTCCCGGTGCTGTCTTTGTCTGAGTTCGAAGGCAATTGTGCTTCTTTCAGGGCCTCTTCCTGCTCTGCTATACCGGCAGCGTCTATCTCGAGTGCTGGCTGCTTCTCAGTCGTGTCAACGGTAGCAGTGGCCTCTGCAACCTCAGGTGTCCCATCTTTGTCGACATCTCTCATGTCCACTTCATCGGTTTCTTTAGATGTAATGACATTATCGGTTCTACCGTTAGCTGGCGTGACATCGCCACTGTCCTCAGCATCTGAATGGCGGTAATCAGCGAAAGCGGGCCTGGTGTCCCGGATGTGATGAACACCATTTGCTCTGTCCATGTCTTCATTATCGCTTTCCTCATATTCGTTGTCCGGTTCTATCCGTTGGTCCCATTGGCGTTGGGTCATGCGGATATCCTGGTTCTTGTCCTCATCCAGATCGTCCAGGATGGCATCATCTTCGTCAGACATCGCACCCAGCGAGTGGCGAGGGGTATCCTGCATCTGCACTGAGGGTTTATGAATTGTGCGACGTAGGTTCTCGATCAACTGGTTCTTGATCTTCTCCAAGTACTCAGGGCTGTTGGCGTTCTCCATATTAGAGGCGCGGACATCGAGGGCGTAGTCGGGACCATAATACTGGGACACATTAGTATATGAACAGAGTAAGCATAGTCCGTGGCAAGACGCTGCCGTACCTCGTAGTACTCGTTAAATGGCAACGAGCGTGGCATATTGGCATCCACAAGCAACCCGGTCTCAAAGGCCCAAGTGCGAGCAACGTTGCGCATGGTGTAGCCGCCACCGCCGAGTACCAGAGTGGGCTTATTGAAGCTCTTGACGTATTTGACGCAGTTGGCATGACCTTCCATACTCAAGTTGAAACAACCCAGGCGGTCACCGGACAGGCTGTCGCCTCCACATTGCAGGACGACAGCTTCGGGATCGTAGAACTCCATGACGCTCTTGATGACGGGCTCGAAGATGGACTTGTAGGACGAGTCATCTATGCCGTCCCGTAGGGGGAAGTTGACAGCGTAGTATTTGCCCTGACCAATACCGATGTCGCGAAGTTCACCGGTGCCTGGGAAATACTCGCCATACTTGTGGAAGGACACAGTCATGACGCGATCTGTCGTGTAGAATGCTTCCTCGACACCGTCGCCATGGTGCACATCAATATCGATGTAAAGGACGCGCTTCTTGTATCGTAGGAGCTCGAGGATGCCGAGGACAATATCTGGGGGATGGTCAGATACGAGGTCAACTAGACGACTGGTGACCGACCGTTGACGTAGCAGAAGCCGCTAGCTTCGCTCTTCTTTGCATGATGAAGCCCTCCGGCCCAGTTGACAGCGATGTCGCATTTGCCCCTGTTCAAGCGTGCCGCGCCTTCCATACTGCCACCAGCACTGATCCCACAGAACTCGAAAAGGCCGTCAAAGACGGGGCAATCGTCTCCGACATTGAACTTGGACTGCTCCCGCTGAAAGCCGTCCATGTTCTCAGGGCTGACCTTCTGCAGGAAATCGATGTACTCGTCGGTGTGGAACTGGGTCATTTCCAGCCTCGTCGCGGGTTTCGCACGCTGTGACAAGACAAATCAGCTGAGCCAAGACCAGAACCAAGGGAAGCCGGATTCTCTCGGTAGGACGTACGTAGATCTCCATCTTCTTGTAGACGCCGTAATTCATAATCAAACTGTGCGCCAGTCGAATGCGATGGGGCTTCATGGGATGGCCTGCAACGTAGGCGAAATTGCCGATGTCTGAATCATAGAAGTAGGCCACCTTCTTGGGACTCGCGGTTCCCAAAGCGACGCCATTGCCGTTGGCAATATCGACAGGGGCAGCGTGCGCCATCGCGGGGGAGAACGGAGGGTTGTGAGAGATGACGATGGGAAGAGAAGAAGACTGAAGATTAGAGGCAGAAGGTTTGAACCGTTGAAGGTCCCTGTACAGTGTAAGTGTAATAAGGCTTGCCTGTCCCGGTAAGTGGGGACGTAGCCTTGCAGTCCAGAATCGATAACAATCGATAACGGCGTTCGCTGTATGCACGTAACCGAGTGCGTGCTAGGCGGGGAACTTGATGCACGCGGCAGTGATTTCATGTGCAGAGGCACCTTGATAGCCTTTGAAGTTGTGCGTTGACATAGAAAGAAGCAGAGGACCTCACGCAGACCAGAGGTATGTTGAGTGCACCCGATGAAAATACGTGAATATGTTGCTATTTAAAGCTTGAATATATTTATTTGAAGGAATCAAACAGAAAATAGCTAACCTATTAATCTTTTTTATAAATTTCACGTATGCAGGGACTCGGATAGCTGATTGTCTGGCGCATTCAGCGATCTTGGGCCTCATCACTACTTCAGGGACAATCCTCGCTCCCAGCACATTCGATGTGTATCTTGGAAGACTGCCCAAAGTTTGTGAGTTTGGCTGCAGTGGGTGGTCAGGGTCAGGGTAAGCGAGGGTACTGCCTTTTCCAAGCAAGACGCTGTACGCACGAGCCACCCACTGCCATTGCTCATATCCTTGATCACCATTGGCTGTAGAAACGCGGGAATATGAGCATTGGCAAGAGATTGACCGTTGCTTGGAAAAGGCGGTACCATCCGAACAAGGTCAAGTGTGGGCAGACACGTCAGGTATGAACCAGTCACCCAGGTCAACAGCACACGTTCTGCTATGTGATGCCCCTTACCATCGCCGAGTTACTCTTGGAGTATGATGAGGACATTGGATGTGTGATCTTAAGGTTTCGTTGCAGATAACCCCGCATCTGCACGTGGTCCACCAGGTAGACCATCATGTCAAAGGGAAGGCGTACCTATCAACCTTCGGGGTTATAATGATCCAAATTTGTCAGCACTTGATGTGACTGCCGAAGGGTCCTCAATGAGTCAATCATCTATCTAGCACACCATTGAATCTCGTCCCCGACCCTAGTATCCCACATTGCCTACTTCGAACTCGGACCAGACCAGGGCCCAGCAGCTACGACAACAAGGTGACGTTCTCAACTGTCCTGACCACAAAGGCAGATTCTACCAACATGGCTACCCAAGATATTGTACTGCTCGACTTGCCCTCCAAGCCGCCCTGCAAATGCTGGACTCCGAACCCATGGAAGAGTACGTCTTCAATGGACCCAAAAGGCATACTTGACCTCTCTTAACACGACTATCCTAGCTCGGTTGGTGCTGAATTACAAGGGTCTGGACTACAAGACAGAATGGGTAAGGGCCTCCATGATCCGACATGACAAGGACTCGATGCTGACTTGCTTGTCTTTGAAGGTTGAATACCCAGACATCAAGCCAAGACTTGCTGACCAGTAAGAAGAGTTCATTGGGCTCTGACCATGGAAACTCCATCCAGGTTGGCTCGATTTTGGTTATCGCCAGACGCTGACGACTGCCGAAATGCAGCTTCCCGAAGGATAAAGAAGAGTTCACCATCCCAACTGTCATGATGCCCGACGGAAGCTACGTGATGGACTCATTGGAGATAGCCGAACTCCTCGAGAAGAAGTATCCCGAGCCAAGCTTGCATCTGGACTCGCCGTATCTCTCGAAGCTGCAGGAGCTCCAGCCGAAGTTCTTTGGTCCCATTCGCGGTATCTTTGTGCCCAAGGTGCCAAAACTTATCCTCAACGATGCAAGTGTTCCATACTTCGTGTCGACGCGGGAGAATTCCATCGGCGTGACGCTGGACCAGTATGCAAAGGAGAAGGGCGGTGAGGTGGCGTACCAGGCTGCCGCACCAGCGCTCAAGGAGCTTACGGCAATGTTGAAGGAAAACGGCGACGGGCCCTACTTCATGGGGAAGACGGTCAGCTACGCCGATTTCCAATGGGCTTCGGTCATGATCTTCTTTCAGCGACTTGGCGAGCTAGACGGGTTGCTGAAGGCCACCGGCGATGCAGAGCCGCATCGGAAGTTGCTGGAGGCTGTCAAGCCGTGGGCCGAACGAGATGACCACTAGCTGGACCTGTCTGAGACGGTGGCATGAGACAAGCCCTAGATACCGGGCGACTCATCCTAGAATGAAGATATGAACTACCCGAAAGGTGCTTATGTAATGATGTAACTGAGAAGACCATTTAGGCGTAGATCCGTGATGATCATGGGTGGAGCTGAAGAGGCATCAAGCGTTGGAGAGACCTTGCCATCTTTAGAAGTATGAAACCGGTTTGTGCGACATAGTAGGTGGTGTAGACTCATATATTGCCACAGCTTCCAACTCGACAGTTATAAAACTAGAGTGATGAGAAGGCACTGGGTGGTGAAAGGGAACAAAACCTCAGCGGTGGCGCCGTATCTCTCGTGCCCGAAACTGCGCCACAAGAGAAATAGCTACCCCTTTCCATGGCTGAGTCTTCTGTCCCTGTAGATACGCCGAACTCAGCGGCGGACAGAGTTGGAGACATCATTTGTTCGCAAAAACCTATGATTTACAGAACCCGCGGATATGCCCAGGGGAGTCCATCGGATAATGTACAGTGGAACTAAAAAGTCACGATCTGCTGCTGGGTGATTACTTTGCGCAGTTTTGATGAGGGGATGCGGCTGATGAGGCGGCTCTTATCGATTGCGTGGGTGCAGCGGCGGCCCGAGCTCCTCCAGGCAGATCCGCCTCGTCAACCATCTCGATTACGTAAGTCAATAAGTCAATAAGCTCCATACAAGCTCTGTCCGGTGAGCTCGCCTCCAACAACTTGGACAATCACAATCCACCTTCCGGCTGCCACCGTTCAACTTGTCGCGACGCCTGCACATCCTCCAGCTTCGTCCGAGAATAGCCTACCAATCCAGATCCTGCCAAGCAACATCGCATACCTTCCAACATGGACCGCCTCAACAGAATGCTGGCTGGTGCATCCGGCATGGGTGGGCTTGGAACTGCTCCGGGATCTGTGAGTATTACCACACCCAATGTATCATCAGCGTTGCCTCGCAAAGTTGATGGTGCTCGTCCTCGCGAAGCATGCTGAGCTGACATGCTGTTCTTGCGCAGGACAACCAAGCCCTCATCGACAACTCCGAGACGGTCTACATATCCTCCCTCGCGCTGTTGAAGATGTTACGACACGGACGAGCCGGTGTGCCTATGGAGGTCATGGGTCTAATGCTGGGCGAGTTCGTCGACGACTTCACAGTGCGCGTCGTCGATGTCTTCGCCATGCCGCAGAGCGGTACCGGTGTCAGTGTCGAGGCTGTCGACCCGGTGTTCCAGCAGAAGATGATGGACATGCTGACACAAACGGGAAGGTAAGCAGGACGAACGGAGTCGACTTTTACTGCTTGCGCGCATACTTACTATTGACCGACAGACCCGAATCTGTCGTTGGCTGGTACCACTCCCACCCTGGATTCGGCTGCTGGCTCTCGTCGGTTGATATCAACACCCAACAGTCCTTCGAGCAGCTGACGCCCCGCGCCGTCGCCGTCGTCGTCGACCCTATACAGTCCGTCAAAGGAAAGGTCGTCATTGACGCTTTCCGCCTCATCAACCCACAGTCTTTGATGCTTGGTCAGGAGCCGAGACAGAGTACATCCAACCTGGGTCACCTCAATAAGCCATCCATACAAGCGCTAATCCACGGCCTCAACCGACACTACTACTCGATCGGCATCAACTACCGGAAAACGGCCTTGGAGGAGAATATGCTGATGAACCTGCACAAGCACGTCTGGACCGAGGCGCTAGAGATGGAGGACTTTAGACATGAAGGCGAGCAGAACAAGGAGAGCTTCGAAAGACTAGTCCACCTGGCCGAAGGATACGAGAAGAGAGTCAAGGAGGAGACTGAGCTGACTAAGGACCAACTCAAGACTCGCTACGTTGGCAAGCTCGATCCGAAGAAGCATCTGGAGGACGTTGGCCAGAAGCTCATTGAGGACAACATCGTATCAGTATCGAGACAGATGATCGACAAAGAGGCTACGATGCCCAAGAAAGACGCAGCGGCGAATGGACAGGCAAACGGCGACCATATGGAAGTGGAAGACGAGAAGCTCTAACTGTACGTTGATAGATGGGAGTTTAATCGCATCTGAGGGCGTGGTCCTCGGCTTTGTATCATAGGCGTTGGAAGGGCTAGCGGAACCCTGGTCTACAAGGCAATGAATGGCTTGCTTGCTTTGCAGCTGATATACAGGCAACTCTGTGTTCGACCCCTTTGGTTGGGACGTAATAATCTGCTTTCAGGTCAGTCCCACGTGGCGTATCGATTTCGACTCTACGGGGGCTCCTTGTCCAGGCACGTTACGCGCAACCGCCATCATTTGTTCCACGAGTGGTCTAGCCTCGTCAGTCTTTGGAGTGTCTTGTTATCAGCGGCCGCAACAATGCGCTTATACTCTGAATGCCTTTACTTTGCCACATGTTTTCATTCCCTTGTCTTTCAGTCCAAGCAACTCTGGGTATCTCACAAGCAGACAGACAAACAACGATATTGTCCCTCGGTGACAAAGGCACTTCACCCAAGTATATAGATGATTCACAAGCCTCAGCGCTCTAACTCGAAGGTTCATCAACATCCCAAGAGCAACATTCGAATTCCAAGATATCAGGGTCCTACTTTGACAGTAAGTTCCCTTCCAATATCCAAATATCCCCCGCTCTTGAACAATCTACTTTTGAGATGACTCCCAATCCGTTCAGCGCCGTAACGGCGTGTCTGAATAACTGCTTCCCCCGGAAAGAGCCCCAGCCTGCATATCCAGAATTCAAAAGCATACGCTATAATACCCAGATCAGAGCGAACCTCGGGCTAGGTGAGAGACCGCTGCACCTCCCAGCGCGCGTCGAGGCTGGTTCAGCATCGTCGGACCAGCCGACGATACAGCGCACGAGCGCATCGCCGGCTGGTGCCTCCAACAACAACAGCCCGAGGCCGACCACGACGACAACGGCCGTGTTGTCCGGGACGCGGTCGCCGCCGCGCATCAAGTCACAGCGTCGTTTCCCCACCACCGCCAGCGGCGGCGACACGGGCAGCCAGCAGCCAGGCTGGGGTAAGTCGATGATGACGGCCGCCGAGATGGCCGAGCTCTTCGACGTGCTGCACCGCACCTTCGACCACGTGCCGTACGCGATCTGCGGGCTCGGCGCGCTGATCGATCACGGTTTCACGGGTCGTCGCGCGAACAAGATCTCCATCCTGTGCCCGGCGCACTCGAAGGACAACGTGAAAGCCTGGGCGCAGGCGCGCGGGTACGCCACTTGGGCCGACTCGGTCGGGCTGCCGATGCGAGATGGGACGGTCCGGAGGGTGAGGATTAAGTATCTTGTCGATGATGGTTTTGATCGCCTCGAGCGCGTGCGCTCGTCCGTGTCGAACGCGACTGTGCTGAGCATGGCGAGCCAGCTTGATAATGTGGCGGCGGGCTGGCTCGACAATCGTCGGAGGGGGGACGAGCGCGCGCTCGCTACGATTGCTAAGGACGTCTTTTGGTGTCTGGACCACATCGTCCTTACACGCACGCAGTCACAACTAGACCCCAAATGCCTGCCCACGTTCCTCGGGGAGGCGTTCTGGTCCGGGTTCACGGCCAAGCACCCCGAGGCAAGGCCCGAGATGGCACGGGCGGGCATTGATGTAAGTGGGGTGATGAAGGCGCAGAGGGAGAGGGAGAGTTTGAGGGAGCATGATGCGATGTTGAAGATGTATGGGCTGCAGGGCGATGTTGTGACTGAGCAGCCTGGGCTGTTCGAGGGGATGCGGGACTTGGCTCATAGTAAGAGTGTTTACACCCTGCGCGACGAGTCGGTGGCTGGGTTGGAGACGGGGCCGGGAAAGGTAGGTGAGGCGAAGAAGGAGAAGCCGCTGCCGCGGCTGCCGGGCGAGGGTGTGGGACGGAGCTTGACGACGCAGCGCGGGTCGAAGCCTGTCAAGCTTACGGGGGAGTGGATCTAGGTAGGTAGGTCTTTGTGAGTTGGCTGTTGTGATGAAGGGCTGGGTGGTGGTGTTCTGGTAAGTATTTCTTGTGTGTGAGTTACTTGACTGAAGTTCCCTTTTCCTTTGTTTAATTGACTTTCGTCTTCCTGCCGACTATTCGGCGCATACCCTGATTTAGTATTGTGATACTACGGTGCTTTTGCTGGTGTTTTGAATATGTGATGTCTACTGAAGTCAGATTTGTTGACCTTGAATTGGGGGATGATGATCTGACTTGGGCTGCATACTAGGGGTGCTGATACATCAGATCAGCGCGCTGAACAGCCAACGCGGAAGTCTGACACAGTCAAGGCAGAGGGATTTGTGCTGCTCGAAAGCCGTCATCTTCCAAATAGCAACTCGGGGTAAAAAAAACTCAAAATGGGAGTACAATGCCGACTTGTGTTATTGTTATTGCTCTTTTTTATTGGGTTGCTGGTAGACGCCGTCTACGGGCGACAGGGGGCGCGAAGTTAATGATTCTTACCAACTATACAAGTGATGTCGATATGGCGTATTATGTGTACAACTTTCGCCCAAATATGGTACTTTGTTTCTGTGTCTTCTAACGGCACTGTTTCCGTCCGCAACGTGGTCATCCATGGTAGTCTCTACCTTGGGAGTCACAAAAGAAGCAGAATACGTTCTGGCTGGTCAAGCCTATTTGTGGTTTATCTAACTTGGGCCATGAAGGCCACCAGCAGATAGTTCTTTCACCGCCAGAAGCATCCATAGATTTTACGGACATACCTTGATAGAGAAGGAGCGCCCTAGTAGCATCCTCGGGCCGGCCAAAATTATGTCTGGGGGAGGCAAAGTTTGAGAAGCAGTCTTAGTGCTTACCACCCCTGGTATTGTCTTCTCTATAGAGGTCTGCGCCTCTTCCCGGCCCTAGGATACTACTAGGGTACTCACTCCTGCAACCGATAACACACTAGGATTGGTCACTGCCACGTAGCCACATGGGAAACTTGCTCACTTCCGTCTCTGTCAACGTTTGATCGAACTATTGCAACATTTCGATATGAGTAAGCGCGGTCTCCCATCATTCTACAGCGGATTTTCACTCTTGAGCACAGTACCCAGGAAAGCCGGCCATACACTACGGAGCGAAACCAGTCCGGATGCGTAATACAGTAATTGGCTTCAAGAAAATCATTCACCCTCTTCAAAGCCCACTGCTAGTTGGTCATGCAACTGTCACGGAGTTGTGGACTGTTTGCTTGGAGTCCTTACCCTCGCGCCGCAGAACTGCAGCGGGGGTTGACCAGTCATCCTTCCGCTTGCCCCAGCCCCTTTATCAGGCCCTGTGCAGGAGTGACTCAGCCCTCCCATGATGGCCCGTAAGATCCGCTGCTCCTCACAAGATCCCATCACAGGATCTTGACCTCGTAACCCCTGGCGGCGTGACCGCATTGGGTGGAAGCGATGCCGCCGTTCCTGTGCGGCATAGCCAAGCCTACGTACAGGATCCATTTCGAGTCTGTGAAGGAGCAACTCCACGCACCGCACCCATGACATCGTTGCCTATTCCACAGGATCCGGTCTGATTTCAGCTTGCCCACCACGCTCCGCACCCGCAAGCCCGGCAGGCCGGCATATTGCCTCGCACAAGCTATCGAAGTAGGGCAGCAATCGGATGAGGCAATCGGATCACCTCCCGAGGCGTCGCCACGAGACAGAAGACGGACTATACAAAGCCACCCACTCCATAGGGCTGCGGCTAGATCGGACCGAGTGGTGCCCTGCACTGTCTTAGAAGTTAGCTAAGCCGTGAAGATCTCTTTTCTGGACCACCACCCCAGGGATTGAAGAACGCAAGGGGACAGGATCCTATCCACAGATCAGAGTCTTCTGAGTTCCTCTTGCAGACTTCGAATGCAGACAATCAGGGAAATTTTTGAAACTTATCTGGGTATAGAATCCTTTCCATGGGGCATGCACTGTGTGTGATCAAGCTTAGCCGAACCCCTGCAACATACCGTGTATCGGCTCCCCTGTACTGTGCCGCTTTGAAGAAAGCTGGAAAGGCAAAGCAACTTCTCAGCCCGAACACTAGAGAATATTTCTGCAAGCCAAACACTAGAGAATGTTTCCTTTTTGCGGTGCGTCGATGCAAGGCGAGACGCCGATCCCAGACGCCTGGGGAAAAGTCTTGGATAGCTGTCTCATTGCATCCCTCGTCAGTGACATGGTGACGGCAGCATTTGATTGCAGACCTTGTGAGGCTGAGTCGTGACTGGAATGGGGCATCAGCATCCTGTGCTGATTTGGTATAAATATGGGTTATTGGCTGTCATTCCTACCGGTGGACACTCCGCGGATCAGCACTCTTCTGACAGATACTTTTGTATATACCCTCTTTGCCTTCACATAAACCGCCATGGCTGTCTCCCAAGCGGTCCCCCAAGAGCCGTGTACAGCCCAGTACCTCAACTCGCTGAACACAGACTCCAGGACACCTGCAAAATCCGACGTCGTCGTCGTTGGCGGAGGCATCCATTCTTTGATTTACGCCATACACGCTCAGAAGAAGTTCCTGGCATCAGCAGTAGCGGCGTCGAGCGCGACCGCTCCTTCGATAACTGTCCTGGAAAAATCCGAAAGTCCGAGCTACAAGATCGGAGAGAGCACACTGACAGTATTCGGACTATGGCTCAAGACTATCGGCGTAGGTTCGGCCTTGCTGTGGCGGTTGTTTGGGCCAAAGGACGGCCTTGCCTTCTATTACCTTGACCACAGCAACCCGAACGAGTGCGGTACATTCAGTGCTAATGGTCCGCCTGGAGACTTCGTACCTACGCTCCAGATCGAGCGCAAGATCAGTGAGCTGCTGCTCACTTTGTACGCCCAGAGACTTGGTGTCAGAGTGCTGCACGGCCACAACGTGGATGTAGATGCCACGGTGCTGCCAAAGGAGCACTGTCACAGTCAGGTGGAGATGAAGGTGTCCACTGGGCATGATGATGCGACGACAATACGGACCAACCTCCTGGTTGATGCCACAGGCCGGTTCAGACGGTTCGCGTCCAAGGCCTCAAGGAAACAGATATTACCGGGCTTCAACACGGATGCGTTCTGGGCGTATTTCGAATGCCCGGGCGACGAGTCCGAGATCCCGCTGCCGAGCTATGAGTCCTGCAACACGAACCATATCTGCCTACCTGAGGGGTGAGTCGCAGTGCCAATGACTACAGGTACTTGTTCTTTGCTGACGCGGCTCGTCTATAGCTGGGCTTGGGTAATTCGCCTTCCGAGCTGGGAAGAAAGCCCAGTCGAGAACCTTGCCGCAATGATCAACTTCCTGCTTGATCTGAACGCGCAAGACGTCCATCCCGATGAGTATCCCTCCTCCATGGAACTAGCCAAGAGATTCGGCCTCAAGTTCCGCTGGGTCGTGAGCATCGGCTACGCACTCCGCGACGACGTCGTCTACCCCTCAGACATGTCTTCCTACGGCTCGTGCGAGGCCGAGCGAAAGTTCAACTGGATCACCGGCCGCTACGCCCTGATGAAGGGGCTCATGGACAAGCACCGCCTGGTCCAAGACCTCTACGGCCCCAAGTCGACGTGGTTCATCCGCAAGGGCCTGACGTACCAATCGCCCACCGTAGCCGGGCCACGCTGGGCCGCCATCGGCGACGCCGCCGGCTTCACCAACCCGCTCTACTCGCCGGGGATCAACTGTAACATGGCAACCAGCATCTACCTCGCCGAAGCGACGCAGAAGTACCTCTCCGGCACGAAGCCGGACCAGGCAAAGCAGATGATGGCGGCGTACAACCGCTTCTGCGCCGGCCGCGTCCCGAACCTGCACCGCATGAACCGCTTCAACTACCTGCTGATGCGGTCGCCGAAGACGGGGCCCCTGGGCCCGCTGTGGCAGTACCTTTGCGGCACCGGCAACGAGCACTGGCGCAAGATGCGGACCTACACCCTAGCAGACGTGGCCGAAGTGCTGACGAGCTGGGAATGGGGCGCGAACAGGCCCGAGTTCATCGCGTTCGCCGACCGCGCGATCGCGATCATGGACGGCCCGCCGTCAAGGGCCGAGCCCGAGGCTGTGGCCGCCCTGCTGGAGCTGTCGGCGCGCATGGTGGCGGAGGCGCTGGCGTCCGACAAGTACGAAGGCCGCTGGGCGGGCCTCCTGCGCTGGTACGACGACGATCTGGTTCGCTGTCCCGAGAAGACGGAGAGGGATGTGCTGGCGAGGCGGTGCGAGGCGTGTCGGAATTGGCGGATATTAAGGGGTGATTGTTGCAGGTGTCCTACTTGTGGTGCTGCGAATACGAGGAATGAGATAGTGAAGTTGGATGACTCGGGGAAAGACGGAAGATGAACTGCGTCGCTTTCTGTTCCTCCTTTTTGGCATACATATTATATAACTTGCATAATTTCTGGTTACTAAAGTAGGCACTCATAATGCATCGCACTTCTGCACATATATCTTGTGGGTTCGGTTGTATTATGTATTATGATTATATTTGTTTTGTTAGCAACATGATACAGTCGAAGTGTAATTGTACGAACTCAGACGATGGCTTTGAGGGTCTCCTCAGCACACGCCACGAAGCCCCCGACCAGCCATATCGTAGCTCGCGTACCCCAATGCCCACATGTCCAAGGTCATTAGATGGCAGCGATAGCAAATGCCATAGCACCCAGCAAGCCACCACCGACGCCAGCCACGCCGTGACGGGCGGCGCCGGCGGTCACATACGACGCGGTGTTCGTGGGGGCCGATGGGACATTGCCAGAGGGCGCCGCGGTGGTCATCATAGATGACTTGCCCGCAGCGGCGGATACGACCATCGTGGTGTTGGAAGCAGATGTTACAATTATGCCGTAGGCAAGGGGAGTGACGACCCCCTTGCCGGAAGAAGCTGATTTAGTGACCATTGACGGCAGTCCCATCTCGGTACCAGAAGCAGTACCTGGGCCAGCAGTACCAGCACCAGCAGTACCGGCACCAGCAGTACCAGCACCAGAAGTACCAGTACCAGCACCAGCAGTACCAGCACCAGCACCAGCACCCGCGACCATCGTGTTAGAAGCAGCTGCCTTATGGTCGTGAGGTACCTCAGTAACATAAGCGGAGCATCCGTAGCAGGCAGTTCCCGTAGCATAGCCCGGGATCTCGGTCGTGTAAGTGGTAGCGGCACAGTCGTGGCATAACTGAGCCGTAATGGTCGGCGTGGCCTCGGGCTTGCTCGGGCACGACGACACGTGGACCGTTGCGAACTCGCTCGCGTCGGGCGTGCCAATGACGGAGGCGTACCATGGCTGGGCTGGGACACTGGTACTGTAGATCGGCCGCTGAAGCGTCGTCGCGCAGGTTGTGAGGGTTGTGGTTACCGTACTCCCTGCGGGGCAGACCTCGATGATCTCGATGATGTAGATGATCTCTACGCCGATGACTTTGCATGGTAGGGCGGGCGCAGAGGTGGGGTGATGATAGGGGGAGTATGTGACGGTCGAGTGAGTGTGACTTGCGTGGACGTGGCCTGGGTACACCGGGATCGAGTGGGCGTGGCTAGAGTGGACGGAGCTTGAGGAAGTGCTATTCAAGTGCGTTGATGTTGGGAATGGAGCCGACGTTGAACCGGATATGTAGCTGCATGAGTGTCAGTGTCAGTGTGTCTTCGCTACGAATACCTAGTCGCTGGTTTCCATACCTCGAGTTAGCAGGAACTCCGGTCCCGAAAGAAGCAGGATGAGAAGATGGCTTTGTGGTAGGTGGCATCGATGATCCAGGGACGAGGGCCGGCATTGATGACCCAGCGGGCATTGATGATCCAGCGACCAGGGCCGGCACTGACGATGAAGCGACGAGGGCGGGCATCGAGGATGATTCAGTGGGTGTCGGCTCAGGGGTAAGAGGAGGAGGGAGACAGCTTCCAAGAAGGGCATCGTCAACACCGTAGACACACTTGCAAGAAGTGCTGCAGGTCTCGCCGCCGTTCTCCTCGCCAAGGTCACACTCCTCGCCATAGAAAGGCTGGTATTGACCATCGCCACAGCCAGCAGGCGTAGCTCCTCTGGAAATGATGTAGGGCAGCCCGACGCTGCCATCAGCAAAGCTCTGTGACCCAACTCCAAGCACGTCCCTGGCGACTGCTAGGGCCTGGAAGCCGTTCACGCCGGTGGTAGGGTAGTCGGCGAAGACTTCGTGGACACTGCAACTCCAGCCGCTCAGAGCGGCGTCGTCGAGCGAGGAGAGAGCATCAGAAGACGCAACGATGTGGACGTCATCGTAGCAGCTGATGTCACTGCGGACGACGAAGTTTCCCAGCCCGGATAGTTCGCTGGCAACTGTCGCCGCTGCTCCAGTCGCATAGTAGCAAGATAGAGCATAATACAGACCGGTCTTTCCGCCTGCTGCCGCGAAGCGCACACTGTTGTCCATCAGCGTTATAGCACCTGCGACGTCGGAGCCGTGATAACCCGGGTCTGTGCCGATCAGGACCACGTTGCCCTGGACGGCCGGGCTCCATGCATCCTTGGTATCGTCGAAGAACTTGATAGTGTTGATGTCTGTTGAACAGTCGGGGTCGCTGATGATGATGGCATCGAACTGGGCAAAGTCGGCGGTAGTCATCGACCGCCACTGGGCATCGTCCACCACTGTTGCTTCGTATCCGAGAACGCCGGCAGCTCTGTCATACTCAGTGTACTGGAGAGTAGAGTAGAACAAAACGTTCTTGGCAACAGCTGAGCCCACCAGGCCAGCGGCCAAGAGAGTGCAACGCCAGGTGTTCATCGCGGTCGTGGATATGCGTAGTAAAAGAGTGACTTCCCCGAAAATGAATGAGTGACGAAAAGGGGCGCGAAGAAGCCCAAAACGATTGGTTGGAGTGAGTGACTGGAATGAGGGACAGACAGCGGAAAGGATATCCAAGCGTCTGGAACTCAGCATAGGTTGAGTGGCCTCTTATATAGCTCTCCAGGGGAGGCCGGAGAAGAAGGCCCCTTCAGGGCCCTCAGGGGTAGCCGGGGCATATGACAACTCCGGTGCATCGTGGGTGAGGCTGCCAAGCGTTGGCTACGGCTGAACAAAAGACTACACATGCGGTGGCAATTTGATGGCACGATGCGGCGTCAAGATTTGATTAGACGCTACACATCGGCATGAGTCCAGACCCCTTCTGCAGTGCACTTCAACGGCGAAAAGGAAGGCAGACATGATCTTGTACCAGAGCGTGTCGCCCAGGCTAGTCGTCTAGATCGCCAACGGCCCCGGCGCTCTGGGACCTAGTCGCTATGCCAGCTCCCCGCCAAGTCGGCGGTTCAGCTGAATGTAATAGTTCCGAATGGCAAGTCGATGCGACAGGCTCTTATCATATAACGCGTGGATGGTTCATATGCTGGTTCTTTGAGTATGCAGTGCTGATTGTGTTGTTTTGAATGCCTGTTTTCAAATGTGGCCTTGGTGCCCAAAATATCAAAAACGCCCCAATGGCCCGTGCTCAGTGCACCGCCACCTCCCTGGCGCCACGGTGGCTTGCGTGCCATTCAACACATGCAGCTCTCGCAATTCAATAAGTTCCCCAGAACACCATACTATGTAGCGTGGACGGTTGGTGTCTAACGACCGTTAGTTCAGTCCGGCAGCGCGCTACTGTTCAGCTCCTGAGTCGATAGTGTGCTCTAACCATTGTGCAAGAAGCAAGACCACGCGATATTGTCCTCGTGGCCGCCTCCGCTTACGTAGACTCTGGCGACAGCAATGGTTCGAGCAGCAGAATAGGGAGTGCGATAGGCTCGTGCTAAGCGGGTCGTGCAAGCGCCGGCAATCGAAAAGCCACCTTGGATTACTCCGGCAAATGCATAAGAAAGGGGGCTTCCGGTGCGTGCATGGATTCGCGTTGTTGATCGTGTGGCAAGCCTGCTTCCTGTCTTTGCTGTAAGTCAGGGGCATTTACAACCTGCCCTCCAAAGCAAGCAAGATGACGCTAAGAGATCAATATCTTCGCCGCTTGACGGACATCATATCATGAAACGGAACTCTGATTGTTAGGCGGTATTTCCCGGGTCTGAAGACTGTTTGCCAGAAAAGTAACAACTGACGGGTCGAATTCGTCAATTTCAATTTGGCGGCAGGCACAACGCCTCCTGCCAGAAGCCTGGTCATCGATGACTCTTCCTTAAATCACCTCGTGGACATTCTGCAACCGCCACTTTCCATGAGATGCGCAAAGGGAGACATGTAATAACCCCCAACTCAGGCCTGACAAGCAAAGCTCCCGGAGAAAACACTAGGATTTTTGTATGCCGCCATTCATCCCTCTCAGCGCTTCGACTACAGTCTATCCAAAGATATGGCATTTGTGAGAACAAGGGCAGCTTGGAAAATCCCGAGTGCTGCGCATGGAACCGGACATCGAACGTGTATCAGTGGAAAGCTCACGAGAACATACATACCGCTTGGGAGTCAACTTTCAAGGCGCGATACGCATTACACATCGCCTCACGGACACCCTGCCGGCCGGGTTCGCGATAGCGCGCAATGTGAATGCAGTTCATAAGCAACCGACATGATCATCAGCTGCTTCGGGGTCCGATTGGCAACGGCATGGACTGCCTGACACGACCATCCACCGTATCAACACCCTCTCTTACTGGAGCCATATGCCGCGATGCTCCCTCAGCCCCTATTGCAGTGACGCACCCTCAACTGTGCGCCCACGCAGCGAGGGTCGCATAAGGCTACGAGGCCCTGACTTCAGTTTCTGGGCTTTATCGCTTCTTCTAAGTAATCTCAGCGTGGATGCATTTGTTAGATTCCAACTGTTCGACTCCAGCTGCTCTCGACATGCCTCATGCTTCGATGCCACCTAGGCTGGTGCTCTCAAATCGTTGGATGCTATCCGATGTCTGTCGTAAATTTAGTGCGCCACCTGTTACCACCTCGATAGGTCAACGGCCGAACCGAAGGTCGCATCATGCAACCCCGATGCCACAGGTAGTCAGGGCTTTCATAGTGCCTGTTGCAACCTTGGAAACCCAGGCGCATATTTGTCTTCCGGGCTGTGCCCCAGTACTGGCTCGGTGCAAGAGGGCCACGTCTTGTGGTCGACAGGCTGCACGGCTCGACGTTTCGATAACCAACATGTCCACAATACTGCCTTGGTGGGGAATATTTTCGCCATCCTGAACGACAGTCAGACCTCGTCGTGTCATGTTGACCCAATGAGTTGACGGAACGCCGAGGTGGCTTCGACACGCCCATCTGAAGAGCTGCAACCACACTACCTTCTGCTGGGAGGCCGATTCGAACATATTGACCACAGGATAGTGCTGCAATAGCTCATTCCAACTGACCTCAACTATCGACACCGTCGACTCGCAGCCACGAGCAGGTGTAGGAACGATGACCGTAGGCTTTTCCTCTACCCCAGCGACAAACTCCACGAACAGCACTTGCTCAACAGTGTCGCCGTCAAACGTACCCTTAGGCGTCGTCACAGGGCCGGCTTTTGAAGGGGTCGTTGTGTCTTGGCCCAAGCGATGGTGAGGCTTTCCGACTACGCTTGGGACATTTGACCATGGTCCAGCAGGTTATATCTTCGTGGTGTGTTGATCCAAGCGTTTCGGTAGGAGTTGTGTGCTGGTCTTAACATAGCTAGCATCTCGGGAGCTATCCCTCGACAAAGGCGTGAATATATCAGCTTTTGTTCATCTAAGTGTCTTAGCACGGGTTATTCCTTGAACACACTGTTCACACATGTCCCTATACTGTTTCATGCCCTTCAATCGGGCCAGTTCCCTGATTCTGGGTCCAAGCCGTTATGCACGGGCGTTCTCCAAGTCCAAGCATGACACAATGGCCCCCGTCTGGTCTGGGTATCTTATGAGTAGCCAGCTCTTGACCAACTTGTGAACGCACCAGCCCTATGTTAATACAGGCGTTCCAGCACGGGCTATTGCTTGATCAAACCACACTTACAGTACTGGGATCAGATCACTCCTGGATCCAAGCGGTTTAACCGGTCATAGCTCGCTCTGCTTGATATCAATTCTCCATCGCCGATATAGGAAAATGCAAACCCTCCCAGCAATCATCTTTTTGTCTTGATATCCATTTTCAATCGGCGACTTCCAGTTCCAAGCAGACAGCAGTCAGTCTATGCGCACGTTAATATCCGACAACTTCCAGCTGCCCTTTAGTATGCTCTGATTCCTGCCAGTCGATAGCCCCGTATTGACTGAGAGTCTGACAGTCGTCAGCAGTCGAGACACAACAGACAAGGCCACCACAGAACAAATTGCAATGAAACCCTGGATCAGGGCATTGTCTGTCACGCAGCTCTCAGCTTCGAAATTCTCCTCTGCTCAAAAATCAAATCAAATACCCTGATCTCGATCTTCCACCCTCCCAGCTTGAGAAAAGCCTCCATCCTAACATAACAACACAGCAACATTTCGAGTTTCCGTCCCTTCTGTCCTCCTCTTTCAGCATCAGGGCTTTGCGCAAACGAATCAGGATGTACTACATCTCGTAAAGTTCATCATCAGCCCGCCCGTAAGTCCATCAGTAACCAGTACGCACGATACCCGCGATGCCCTCATTGCGACAACACCAGAGCTTCTCCTCGTGCGGACCTGGCGAGGTCCCTCCCGCCCTGCTTTCTGTCACTGATCTTCCCAGTGTTCCCCTTCTCATAACCGCGACGCCTTCGAGGTATATAACAGCACTAGAAGATCCCGAAATCCCCCAACCTCTTCTCCCACCGTCTTTCCCACCGTCAACAGAACCTCCTTCGCTTGGCTTGACTCATTGTAGAAACAAACCTCACGGCCCATCGCCCAATTCACTCGCTTCCACCATCACACCCACAAGCGCCGCCACACTCTCAGACTTTTCAGGCAACTAACTGAACAATTTTGCCTGGTAACCTGCCCATTTCCCTACTCGTCCGATGCCCCCAGGCCCGAGAGCTTCAACTCGCAGTCGATACACAACCCTCTAAAGACATCCTGTCGCCTGCATTGAGTAGCTCCTCGACACAAAACGCCGACTCAGAATGACTGACTCACATCTGCTTCAGGCAGCATGCCCTGCCGGTTGTCGGGCCTGGGAGGCCATAACAAACGTCTTGGGATGTGCGAGAATACCCCAAGATTGTCACGTCAGGCAATCGAGGAAGCCGTCACCTTTTCGGTATGTCCAGCTTGTTTGCACTCACTCCGACCACCTTTTCATCCGAATTTCTTTCCTCACTCGACATGTTTAATTCCTTCCACGTCTACCTTCACTTGCATACCACGGAGGCTGCCCACCACGGCCTTGCCTTGATCAACTCACACTCTTCAAGATAAGCATACTGTTGGCATTTCCACCTACTCCTTCTCCCCAAACCCCATGCGCAGGAACTACACTAACACCATGACAATCACAGGGAACTTTTCCTCGCACGAGGAGCAACTGTCTCCTTCGCCCAGTGCATGGAGGCACCCGGAATCATTCAGCTTCTACTGATAGTAACATCAATACGATCGACTTCTTGTCACGCCCTTCGGGGATTTACCTCCCGGCACCTGTAAGCAAGACGCCAGTCATCTTCGCGATACGCTTGGTTCAGTGCTTGACATCTTCACGTTAATGAGATGCATCCGCACTTTGATTGCCACAATCACGAGTCGAGCTCTACCAGCTGATGCTACAGCACTAACGCCTGCTGCTTTTGCACGCTTTGAGGGACGACAGGCGCCATCAGGTGCAGATGGCCCCCCTACACCTAGCAAGAAGCCTCTGAGAATAACATGATCATGAACACATGCCACGAATGCCGACGTCGTGTCCCTGGCCAAGAGCGTCTACCACATCATGCCTCCCATGATGCAGAAGATGAGCATCATGGACAAGGTCGTTGTTATTACTGGGTAAGTCTTGACGGGCAATTGAGACCACTATAACCGCCCACGACGCCGACCCCAGCTTCAGCCTGCTAACAGTTTTTCGACAGAGGAGCCCGAGGTCTCGGAAAGCACATGACCCGAGCATGCGCTGAGGCCGGCGCAAAGGCCCTCGTCATATTCGACGTTAACCAGGAGCTTGGCATGGCCAACTGCCTTGCCGATACTTCGCCAGCACCTTGGGCTACCTCGAGATAGTTGATTACGGTACTTGCGTAGTCGATCATTGACAGTGATCGCAATGGCGAGTACACCCCACCCTGCCCGGCACGCCTCTTTGGGTTACCATAGTGGTTCCCATCATCTCCGACCTCACAGCGCCGCTCCTCCTCTTCGAGTCTCCTCATCGGCGCCGTCATCATTGTCAACGCCAACTCTGGCGGCACTACCTTCATCACGCCCCGGCCTACGCTCCTGTGGCCAGGCTAACGGTGACAGCGATGTCATCATCGCCCTGCTTCCCTCGGACGAGCGTGGCAATTTCGGCAAATCCATCAATCAAGATCACTTACAATGTCTCGTGGTTAGTAGAAGATTCATAAAATGTAACTCTTGAGAGGACAACAGCTCCCCCCACCTAACATGGGACACTTGTCCACGGCAATCTTACCAGCATGGGGCATCGCTCGTGATACTATCCACCGAGGGGGCCTGGCAAGATCATTCTCCCACGCCTCCGGGCGTGGTTGGCCAACCCCGGCGCACGATAGTACCTAGCCTAGCACGCCTGAGCGGCCTCTTGGAGCCCCTAGTTGACGCCGCTACGCGGCAGCCCCCCCGGCGTTAAATGCTACAACAAACAACTGGCAAGATTTCCTCACGGATGCTCGTGGTCCAAGCCATGCTGAAAACCGAACCAGCCCGATGGTCAGCTTGCCCAGTGGCGTCTCTCCTCTCGACTGGCACGAGTTCGACGCTGGCTGTGGACAGGCAGATGCTGCAACGACCCCTAACAGCCGCACCCGCTTCCAGTCTCCTTCTACCGCCGGTCTCATCACTGTTCATGCGGTCCAGAATGTCTCTCCTGGACGTAGCTCTTCTCGCTTCACAGATGACTGAGAAGAAAGCTCGCAGCAACTGCCGACGTCCTCGGGCGGCAAGGGATTCACTCGGCTGGAGAACCTTGACGAGCACCTTCGACGAGTCCATCCTAGCAGTCCGGACAGCGTTGCGGCCCTCAATGACGAGGAGGCCCAAGTTGAGACCCTCGCCGTCGGTGCGACCCCGCATGTGGGCGACAAGCGCAAGGCGGATGGCCAGGGTCTCCGTGACGAGGTCAAGCGCCTCCAGCTCGAGAACGGCGGCCTGCGAGACCAGGTTGATACCATGATGAGAAACATGCAACACCTTCAGCAGGAAGTCAATTTCTTTTGGGGCCCCGCCCAGCTGAGTTTCTCACGCGGATCCATGCCATTGCGGTTTTCCAGGCCTCCTGGGTAGACGACCTGACCTCTTCGCTTCGGTGGTGATGGTAGCATAGGTGGCATGTACGGAGGCATGCCGAGCATGAACCCGAACGACCCGAATAATCCGAACAGCCTCACCAACCGATTCAACAACAGCACACAAGCAACTGTTCAAATGCTCGAGGATGTCGTTGGGGCATTTGGCGGCTTCGCACAAATGCTCGAAAGCCTATCTATTGATGGGGCCCATGCACCGTAGAACCCCAAGATGAGCCTCAACAGATGTTTCACGACCAACGGGGGCGTGGGAAACTACCACCCCAGCGGAAGACGAAGACTTTACTTTTCTAGGGTACGCTGTCTTGCCGAAGTTTGGGTGGAATACCCTTTCGACAAAAATTGGAAAATGGGCAACCCGTGAGGTCCGGAACAGCTCCAGAAGTGGGCTAAGCAGAGAACTGAAGAAAAAGCCCAACTACTGTCGTGAGAAATATTACCTCGAAGCAGTCGACAACCTTCCGGTCCATGAACGCAAAGGCACCAAGATCCGTGACCCTAGGGTCCAGGCAAGAGCTCGAACCAAAATACGAAGCCTCCAACAGGGCCTGGCAATCCGTGATGCCCGGGAATAGCTACCCGTGATGTCTGGGGACCCTCTGCAGGCCATCATGAGCGTCACTGTGGGAGGAGCGGGCAGCCAGTCCTCTTCAACGCTCTACGATACCAGTTGATGACCAAGAACTACAACAGTCCTTTGGCGAAGACGATTCTCCAGTTCGCGTCACAGTTCACCCATCTAGACACGACCTATCTTACCGAGAAGCCAAATATTCACGATACCCAGGAACAACCTGGCAACCCGTGATGCCCGGAAGAACTTGGATGGAGAACCTATGGATCTTGACAGCCCCGAAGTCGTGGTCATTGATGATGATGACGACGAGGACGTCAAACCCATGGTCAAGAAGGAAGAGGTCAAGCCCGCCAAGGACGATCAGGATGACGATCTCATCTTTGTGAGAGAAAACCAGTCTGCCATCCCCCAACGCTCATGAACGGCATGAGGCAAGCCCTTAACGGCCAGGCCGGCAACATTCCGGTGCAGGTGTTACGCCGGGAGTTTGAACGCTTCTCACAGCGAGTGTTCTAGAGGCTTGATGAATAGGAAGTTGCCGCAGCTCCGGCACTCTCTCGAATACCCAAGTGGGCAGCCCGTGAAGTCCGGGGATGACCTTCTACAGGCCATTGTGGACGTCGCTCTTCCCATGTTGGAGGAGTGGCCGGCCGTGATGGCCTTGCTCCAAGCGACCTATACCCATAACAACCAAATGGGCAACCCGTGATGCCCGGAACAGCCAAGTTGACCCAGAAGATCACGCGCAAGGAGAAGACCACTGGCGGCACCCCGACGAAAACCACTGCCACTGCCGCTGCCAAGGGAGGCGCTGCACCCGCAGCCCGAAAGCGTAAGGCTGCGGAGCAGGTCGTTGAGGTTCCCGCGCCTAAGAAGACCCGAGGCAGCAAGACCAGCGACAAGTAAGTACACATCCAACCGGAACTGATTTTTCTTCTCTTCGATGTATCCTTTTTCTGAACTTTCACACAGCGCCAACTCGGCCAACCGTAACCATCTCTGGGACGATCAGCCCGGTTCCGTTGAAGATGATAGCGAAGACCCTACACAAGCGCACACTGGCTTATTTGCAGGAGGCTCGACCGAGTGCGTTCTCCCAACCAAGAGTGCATCATCTGATCGACGCAGAGGACCCGTATCTGGTCGTAATCCACGATGTTGGCGACGAGGTGGCAGATTCGCACGTGAGGGACCGGGCGAAGACACTGCCGCAACGAGAATTCGATGCCCTCGACATCTGGCCTGATCCCGCAGGGTGCTTCAGACGCGGTTGTCGAGGAGTCCAGGTCGTTCGGGCCACCGTCGAAACAGCGTTCGAAGATTGGTTGATTCACGAGATACCCCCAACAACAAACCATTCATTTGGTACTTCCGGGTCCTGCACGACCTTAGACGGCATTTAGGGGTGGTAGGCGAGAGGGCACTGATGGCGATGGTTGAGGGAGAGGAAGATAAGACTTCATACTCTCCACGGAGCCAGTCTCGCAGCCGGGACGACTATCGTAGATCGGACAGACGCTCATGATCTCCCATGACTGGAGCAGAAGCGCCAGCGGGAGGACCAGGCTCGGGTTGCGAATGGAAGTAAGTGTATTCAGTAATCATGACTACCTAAGTAACAGCGGGCTGATTCGATGCACAACAGCAAGCACATGGACAAGAACGACCGCCCGGACAACTGCGCAACCAATTCGGGATGCCTACCGCGATACGAGCGAGAGGTCCACGGCAAGCCCGGCGGTCCCAAGAAGCCTCTCAGCTGCCCGCACGTCAGCTGCAAGCGACACTCCGGCAAGGGCTTCACTCGGCTGGAGAATCTTAACGAGCACATCCGGCGAGTCCATCCTAGCCGATTGGACAGTGTCGCAGCCCTCAGGACGACGAAGAGCCCCAGGTTGAGACTCTCAATCGGTGCGAGCCGGCGTCAGCCTCAGCGATCATATGAGGAACGGGCTGTGGCACGAGAGCAGATGATGAATAACGTCCGCGATATCTCACAACTGGAGTTTCCGGCATCGCTTTCGTCTTCGTCGTCTCGCCACCGATTTCGTGGGCACCTCCAGTTGGAAAGGTGTGCCTGGCGCGACGACTAATACTTGTCTACCTAGGTGACGGACTATTCGGCTTTGACATCAGTTCCATGAGCGGTGTCCCTGGAACCCAGGCTTACAAGCGATACTTCGGCAACCCGGTCTCATACCAACAAGGCGGCATTACTGCCTCCATGCCCGCTGGCTCTCTTGTCGGTAAGTCTCACACCCGCGCGCGAACATCTCCTAGCTTTGAGGATAGCTCAGTCTGACTTCGTGGATAGGTTCTCTCGCAAGCTCTTTCATTGCCGACAAGTACCCTCGAAAGGTAGCCCTCCAGGTTGCTTGCATTCTGTGGATTACCGGCTTAATGTGAGTCGTCCACCATCGGCTCGTGACAACTGCCACCGTCTGGCCTAAAGCGTACTTGGCGGAGACGCCACCAAAATCCTGGACGAGAGCGGTCTCAGCCGGATCGTCGTGACGAACACGGTGCTGCTTGGCGACAACGCGATACGTTTCCCTCGCGGTATTGCTGCCCGTCCCGGGAAGAGCGCCGAGAAGGCGAAGCCTCAAGAAAGATGTCGCCCCGCAAGAAGACGATAAGATCCGAGTGCCAGACGCCAAACCCAACAACGCGGATGTCGATCTCAACGATAACGACGGCATCGCAGAACAGCTTCAGATGGCGGTCCCCATGGAGGACGAAAAGACGCCCAAGCCCATGTGTCACAGTTCGACTGCTGGTGACTCCAGAAATGACTTTTTGGTTGTACGTGAAAAAGGAAGGAAACTATGAAGCTAGCTAGGTGACATGATCTGGCACATATAGGGGTTGACCCCTGGAGCTGTGGGGCTGTCTTCCAGTGGCGTGACACCAAGGCAACCCGCAAGCGAAAGAGCACTGCTACTGATGTCGAGGAAGGTAAGGCGAGCGGAGCTAATATCTCGACACCCGCCAGTCCCTACAAGAAGCGCAAGCGTGCCTCAAAGGCAGCAGACATCACCGAAGAGGGCTATTCGCCGCACTCACCACGGAGAGAGCGTCAGGTATGTGCATGCAACGAGCCTCGAATGATGTGGAAGAAGCTAACAAGGATCCAGCTTTCTCTTCAACCACGCCCCTGCTTGGGATGGTACTGTGGCTTGGGGAAGGACTGGTTCTCCGGGGGTGTCGTTTTGATTACCCGAAAACTGCCAAGTTGGCAACCCGTGATGCCCGGGATGAACTAAGCTGACAACCCGTGACGCCCGGGAAGAATCGCGGATGATCACATCGTGATCCCCTGGCTACGTTGACGTCTTTGGCGTCACATGTGCTAGGGACGAGGTGAGTAACGTCCAGCTCTTGTCCTTCCCCTATTTGATTTTTCCTTGCAGTTCGGTTTCTAGCTCAATGGACTTGTAGTTCTAGAGACGGTCTATCACACTCCTATATCCTTCATACCGTCCAAAAAGAGTAAATGCTGACCATGGGTTCTGCAGTGGCTTAATCGCCTCCTTCAGGAGCGCCTCGGCTTCGGCACCAACCTCAGCCAGACTGGCAACGCTGAAGAGCACGCCTTCAGCATGGAGCTCGGTCTGGAGCTCTGACTTGCAACTGGCTATGCGATTGAGCCGTACGAGATCATCAACATTCTGGAGCACCCGGACATCGGGCCAGGAAGCGGCAGATGAGATGAGAAGGCTGATTGGAAGCCTAGGAGGGAAGAATCGAACGATACATGGTTAAAGGAACCCGATATGCCCGCCAACGACCCTAACTGGCACCCCGTGATGCCCGGACCCACCCTACCACGAGTACAAGGCTATGGAGTTCCGAGCGAACTGGCTAGGCGAATGGCCAAAGGCCGATGACGGCAAATACTTCATCGGGCCGGGCGAGAAGTTCTGCCGGGCCAAGATCAATGGCCGACTTTGCGGCGTCGAGGTAAGTTTTTCACTTTAACTGTCATACGCATGCCGATTATCTCCTGCTAACCTTTATACATAGACCGGGTTCTCATGCGTGAAGACGCTGAAACTCTAAGTTGGCCGCCACGACGGGGTCAAGTTCAAGGCACCCGGACAGGGTGACATCAGCATCCGACGTTGGCATCCCGTGATGCCCGGAAATCCAAGTTGGCAACCCGTGACGCCCGGAGAGTGCCCGCACCCTAACCGTCTCTGGTCGCAGCGCTGACGAGACGTCGCGAGCGCAGAGCGAGCTGATCGACCTAACCAAGGACGAAGATGACGATGACGACAAGAAACGAGATGCTATCAAGCTAGAGCAGCTGCCCCGTGCCTCCTCCAAGCACCCAAGTCCAGGTTGGCAACCCGTGATGCCCGGACATTCAAGTTGATTCTTCCTCGATATTTGCCTACTACACCTCGAACATTCGTACCTTCCAAGACATCACATCGTTGCTATGTCCCACCGGCCCTGCACCACGATGCCTGCAGGAAAATACACCTCCTGGGGCGAGGAGACGCACCATGATATCCTCGTGGCCACCTTTGCAGTCATGAAGCCGACAGGTGCGCAGTGGCAGCTCATCACGGAGCAACTGAACGGCATGGGCTACGGATTCTCAGCCAACGCACTCAAGTATGCTCGCAACCCGTGATGCCCGGAGAGCCGAGTTGGCAACCCGTGGTGCCCGGATACGCCACGTTCTTCCTTGCCCATGCAGCGTTTACACGGCATCGCCTCGAGTGCACCTGAGCCGGAGCAGCAGCAGGAGGACGACGCGTAAACGCCATTCAAGAGGCATGATACAAGTACCAGCGACAGGGAAACATGGCAGAGGGATACGTTGGCCAAGAACTCCGAGTTCATTGGTGGAGGCAAGTATTCTTATGCCAAACCAGCAGCTCTCCGTTGCAGCATTTCAGGCGTCGCGAGACCACTGCGAAGAAGGCTTGGGAGGGTGATAGTGGTGACAATAACCCATTTAGGGGCCAGCCGCATTCGCATCGGTCCTTCGGTAAGTTATCCTGAAGTCGAGGCGCAACCTGCCCGTTCATCAGCAGTGTATGTCAGTCGTTACTCTGCTTTTAAGCGTCGGCCGCTGCAGGCAAGAGTTCTCTCACCTATACCATAAGTCGCGGATCCTGGTATTCGTCGGTGAGACAGGGCCGGGTAAAGCCATGCAGAGCAGGGACTTATATGGCTGATGCACATGATCTATCTCGAGGATGTTGCGCGTGGCCTCTGTTTCGACAGAGAGCCTCTCTTTAACGCCTTTGAGATTAGAAACCCTCTCCCTGCCGATGATGCTGCATGGGATGCTGAGTCTGCCGACGGATGTGCTCGCGCACTAAATCTGTATGGCTCAGGTGCGGTCAAAGCAGCAAATCCAGATGGTTCTCAGCGTGGGAAGCAGCCCGAACTGGTTCTTGTTCTCAAGACCCTGCTCTGCGGAACCGTTCAGATCCAACCAGGAATTCCTCGATACGCCGTACACGATGAGCTCCCGCATCTTCGATTGCATTCACCACGAGCTGCCTGTCGTCCCTTCATCGAGGCCCGCATATTTCATACTGTCGCTTACCACAGCCTTCCCCTGGTTTATTTTGTTCGATTACGTCCCCCCTTATTCCCCTGCTATTCCCCGCTGTTTCCCCTTATTTTCTCATTGCCCTTTACCCTCTTATTCCCACTTATTCCCTACTTATTCCCACTTGCTCCTACTTATTCCCACTTATTCCCTATTTTTCCCCTTATTTCCCCTTATTTTCCCCTTATTCCCAATCAAGGGCAGGCCGTGGTAGGGAAAGTGTCAACTTTGCGAGCCTTGTTGGATGGGCGACAGGCAGCTAGTGTGAGTAAGATATCAAGGCAGAGGATCACTCTGCAGCCTGGAGTTCCCTGAGGGGTATTTTTGACAGCCGGTTATGTGTCCCGCTGTCATGACTCGGGACACCTTCCGACAAGAAATTCGAACCCTGAGTCTTACCAAATATCTGTCCGAAATCATGTCGGCCTGCTACGAGGGACTGTACAAGCTCAAGCCACAAGGAGAGATCGACGCCGCGGTCGAGATATCCAGCGCTTTGCACCAGCGGTTTGGCCCAGCCAACTTTACCGAGTATCTAGGATGGTCCAAACCCGGAGGCAAACATCCGACTCACAGGCATGGTGATGCAAGATAAGACCGTTACCCTTCAAACTGGCATCCGACAAGTCCCCAGAGACATATACAATACGGTCCTCGCAAATGGCCAGCAGGATGTGGAAGCAGAGGTATGGATGATTGAGAATAGCTTGTATGCTTGAGAAGGGCATGGGCCCGCCAAATAAAAGCCTGCTTAAGACACTAGCGCCGGAAGTCTGCGAGAAGGTAGAGAAGGAAGAGAAGGAACGTCTAGTTCGACAGCGAGCTCTGCTGCGAGTCATCACCGGGCTGTGGCTCGTATTTCAAGCAAGCAGTGTCCGATGCTTGCTCTGACCGCCCTGTCCCGTTGCTTTGTCCTCAGACCACCCCGGTAGGCAAAGAGTTCAGAGTCAACGCTCATTAGGTCTTTGGAAGACAGCCGGTCGACGACAGAAGGTCCGACAAGAAAATCGGCGTCAATCTCGAAATCCGTCATTTCACTGGCACCGCCGGTGTCAGCGACAGAGGCACACATGCCATCCCTAAACACCGCAGAGCAGTCTATCAGCAATGGTGCATTGACTGATGAAGAAGTGGCAAGTCCATCGCCAGGGCCAGGTCCTCATGCTAGCCCCATGCTTGGAACGGCGTCAGGTGATGATTCTGACAACAGCGATGGATGGGTAGCTAGCCGAAGAGAGCGACGAAATCCCAAATCGCGAAAGAGCAGGGTGCGATCCGAAGGTCGTCCGGATGAGGATGCCGAAGACCTGTAAATGCCTTCTCTACCCCCGAGGCTGCCATCAAGCAGCTCTCCGACCCGACCATGCGTGATGCTGGCTTCCGAGTCTGTGCATCCTTCTTGAAGCAGCAGCAGCTGTCTCACCACGAGCATTGGTTTCTTCCCACCAACGGCAAGACCAGCAACGACTTCAAACCTGGCCTTGTCCCTTGGTCCATCAAAGAAACGATGAACTTGCTCGATCGACAGCGTCGATATTATGGACAGAGGCAGACAACGAAGAAAGCCCCGCCGCGCCCGAGAGCGGTGCCAGCTGCAGTGGCACCAATTGTCAAAGAGCGTGTATGGTGGTTCGAACATATGGTTGGTATCCGTGTATTCTTGATAGTACGTGATGTGTGTATGGGGGAGGATCTGCTAGGAATGGGATGGGGCAGATGTACTACGGTGCTGCTGCCCAACGGACTACAAGCACGGAACCTGCCCCTTCCACGTCATACGATATCAAGCCACGACCCGAACTGTGGGCGGGAAGCCAGTAGTATGGCGACCCGGGCCAGTAGGATGGCGACACGGAAACTTGGGTATGTCGTGCAGGAGGACCCCAACTCTCTCCCCCATCGATAGATCTCCTTTGTCACTCGCGACCCCAAAATGCTGCACTGCCACCTCCCTGAACGCCACAGTGGCTTGCGCGCCATTCCGACAGCAGCAGCCGAGACCGCAAGGGAAAGGGAAAAGCGTGAGTGTTCCCCTTATAGCCTCTTTTGAACGTTTACTAACATAATAGCAGTACTGAGTGGAAGAAATGATTGGTACAGGCATGGAGGAATTTCCCTCTTTCTTCTTCGCAACGAAGGACGGGGCGACATCCATCATGCCGGGTCCCGCCTCCTGCGCCGGGACAGCCACGACAACGACGGAAGCGTCACTGGCCGGTTCTGACACCTCGTTGGACGAAGAGGACGTCGGTACGATCATGGACAGCGAGAGTCCCAGCTTCTGCATCGACCCTGTCCAGCGGCGCAGACTTTCGAACTCAAAACTATCGAGCAGAGTGAGTCAGGTCCAATGTTTAACTTCTGTTCTTCCAGCTCATAGTCGTGTGAAGTCGAGGACTACAGTTCCGCTTCATGGAACTCGGTTTTTAGAGTGACGGTCAAGGATCTCTTACCTGATCTGCTAGATGGTTTTAGCCTCTAGGATAAAGTGGCAGATCATCCTACTGGACCTCGAGCGCCAAAGCAGTCCCGCTTACTTCTGTTGTGCGATGCAGCGGACGATCAGATCAACGAAGATACCGTACTGGCTAAGCAGTTAGCCACCATTGAAGTACTGTTCTACTGAACAGTAGAAAGTGACGGCAGAGAGATCGTCCCTCCTCCATCGGGCGACGAAGACCCCTCCTGCCAAGGTGCCCATCTGCAAGGGGTTCGACAAGAGGTCGATGCCATGCAGGTGCTGCACGAGCTGCAGGTGCAATGGATCCGCGTCGTGGCGGCCGACCGCGACGACCGCGAGTGGAAGACCATAATTGACCTGCGCTACGCCGCCAAGCAGAAGAGCATGCAGCAGGACGCCGACCACACCGACTACTGGTCCTCCTCCGACGGCAACAAGGCCGGCGGCCACGACCAGCAGGCCGTGCCCAACGAGAGCGACCTCCGCTGCATCAACCAGGCCTTCGTCGACAATGTCAAGAAGGCCAGAAACCACCTGCGATCGCTGCCCTGGCGCCTCGAGGGCTCCATCGACGATGAAGACGAGGAGGTTGCGGTGTCGAGCGTGTCAATGAAGGGCACGGCTCTGTCAACTGGGGATGGACGGTCCATGTCAGCCAAGTTGGCAATGACGTCCGTGGTTTCTCCGATCCGGGCTCTGACCTTCAACTCTCTACCAAGCTCGAGAAGTTGATGACTCGCCTTCTGCGAGTGTCAAGGCAAGAATGTCGCGTCTGTGTGCTTCATGTTCTAGGGCCAGCGCGTCCAGCTACCACTTAGATACTTCATCATTGGGATGACTCTGAACCCAAAGGCCACTCTTTCTGCTGGTCCGGCACGACCTTAAACTGCTTTTAGGACTTCTCATTCGCAAACGCATCCGACCTTGCAGGCCCACTGGTCGATACTCTTCATCTATCCCCTAATACCACCAAGTTTTCTTCAGTTGGATCAATCGATCATATTATAAGCCCTCCAGCCCCTGCCGCCACCATGAAGCATCTCGTTCCACTAGTGAATCCAGCAGTATATACAACACCATGGGTAGTCCCCCATGGCTACCACAAGTTCTACGTCTCTGGCATCTTCGATATAGACCAGCCGGTCCGGCACGACCTTAAATTGCATTTAAGACTTGAAGTTCGCGGGATGAGACTTTTATTCAGTAAGACATGGTAAGTTTCCTTCCCCTGACATTACTCACATGCTATGTGGCTGACTGATGCAGACGAAACTGCAATACTACATCACCCTCATCCGCGAGGAGAACAGCCGCGTTGTCAATGGCATGACCATCGCGCAGAAGCGAAACCTCCAGGCCAATGGAAAGACGACCATAACCGACTATCAGTTGCCCGAGCCTCAATTCGACAAGGCCACGATTGACTGCAAGGCCGCGGGGCAGAATTCGAGATGAAGGACAGGAGCAAACCACCGCTCCAAAATGGGAACTACCCCCGCTTTGGCCGTAAGTTCATCCAATGTCTCTCTCCCGAGAGCTTCCCCTTAAGGTATTCAGCATTATTAACGATCAGACTTCTGCAGGGGATCGTACGTCGCCTTCGAGGCCATGGGAATCGAGGGCAGGCTTTGGAGATGGCGTGCCTTGTCGTTTACCCTCAAGGACTCCATGGAAGTCTGCCGACGTGCCGGTTCAGCGATGACGATCGCGTCCGCCTGCAAGCTCTGGAGGAGCTGTCGATCTTTGACATCGACAGTAACGATGTCCGTGACAGCGAAGTGATGCCACGAGAGTGGCCTCTCATGGAGAAGCTGAAAATACTAAGACTGTCCGCCGGAGGACGTCGGTGTTAGCTTGCGCTGGTAGGTTATCCCGCAGACCTCGTGTGCAAGTTCCCCTACTGACTGTTCGTAGTCGGGCCTAATGATCCGCACCCCGAACCTCGAAGAGGTTTGGTTCGAAGGTTTGGCGCTGTGGTTATTGAACGAGCACACCGGATGGGAGAACGTCAAGAAACCGAGTGCGGCAACACCGCCCGGTCTCAGTCGTACGGCTTTCGCAACGAGCACGGCACAACGGCCGTGATGATAGTGCATCCGCCATGCCCATGGTGTACTCGCCTCGGCTTGGTCTTTGCATATTCAACCTCTTTAGGTCTGTCTCTGGTTCTGCTGTCGCGCCTGCTGTCGCGCCTGCCGTCGTTGCCGGGCGATGCTGCCAACCCGTTCCTGTAACCCACTGGCTCGGCTGCCAGTGTTGGCTAAGCTACGCCACGGGCAGCTGCTGGACGTCTGGCACAGGGTGGGGCTTCGGCAACCCGGCCAAATGATTGTCCTGTTCCGTGACTCAGCCCCTGGCCCGCTCCGGCGGAGCACCCCCCTATTTGCTTTGGTCCGGTGAAAAGAGTCCACTGGTCCCAAGACATTCAGGACAAGGACAGTGCCTTTCGGGGACCACAGCTGCGAGGGCGTCGGGTCCTCGAGTTGAAGGAGACGCTCGGAGGCTGGTTACGGAAGGTTGCCCCCCCCGCCCCCCCTGTTATACTATCACTTAACATACTGACACGTGCTTAGACTGCTGGTCCTGGTTCCCTTGTCGCGTCTGGCCAATGAATCTGTCACGCCTCCCTTGCCTGCCCCCTCGGATATGTTCAACTCCTCACCTCCTGGACGGTCTCCTTGCAGGTGTGCCGTGTCGTTCACCATCAAGGTCTCTCTAAACCTTGCCAGCGCGGTGATGGCATTCTCCTCTGGCAACCCGTGATACCGAAATACGCATTTGAACACAGCTCGTAGTAGGGCATGTCGGGACTCCGACTTATATGATATTTGTGTACGAAGATCATCAACCTCGATGTGGACGAGGATATTAACGATGTTTCTTTCAATCCACGGGTTTCGTCGCGAAGGATCCTTGCCAAGTTATTAACCTCGATGGTGAAGATCGAGAGTCCACCTTTCGACGCTGGTGTTCACAACCGTGATGTTCACAATGCCGCGAACATCGGTGCCTACAACGCTGACGCCAACAACGCTTACGTCAACAATCATACCCTTTCCTACAAGCAGGTTTGGGACACCGTGCTGGTAGACCATATCAATCCCTCTCCCATGACATTGGGCAGACCACTGTTCTGAAGCTGCTGGTTGGTAGCGCCTCCACGATTGCCGGGTTGCAACACCTTCTGGAGAGCCGCGGCCCTATAACATCTAAAAGACTACAACGGTCAAGACAGGGGGCCATGATGGAGACTATCCGGGAGACCAATGAGTATTACATTTCCTTACTCAAGATGGCATCTACTGATGACGGTACCAACCCGATCACCACCCGCGACGTCGGAGACCATAGTCGCCATCTTCAAGTCATTGAAGCGTGCCCCCCGCGGTGGCAGGCATGGTATTTGACTGGCAACAGGTTACCGCGAAAGTACTTGTCGCCGGCGATGTTCACGTCATTCGTGATCAAGGAAAAAAAAAAAAAGACATTCGTGCTGGCCTTGCTGTTACTTGACGGCCTACCTTCACCTGGTATTGCGAGATATGTTTTCTGCGTACTTCTTGCTCTGTACACATCTTCTCGGCATTCCTATTGACTTCCTGCTTCCTGGAAATGTCGAGTTGGCAACCCGTGGTGCCCGGATACTCAGTTAGACGCGGCCCATCACCATATGCCTCCAGCCCCTTCATCCCTTCACCCCTTCACCCAACATGACGAGCAACGATACCCCTAGCGCGTGTCTCGCATGCGACTCGCCGGGTGTCCTCAAATGCGGCCGCTGCCACGACGCCCGCTATTGCTCAGCGAAGTACCAGCGTTTCGATTGGCGCGTCCACAAGCTCCTCTGTTCCGCCTTCACCGCCTTCGACATGTCGACTCGGCCTAGCAGGCCCAAACATTCTTGTTTGAGTCTCTGATGGGATTTCAACCATACCCTCGCCAAGGACAGTGACAAAGAAAAATGAAGATCCCCATGAGGAAGATCTTGACGACCAGAACCAGCAATGCGCCAAGCCTCGGGTCTTCCTCGTCCACGGACGAGGCAACATCCACAGCAAACTTGACGAAGAACTGAGCAGTACGACTGATACGGGCACCGTGTCGTCTTCGACTACCTCTGCTCGTTCAAAGTGAGCAGGTCCCGGGAGGATAGCACGCGGGGATTGCGGATGCAAATCGATATGTCCGTGAAGCTATCCCCGTCCCCCGCATTCTCCCTTATTCCCTTTATTCCCGCCTATTTCCCCTTATTTTTCTTATTGCCCCTTACTCCCCTTACTCCCCCCTATCCCCCCCTATTTCCCCTTATTTCCCCTTATTTCCCTTTATCCCCCCTTATTCCCGCTTATTCCCGCTTATTCCTCCCGGGACCTCCTTCGCCCTTTCCCAGGCGACTAAGAACCGAGGGCAACGGACGTGCCCACATCTGCGCCGACCTACACGACCGGCATGCTCGGCTGCCCACGTCCCATCTCAAGAGCTTCTCTCCAGCCCCGCCGCCGACTCTTGAGCCGAGCATCGAGTCGCACCAGTCCGCTGGAGGGCAGTACTGGTGGGAGTCCCCACATGGGTAGCCCCCATATGGGTAGCGTGGGCTGGCACTCGCCGGCGCATATGCCTTCCCCCCTCATAACAATAGCGGCAACGGCTATGTCTATCCCGATCCGGACCAATCATTTGCTAGCAAACAACCCGTGATGCCCGGGTACAGTGCAAGTTGGCACCCCGTGATGCCCGGAGACTAAGTTGGAAGCGAGTGGGTAGCTGAATCACCGCTACGGTGATTAATCCATGGCGTTTTCCAGTGAAGGAAAGGGGATTCGAGCAACACGGGTAATGTTTTCGAGTCATGCCAGCCGCGCGAGGGAAAAAAAGAAGAAGAGAAGAGTTTCTCCAAGTCAGGATTTTTCGCAACTGTTTTGCCTGGCTCGGCTGCCAGTGCCGGCGAAGCTGCGCCAGCTACCGCGACATCGTCGGGTCTACCACAGCTGCCCCGCTTGAGAAGAATGTTCTCACGCAGGATGTCCCGGGCGACAATTGGCAGAAGATGAGCTTCGAGAAACGCTACGCGCTTAACTTTCCGCAGGCCGATATGTCTATCGACAAGTAGATCAACCAGACCAGCAGCGCGGGTTCGTCCATGCAGAGAGCTCCCTTAGAGAGCTTCCAGTACACCTGGTGTTTCACGCCATAGTTATGAGCCTATGTTTCAGATGGTGGCTGATTCCTACGCCCAGTAGGCCACTGCGCCGAAGCTGTTGACGGGCGAATTGTTCTTTACAGTCTCAGAGGCCAACGCGCGATCGAGGTCAACGGCTTCAGCTTGCCGGCTCTTCGGACTGGCGACACCAACTTGAGCGTATTCCGACCGAACGAATCCGACCCCGACCTTGAAACTGAGGGGGGAAACGTTCAATATTTGTGCCCAGTGGCTCGTCCTTGACGGTGACTCGAAGGAACGCTCCAAATTCACGGTCACATCCAAAATTTCATCGGTCCATCGTCACAACGAAGGGAAACGGAAATGAGCTTACTGCTAAGTCCACGGAGACTTCTAACAGGCTATGAATGCGACGGCGAACCTAATGGAGATCGCTACTGGCGGGCCGTCTACTACAATCTCTACGGATCCGATCGTCAGTGGGGTCTCGTGAAGGCAGAGCACCTCGCGTTCATGTATCAGGTCATGGGCGACGGGCGACGAGCGACGAGCGATACCCTCGCCGTGACCTGCATACTGAGAAGTTGAACTCGAAGTTTTTCGACGCCGCCTCGGTCACCGGCCTTTCAAAATTCAAGGCCAACCTCTGACAGCTCCCGCACATGCCTCACGGTTAGACGCCTGGCATCATGGAGCAGGTCACCGCCGATCTCTACAACGTCTTTCTGGTGACAGAGATCGGTACTACGGCCGTGAGCGCCGTGACACTCGCGATTGTTCGCGCAGCCCGGATACTCGGTAAATTCCTCTCCATTCTACAAGCAAGAACACGCGGCTTACATTTTGAACCACAGTGACCGCGACCGAGGCGACCGCGAAGATGCAGCATCAGCGGCCGACGTACCATAACCTTCCGCAAAAGCTGTCATAGAAGACATCTGTCCGCGGCCGCATCGGTCGCGGATCAAGGTCGCCAAACGGCGATGTTCCGACACCTCGTCGTCGTCGGACCTCTCCGACGACGGTCCTTGTCTGGTCAAGGCCTCCTGTTTCCACTTCGGGGGGATCAAAGGAGATGCAAGGTCAAGCTCAACTAGATCGGAAGGATCTCCACGACCATGCCGTGCTTTCCATTAGGAAAGGTGAAGTAAACGGGAGCCTTCACTGCGATGACTACACCTCCAGGCAGGATTTGCTCGATCGCGAGAAAAGGGTCGGTGTTGAACAAGACGATGAGTCTACTCTGCCTTCAGGTAGAGTTATAAAGCACCAAGGAAAACCACTTGGGTGTTTTCTAGCTCCCTCTCGGGATCATCAGGCGAAGAACTGTCGTACACAATCCTCGTGGAGTGCAGGATCTGAAGCTGACCGACACTCATCGGAGTCATGCTCAGAGTTAGGCTCAGAGGCAATGCCGTTTCAACTTCCGTTCTCCTCGGCATCATCATCATCTCCTTCGGAGTCATCCTCGCCGTCATCTTCCTCGTCATCTCATTCGTCGTCGTCTTCGGCGGGCCGAGGGGAGCTCGGAATGCCTTGATGCACCCCATGAGTGAGTATATACTCCTCCTCGGCCGCGTTTACATCGTTCTCGCCGGAGTAGCCAGCAGTGTGGGGACACGAGGCCTACTCCTCCGCTACTTGTGGACGATGATACCAGTATTTGATTACCTCGTCGTGGTCCATCTCATAGCAACTGACTATGATCCGAAGTTGGCAAAAATAGACCTAAGGCTCTGCTCCTGGCCGACGACGCTCGTCAGAGCGGAGGGGGTGACGCACCTCCAAAGCAAGTCGCCTGCTTAGGTTCTGATACCCTCGGTTTCCATCTTCATTCGGCATCCGCTTTAACTGTCACTACTAATATCGGAACGTGTTTCGCATGCCGAATGGGAAACTTGAAGGAGAAGTCGGACTTCGACCTGCATCTATGGTGCAGGATTTCCACAAGTACACCGCCGCAGCGCACACCAGATTGCAGATGCATTTCTGCCTATGTTCGGCCCGACTGAGTACATGCTCGCATCATCCTGAAGAACCCTCGATTAACGTGTGTCTGAAGGACTGGACGATTCCTAGTCGAGGCGAGCAAAAAGCGGCGAGGAGGTTGTGAAGGGAATGGGGAAGATTAGATCGATATTGACCTTCCCCGGTGAAGGAGCTGCATGCGCATGCTGTATCGTCACACCAGGTGATGGAGGAGCATCACCTGTCGAACTGATTCCAGATTGTTGTTGGGAGGCTTTTCGAGAAGAAACTGGTATTGTGAGACATCCTCGAGGGAACTCCCAGTTCGGTCAGTCGCCAACTTCGCATCTCCCCTGACCACCGCCTCGATCCAATATGTCATCAAGAGGAGAAGAAGGCGCAGCGTCGTGAAGGGTGGACCTCACGCGCCTACTCTCACGCATAGCAACGGCCATGATACCTCGATGGCAATATTTGCTATCAATGATGATCGCGACATCGTGATGACCGATGATGAAGATATTGGCTTTACACCCGCAAGTTCTGAAGGAAAGCGAAAGCGAGAAGATGAGATGGCAGTATTTCCCAGTCCCACACCGGCAGAGGTATCCTCGCTCAAGCGCCTGGAGGAGGATGATGGTGACGTTTCAAGCCCGCCTCCTCCACAAGTTTGGACGCCGGCCTGCTTTGATATTCGAGATGGATGGGAGCTGAAGCTTACGGACAGTGGTTCCGCTGAGCGTGCCTCTGTCGCTGGCTCTGTCGCCGAGTCTGTCGCTGTGAGCGAGGCGACCGTCGTCGAAGCGCCTAGGGGCGTAACATCGGCCACGTGAACATTCCTCACCATTCGTGGGAGGAGAGTCCCAAGGTACAGAAGCTCCTTAAGCTCGTCCAAAAATTGATGACGGGGAGCTCGTGTTACCCTGGAACACAAACCAAGTTGGCAATCCGTGACGCCTCCTTGTTACAACACTCAGGGGACCAAGGCAACGAGGTCGACGAGGCGGAGTTGATTAACGACACTGTTACTGACAAGGTCACCGAGATATCGCCGACAATGATTTGGTCATTATCAACGATGACTCAGACTCAGACTCAGGCTTAGAGATCCTTCATTCATTTACGAATAAACAGAAGAAGCCCGTCGTCGCGAAGCAGGAGAAAAGAAGATGAAGATGAAGAAGGAGGAGGAGGAGGAGAAGCACATCCTCGCGAATCAGAAGAAGAAGCGCGTCCTCCCAGAGCCCATCAATCCGGATGACGATCATAAGCCTAGGGTACTAATGCCCAGGTTCATCAAGCTGGTGCCCCCGCGAACAATGTGTGTGGCGGAGAGGCCGCTGATGCTCATGGACCCGTCAACTAGGGCAATGTTCAGGCCCCTGGTCGAGTTTTGCGAACAAGCCCATAAGCTTGCACCAGATCGAGGCTCTTGCTGCTGTCGGTGCCACGGGTGTTGTCATCGCTGTCAACTACCGCCCGGAGTTCATGGAACGAGTCCTGAAGTAGGTCAGTACCCGAGACAAACCCAGAATGTGCATGTGCCCCTTTCCCCGCCGCTGACTTGCGACCTGCATAGTACGAGACCGAACTGGGTGTCAAGATCCATTTCTCCCTCGAGAGCGAGCCACTCGGATTAGCCGAAGGTCCCCGACGAATATGTCCCGGGAAATCGATCGGATGGCCGCGGGCAGACCAGTACATCGACCATAAGCTTTGCGAGGTTAGCACCGTTGCAGCTCGACTTCCGAACAAGATTCCGAACAAGGCTCTTGCTCACTATGGCACACCGGACTACCGAGCACTTGGACCCGTGGTCATCGGCAGCTATGTTAAGACCTCGATGTACTGCAGAATGTTACGCGGGCGCCCTCTTCGAAGTCGCTGCACATGGGATGACTACAAAGGAGGGACAGTGTCTCTGAGATACAGGGGTTCAACGTCGACCCTCACATTCCGGTGTATCCCCTGACTACCGGAGCTGGCGGCACTGGCCTCAACCTGACTTCTGCCAACAAGATGATCTTGTTCGACCAGTCCGGAAATCCCCAGGAAGACGTCCAAGTCCAATCTGCATGCGAGCGAGGGTCACCCTGCTTGGGTTCGGTACTTTTTTGGAGTTTTGATAAGTCTAAAACGACGACGAAGTTCAGCCGCGAATGTGAATGGTATTACTACGAGGGATCCTCCTCGGGGCAGACGGAGCCCAATGTTCACGCCGGTGAACTCGCGCCGCTCGCAATAATGGCAGCCGACGATAGGCACTGGGTTGAAGTGTACACCGACTCGTTGATAAGACCCGAACAGAGTTTCGGGCTGCTCTCGAAAGGATTTTACCCAGGAGGGAGCTGCTTGCTCCGCTAAGATCTCGACGCCCGCCAGCCCCGACAAGAAGCGCAAGCGTGCCTCAAAGCCAGCGGAAATCACCGAGGAGCCTGAAAAATCCGCTCACAAGAAGAAGACGGCCTGAAACTGATGTGAAGGCTGCTTCTGCTGGTGGTGATGTCGGGGGTCTCGCCATTATCAACCTTGATGAGGACGATGGAGAGGTCACCATCTCCCGTGACCCAGCACAATGGCTTCGCAGCGACGCGTAGAATAAGTGCTCGCTCGCGAAGTGAATGACCTAACTGATCATAACAAACGTCTTGAGATGCAAGAAAAGAAAAAGGAAAAATGAAAACCGCTCCCTGATCAAAACCAAACCCTGCTCGTTCTGGGCCAAGGGCCAGTGTGCCAAAGGCGACAGCTGCACCTTTCGACACGGTTGGTTGTCGTGTAGTGGTTGAGGGAGAAAGGGGAAGATCTCGTGAAGATGTTCTTAGGTAAGGTAGGTGAGGGCAGAGACAAAATCGTGAGGAAAGAGAGCCATGTTATTGTGGTCGACAATTAGACAAGGCCGACGTCGAAAATCAAGGCTGCGCCGACGGCCCTACGCAAGCTACAAGGAGGTGCACCCAGGAGGGTGAGATTTGTTCCGCTACCAGGCCCGATCGCACTGAGACCAAGCCCTTTCCCACCGAAAACTTGCGTTGGGAGCGGCTGGTAGTCCAGAGTGTATCTACGGAATCCGCGAAGATGTTGAGGCTGTGGCTCGTGTTTGCGACCTGGATTCCATTTGCAAACCCAACAAGGGCATAACTCCTGTACGGGACTGTCTCCAAAAGGTAAGCTTCCGCGACGAAGAGCCAGAAATTAAGTTACTGACTGACGAATTGCAGAATCGATCGATGAATATTGTGGATGCTTTGGCAAGAGTTCCGTCGCCCTTCAGCACGGAGGCCAGACGAAAGGCGATGCAGGCTGCAAAGCCTGCAAAGCCCAAGTCTGGGCCGTCGTCACCAACGGCGACGGCGCCTCTGCCTCGACCGCCGCACGCACCAACGGTGACGGCACCACGGGAACCAACGGAAGCGACACCGTCGTTGGGAGCTCCGCCAAGGACCCAGTCAAGCGAACGGGCAGCATCGTGGCCCGAAAGCGTCAGAAGGGCCTAGTCCGAACCTTCCGAGACATGACCCCCATCAAGGAGCGCACGTCACGTTCGACATATGCAGGAAGCTCGGCTGGGACCATTCCCTCATCATTAAGCATCAGACGACGCTGAATGATTTTACCAAGTATATCGACGAGTTGCGAAATAAGGGCAGAAGGCACGGGGATAATAGGACAGAACAGGGAGGGACTCATATTCAAACGCCTGAATGTGAACCTGACCTTCAAGATCATCCAACTCGCGGCTGATCCGGCGGGGAGGCCAGATGCCCTGGCAGGCTTGGCCTTGGGGGCTCCCTTAACGAAGACATCTAAAGGATGTAAAATCGAGACTGCGCTGCGGCCCTACGCAGGCTACGTGGTGGTGCACCCAGGAGGAGGAAGATTCGTTCCGCCGCAAGTCGCAACCTGGAAAAGACGGGGCTGGGATCGGGAGCCCACAAACAAGGGTGAAAAGAGTCAATTGGTCCCAAGAACATTCATAACAGTGTTTTCGGGACCCACAGCTGCGAGGCCGTCACGTCCTCGAGTTGAAGGGGATGTTCGAAGGCTGGTTACGGAAGGTTGCCGGCGAAGGCTAGGCCAGAGGGCCACGGCCAGGATTGGACATCTAAATATTGTAAAAACGTTGTGATCCGTGCGCTGCCAGCCGGCCAGGAGCCAAAAGCGGACGGAAGGCAGCCCCGCCAGCTGCCAGTCATACAGGGCCTAGTGCCAGAGCGGGACCAACTGCCTCCGCATCAATCAGATCGCCAGTTAGCTAGGTGTCGCACCCCAGCCCCGCAGGTCGCCCCCCTATCTCAAGAGCTGAGGTGCCGATTCGTACCTTACCTCCACTACTTTCTGGAACGAAGTTCCAAAAGAGCCAAGTTGGCAGCCCCGTGATGCCCGGGAATACTCGAACGATCAACTCATTTGATTGACGATGAAGAAGAGGCCGACATCGAACAAGAGCATGGCTCCGAAGCCCGCAGCTCCCCGAACGACATGGGACGACACGACGCGTACGGATCTGCTCCAGGCTATTATAGATATTGCAGCTCCTACCGCGGAGGATTGGGTGGCTATTATGGAGATCCTCAACGCCAAAGGCTACTCATACACTCACACGGCTGCTATGTATGACTTGATCTCTTATGATTATGCTTCCAAGACCAGTGACCTTCGCTGCACACTGCTAACCATCATTTTTATTTTCACTATCACATTGCATCTCTTCTACTGCCCATTGGACTAACATCTCTACCTTCTCTAGACAGCATCTACAGAAGCTGAAGCGCAAGGAGAAGACCACTGGCTGCCTACGGTCGCAATTCATGGCTCGCTTGACGATCGGTCCATTGCCATGGACAAAGGCAAGGCTATGTCCGGCCGTGATGCTTGAAGACATGATGCTTGACGAAGACGAGCCTGCTTGCCCCAGATGCTGTACTTTTAGAATATATTCCAATGGTACTATGGTAGTGGTCAATGGTCATAATCCTCACTATTGTCTTTGCTGGATTTCCTACATTTTATTCGTCCCGCCGGGGACGTTAAATATACGTTGACTGACACCGCAGGTTTCTTATTGGTATAACCTCATGGCGTACGGACTACCTTGCAGTCTGATCTGTCATTCCGCTACAGCCTTCAAGTGAAGTCTGCTTTCTGCAGAGGGCAGTTCTGAAAATAGAAGGGTATTGCGAACGGGATAAACGGCCTCTCGACGGTTGCCAGCCTATCATCAGCATGAACTGGCCCTGGCTACAACAGTAGCCTTGAATTGATCGATCCGAGGCCAAGTGGCTATCCCATGAAGCGCAAGGGCGTGCGTTAAAGTTGAAACTGTGCTGTGTCGGCATCGAATGCCACGGCCTGGGCAGAAGCTCGAGAATCTATGAGAAGGGCCCAACCTCCGTTTTACTACAGCCACAGTGCCTGAGTTCCCAAGCAGAACAGCAGCTTCCGTTGTTTGCACAAGCCATGACACAGTCCTGCTTGGGATCCTGCGCAAAGTTTTTCCTTTCCGATTTGTCTTGCGGTCCATATCGCGCGAGCTTGGGCGGCGGAATAGGGGACAGAGGACCGACATCTCGCCATCAAAGCTTATGCCCGTTCATCACCAGGCGGAGTGGCGGTCGGCTAACCGATGCCATTGAGTCGGTCAAACACGTCCTTGCACCATTACCCGTCTGCATTGAAGTGTACAGAGTCGTATGGTCTTGTTCGGAAAAGAAAACCAGCATGATCCAATTAACGATCAACTCGGATGACGCGGCCATGAACTCCTTCATTACCGTGATAAAAAGTTACGGTAGGGCTGGCCGGCATGTTCCCGTATTCGGCCATTGGCATGGGAATACTCGAGCTTTTGAAGATCACCTGAACTTATAAAGGCTATATAAGACGGGAATCACACCCGACCTAGGCCAGAGGGCGCATAATCTGCGCATCGATCTCGGCTACTTCGAGCCACTCGAATGTACAAGGCCAAGCACACCGGATGCCACGAAGAGGATGCCAAACCTAGCGCTTCTGCGCCCACCCAGTCTGCGGTCAGGATGAGTCCAAGGACATAATTGTCAGCGAGCTGCTCAACCAGGGCGAGATGGAGCGTCTTCTGCGAGACTCGTTCGGCAATTACGTGGTGCAGACCACGTTGGAGCATGCCACCAACTCGTTGAGGGCGTTCTCCCTATGCTTCCGGGTATTAGAGGCACTCCTCACGGTCGCTGGCAGTCCCTTATCCCGGCGGCCTTAAATTATCGCGTGCGCCACCACTCAGGTATTGATCCCGGTGGTTAACAACGTAAGCAGTTTCCCAGTCTTTTTCCTTGCAATTTATTAACTCCCTTTCTCTTTAGATGCATTCGAGAGCTGCGCCCTTTCGACCTTCAGTTTACTTCGGAAGCCTGAACAACTCTTGATAATCAACGACCAAATCTGTTTAGCCGGGTTTGGAGTTTTTATAACTCTATACGCTTGGAGAAGAAGTTTGGGCGGTGTTTGGTTATCGAATCAAACATTGGAAGACCTACCTGTTTCCATCCGATCTCCAATTTCCAAACCGCTGATCTGCACCATTGCATCTCGATTCAGTACCTAATCTTCGACCATACCACCATGTCGACTTGACTAGGAATAGGAGTCTGATCAGGGAGCGTCTCGCTGTAAACATTTAACTAGAACAGCCGGGTCCTGCATGACCTTAAAAGGCATTTAGGAGAGGTGGTGCACTACACTGCGCCGCGATCCAAAGCAGCCCAAGGAAGAGAGAGAGGCGCTTACAAGCATCGAGACGCTAATGGCGATTATCATTCCCTGCATGAACGAGGATTACCGCACCATTGGGGTTGTCCTGATGGGCATCCCTTACGATTGCCTCCAAGTGTCTAATCGTGCTCACCGCGTTGGCTAAGCCGCGACGTAAAAGCGCTTCGCATCAACACTGGGGGTAACAGGCGAGGGACTCGTCTACAGCTCCTGCGTTAAGAAGCTTACGCCATGATCTACGACATGAACGCCTTTCTAGGCATCGCGCCCTGGACCCCATGGCTGCACCTCGACGTGAGAAGGAGATCCGAAAGTACTTCATGCTCAAGAGAGCCACCAACCTCCTCCCTGAGGCCCTCGGATTTGACGAGTTGATTCAGCTTCGTGGTCTGTCGGTTGCCGTCGAGCATGTGGCGAAGCGTAAGGCAGACAGACGATCGGACGATGATTTCAGAGACCTCTCACGCCCGATACTCCTGGACGCGGGCCAGTGAGAAGTACATTCCCGGGTTCCTCACCACCTCACACAAACGCACGAGGCTGGCGGCGTGCACCAGCAATTCGATTCAGAGACGAATCATCACGCTGGTGGCAACAGCACGGCTTGAACCTTTTCCAAGTCATGGAGAAGCTGGACGGAGTACCGACGTCAATCTATACAGTAGAGAAGACATCACAATGGCACACCGCGTTGCCGGCCGTGGGAGACGGTCTACAAACCATTGGGTCTGCCCGTGTCGGCGTATGCAGCCGACCGGCAGAACTTGCTGACCATCCGGAGTCATTCAACTGGAATGTGTGATGCCAAGATGGAAGTCGTTCCCAGCGATATGGATGTCGACGACGGTGTCGGTGACGGCTTCGGTGACGATGCTGGTAACGACGTCGGCGCTCCGGTTGTTGCACTTGCTAGCGCTTCTCGCATCGACGATGACAAGGGCGCGGAGTTCAAACTTCAATTTTGCCTTCGATGCCTGTCCGACGATGCCCATCAACTTATCGACCTGTCGGATTCCCCGAAGATAGGCAATTCCGACACCGCACTTACGCATGCTGCCCAGCAGCTTGTCAACTCGGTCTCTGACAAAGAGAGCGAGAAATTCGAGAATTCTTGGTTCCTTCACGTCATGCGATGACAGTTGGTTTTCACTTCACAATGCTGATGATGTCCTATGCTAACCTGCCTGTGGATGGTATCACAAGCCAAGTTGGCAACCCGTGACGCCCAGAATAACCGACTCGGCAACCGTTGATGCCCGGATACACCATCCGTCACCGTGGGCACTACCACGCTTTGCTCGTTTAGCACAACAGAGGAGCCTTCCTGGCAACGAATGTTCCAGATCCTCGATGGCCAGCGAGAGGCTACAGCTCCGGCACGCACTCTCCCGTCTTTCGAGCGCTTCCTGCCCTCGGTCAAAAACAACGCCTCTCGCAACAGGGGCACCATGAAGAAGCAGGAAATCTTCACGAAGCGCCAGTTGGATGAGATGGACGAGCAGGTCGATCTCTCTGCTCCGCTCTACCATCCGCCGCGACCTTACCGGAAGTCGAAGACGGCAACTCCACGGGAGATCATCGAGCTGCTTGACTCGGACGATGAGTGAGTGAGGAGTTGAGTGCATAGACTACCAAGCAACGTGGAACCCGCGTGCCGATGGGAACCGGACTCCTGCGGGAACCAGCAGTGGCTGCCACTGCATCTTACCCTTGGCTCGACATCGCCACTGGTTCTGACAGTATGTTGAATACCCTTTAAACTCTAGATTGACCTTCCCGCATCTACAAATCCTGAGGTGTCGTACTTCCCCTTCAACGAAGGGCGTCCCAGGCTGGCGCATAGGGAACAGCCCCTACAGGGCTATGAATCACAAGCACCACGAGAAGCCAGCGACAGGATAGATGCGAGGGGACGAACCGAGTGCGATTTCTGTTCATTCCTCTTCCATTGCCGTCCTCGGAGTCTTCTGCCTCTCGAGGCAAGTTCGACTACGATTTCTTGGCGGTCGACGGTGGTGTGCCGTCAGGCATGGCAGGGTCCCATCAAGGCGCTGGCGGTGGCAAAGTACGTGTCATATGCTGGCAAGCATATGACTCACTTTTCCGTCGAAAACTGTCGCGAATTCCAGTTCAATATTTCCGTGTTGGCCGTGGTGTTTTGAGAATGCCGGGTTCTAGAGAACCTGAAGCTTCGAATCCCGTGCCACCTACCTAATCTCCTTCCCAACCTGCGTTACCTACAACTGGGAATGCTCTATCTGGGCCTAGGGTGAAGGCTACCCGTCCGTTTATCGAGATGATCGTCTAGTCGTCCGCAGAGGCGCTGGATGGGCTGTCAATCTTTGACACCGACAGCAATTACATCGACCAGGGCAGGAGTGCCCTTCCGATCAGAACCATGGATCTGGCATGTTTTTAAAAATCTGGTTAGCAAGGTTCCGAACAACTCAATCCACGTCAACGGGACCCCTTCGTTGAGTTGAGTTGACACTGTCCACGACCTCGTCGTCGCTAAGTTGAGTTAAGTGTATCAACGAGGGGTCTCCGTTGATATTAATCAACATCCGTTAATATAACAAAATACCTATTAATAGTAAGAAATAGTGGGGTGGCGAAAGTACCTTAGATAACCCACTACGACCCGAATATTTTAATATGGTGAAAAAAATATCAACCATATCAACGTCAATATCAACCCACGAAGCCCTCGTCGTTGAATTAGTTACCAAGGCTACAGGGATCTTGGTGGATTGAGTTGACGTGGATATTGACGTCAATCCACGTTAACCGTTAATGTCCGTTGAGTTGTTCGGAACCTTGTCTACCGCACGATTCCTTGGTATCTTGCCGACCATAAGTTCACGATATCCGGCCGAACAGATTCTTAAACTAAGAGAAATCCGCCTGTTCGCCCGCCTGCTCGTCACCCCATTCTTCAAACACCTCGACATGGCAGATACTCCCTGGAACCGAGTCCGGGGGTTCGTAGGGGACTCTATGCTATCGCAGCGATAAAGGAGGTGCGCCCGCTTCCGGCCTACACGGTACCGATCTATGGCTCTGACGACAATTGAGGTGGGCATGGCAATAGTCATCCCATGCGTGGGCGAAGAGTATCGAACCTTTGGGGTTGTATCGATGGGGATTCCACACGATTGCCCTTTATCTTCGTAATGAACAGCGCCGGATTCCCTGTGAATCTGTCTGACGCCGGGGTAACGATTCCAGTTGCGCCAGAAAATGAAGAATTTCGACACACTCATCAAGGATACACTGCACACCGTTTCCGACCCGGTTCGCCAGTCCAAGCCCCGCGGCAAGATGAACGAGGACAACAACTACGAGCTACTCGCTCTCGATTTCAACAAGGAGGGCCCTGCCATCGTAGCGCAGGCGACGTGATACATCCCCTACCCCTACTGGAACGTCATCCCCAACGTACCATACATGGCGTAAGCTTAAGTCCTCAGACTTTCTGCTATGTACCGACTTGGAGTGCTTTGGACGTGAAAGAACGTGCTCTGGAGCAGTTTTGTCGAGATCTGCAACATGATGTGATGGCTAACCAAGAGAAAGGTCATGACGCGGCCTGCGCCGAGGACGACTATAACATCCATCCGGAAAAGTGTACAACTTCTTGGTGATCCTGGTCACCATCACGCCGCATCGTGGGGAGTCATTGTCGCGTTGGGTGAGCCGTCGCAACATGGGGAGTCATCGTCAGGATGGGTGTTAGAGTTATCTACCACCGACTTGGCACGCTCTCGTGACGACGAGCAGAGCCGCACCTTCACGCAAACCTCCGTGGGAACATCCCTTGAAGCCTGATCCCGCAGTCAAGATGCCGATGGCTTTACATGCGCCGCATGCGCGCGCGATTGTGCTTTGCGAGTATTCTCCCCCGTCACCCATGAGCCCCTCCGACCATCGCTGCTACCGGGTCGACGGCCCCCATGGTCCCAGCCATGGCCAGCGCATGTTCAACCAGATGCTGTAAGACACGTTCAACTTCCGACTTCGACGAGTTGCCCGTGCTCTGTGGGAGCAGAACCGTCGCGTAGCCGGACACCAGGATACAGGCCTCCCATTACGCCCCAGCTCCCGGAGGGAGATCGAACTAACCCCTTTTTCCTCCGATTTAGAAGCAAAATCGATCTAGATCTCGAGAAGTATGAGCAACTTCTCATTTCAACCTTCTGGGGAAATGAGACGGAGCTCAATGTCCTCACCGATGCGACCAAACAGCGAGTTCATGAATGAGACCGACGCGCTGCGGTGAAGCGGCGCACAGAACATCAACGCCGAGCTCGGGGCGCTTCCAGTCAGACAATCGGTGCGGATGGTAACTTACCTAATTATTGCTCATGGTGCCGGTCATGGGCAACAAGGGATGGTTTGCCGCCGCGACCAATCTGCCGCAAGATCGAGGCGACACAGTTGTCGACCGCGGCGTACTTCGGACTTCTTTCCGCAGAGACACGCGGCCGTCCAGGGCACAACGCGACCCGACCGCTCACTTCGTTGTTGTCCTCGATGAAGTTCTATCGGCACGACACAGCGGCCGGGGTAGCGTCCGTCAACCAGCTACCGGAAACTTGCCGCAACGCGACGTAGGTGCTGGAGGATCTGACCCAGGGTCTCTGCTATGTCTTCAGACGCGCCACGAAGGCGTTCAGTATCTGTACGCCCGCTAGCTACGCCGATGTCGTCTGCGAGCGACCGCGGTGCTACCTCAGCCGTCTCTTCGACGCCTCGCCTGACGCCTCGGTGACGGGCAGGCTACTGGCGCTGAGCAAGACGGGAGTTCGACGTGATGGTATGCTCCCACGAGGTACCACAGAGAAGATGTCGACGGCAACACCCAAGTATGCAATCGAGAATGGTAGCTTGCTGATTGAGAATATTGGCTTGAAGCTCAACAACATATCTCCTTCTGTCTTCAATGCCGGAGCCTACCTCTACTGGTTCATCAACGAAGTCGTGGGAACAGCTGAGGACGACCTGATCTACGACATGAACGCCTTCCTAGGAGTCGCGCCCCTGTATACCATGTATTCACCTCGATTTCAGGGACGTCTCACGCCTGATACACCGGGTCAGGGTCCAGTGGGAAGTACTTTCCCTGTCTCCTCACCACCTCAGACGTCAAGGCCCTGCTCACCCTGGCGCACGAGACAATGACCACACCGACGGCGCCCTCATCCTGCAGAAGGCCGAGTATATGCACTAGATATACCAAATTCACTACAGGCAGGACACACAGGTATCAAGTTCGTACAGCAAGTTCCTATTCTAAAGGGATGTGCTGTTCTGCCTCAAATCAAGGGTTTACTGGTGGACTGTATAGGATCCAGTTTAAACGACGAGCAAACAGAAGTGGGAACGGCCACTAGTTTGGTCATCGCAACCTTAGCTGAGGCATCCAGCCCTTACAATATCGAGAATTCCGATGATATCCTCAGACATGTGCAAGCCCTACATGAACCCCTGATTGGGTGGCTTGGCAGAGATGTCGAAGCGAAAACGGGCTGGTGTCAGGGGAGCGGCGAATGTGAAGTGTGCCGAGCCAACGATGCTGAGCAGGCCTCGAAAGAAAAGAGGAAGAAAACGGTGAAGAATGACAACCCATACGGCTTGGTTCTAGGACACACTCCATTCTCAAGCTGTGAAGCCCTAACCGCAAAACAACGCGAAGGGGGTTACCGTCTGCTTGCAACGCTGCATGACGATTTGCAAACCTAAGCATCTGAGGTGATTACTGCTGATTCTCTAGGAGTCACTGGATTTGGCGAGTTACCCACTGTCCTAAATTACTTGATCAGAACGCTGTTAGCTGGTGCCACAACCTTCGCCAATGCGGCAAGAATGCTACCTCCCGAGCGGACGAAAGTCAAAGGCGAAAATCAAGGCCCACCGTATTGTCGGCGACGTTTTGCTCTTGGAGCAGAATATAATCATCCTTGAGTGGAAAGCGGAGCTGAACCGAGTCAAGGAAGATCACAATTCAGCCAAGAACGGACGGAGGGAGACGCGCCAGTCTAGTGTGCCGCGCAGCCCAAGGCTGAATGCTCTTGGTTTCATGACCCCGCGGAACGCAGGTGGCACTTGAGGAGCCAGCAGTCGAGGCACTAGTCCTGCACCGCCTGTGGGTGTGTTCGAAGTCTCCAGTGCAAAGGTCGAAGCCTCTATAGAAAAGGACATTAACGACGAAGATGCAGGCCTTCTCGGCGAGGCCAAGGAGAGAGACGAAAGGAGACAGACGTCCGCGCGATTCTGGCAATCGCCTCCTATCATATATCTCCTTGCTTGAGAACCGAGCAGGGTTTCACTCAGGTCCCCATGTGGGACTTCTTCTTGACAGCTCACAGTGGACTACAAGGTAACATCTGCTTACTTCCCTTAGCATACCTAGGTATCCAGAACCGTGTGTTAAAATGCGACGGCCATGTCAACCAACCTGACGGCTACGCCGCACGAAGAGGTCGCTAGCCGGTGGCAAGAGCAGGTGGAGATGAACCATGAATGGCCGCAGCAGTGGTTCGAGATCTCCTTTCTCTGCCCCACGGGCTCTTCTTCGAGGTGCTTCAGCTGCTCGGACTGAGCGACTTGGTCAGATTCTAGCGAATCAGCAAGTTCTTCCGCGCCTTGGTCACCCAAGAGGGGTCCAAAATAAACTTCTCATCATGGCATTGTTCGCTATGTTCTGTTCTTCGCGTGTTGTCTGCTTGCCGCTCGCGTTGATCCGGGTGCCAGATGCTACCTCCAGCTAGCCTGGAGTTGCTTTGCAAGTGGCAATCATCCGAACTAACACACAGATTGGATCAAATCCGGTAGAGGACATATCAATGCCAACCTCCAGTTGAGCAACCAAATCGCTGGTATGTCAAACGATATTAAAATCTTCAAATGGTATCGAAGCTAGTCGATCTACTACAAGCCCGCTTACACGACCTCTTGAGTGACCTAGGGCAAAAATTGACTACGATCAACGAGTAGATCATCGACGCAACTGACATTGCGCTGGCAACCCGTGACACCCAGAGACCAGTGACCGAAATCTTCACAGCGGCATATGCGTCTATAGGCCAACGCCCTCTTACGAGTGGTACAAAAATGTTCATCGAGTCTTCTTTCCAACCAGACTCATTTGCAATCATGAACATTCGTTGAGGCCCGAATCCCCAATCATTACACTATTGAATCTGACATCCGAACTCCCACATGAACACATCCTGGAAGATATGGACCCTGTCACCGTCTTCCGCAGTGGGGACCAAGTTGGCAACCCGTGATGAGCGGGACTAAAAGAGGATAAAAGAACAACGGATCGTGACGTTTTAACGACACTGATTTTCCGGACTGGTTGCGTAATAATGCAGTTATCAAGGTATTATATCGTACCTAGGAGAAACAAGACACTGGCCTTCGGGCATCGGGTGGTTAGTATGCCATCCAGCATGGTGCACTTTTACGAGAAAATAAATAAAATTGGTCGCTCCGCGGTCAAAAATCTGGAGCAACCGTGACCCGGCGATGGGCTGGAGTGGCCTCGCGTATGAGTGCCGTTTGCCAGGCGACCCGTTTCGGAGGCGGGTGGTTCAGACGATGCCCATGATCTCGCACAGTTAAGGCTGAGGATTGCAGTATATGTGGATGGTACCAGGCTGAATGCGCAACCGCAGTTCTTTGCGTCATGCCCGACGATAGAAGCTGTCTGTTCACCGCCTTCGGCGACGCACTGCGCGGACTCCCACCCTTACCAGACGGCTACACCCCCGAGATGCTTCGTCGCATCGTCACCGACCACATCTGAGCGAACCCGGGCAAATTCAATGCCGCAGTGCTGGATTCAAGTCCAGTCGCCTACCCTGCGCGCATGACGCGCCACGACACATGGGGCGGTGCCATCGACTCGGCATCCTGTCCGAGGAGTTCAGCCTCGAGATCTGTGTCGGCGTCAGCAGGCATGATACTGCTCCAAAGGCCGGCGACTCTGACACTTCTCTTGTATGTGCTGCTCAAAGCTTGTTAAGTCTGTGTCGGCAAAGTGAAAAGATTAAGAACTCTTCAGGCCTTCAGGTCATGCGACACCACCGCGTCCAGAATGGTGGTCCAGGGGACGTGTGACGGCACCTGAACAACCTCGATCGGAACCTTCCTGGCGCTCGCCGCCGGGCCGATTACCTGCTTGGTACTCGATGGTTACGGGGTCTGTGGCTGGGACTCGGGATCAAGGCGCCGCGCCGAAGAGTCTGTTGGACAGACAGCATGGCGCTGACCAGGCGTTGCTCGCCAATATTGAGCATTAGCAGGAAGCTGGGACGCTGTTGCAGTTGCCGCGTGAAATAGGTGGACTCGCATTGCGAGGACCCCTCAGGGTGTAGTACGTGCACCATGTCCCCATCCGACAAGTCCCCATGAGCCACATCAAGGCAGAAACAGACACTGCTACTCGCAGAAGACTGTCGAAGTTCTTTCGCCAAGACGACGCTGTGGGTGGCTCATCTGCGAAAACCAAGGCCGCCATGAGGAAGCATACCCGCAGGCTCCCGGGCGAGGAGGTTTCCGATGAAGAAGATGCCTCTCGCCGGTGACAATCAGTCAGCAAGCAACGCCCAGTTTCACAAGGTGATGAACGAGTGGATGGAGCTGCACGGCTCCTCTCAGGAGAAGGATGCATTGGCTCAAGAGTCGGTCCCTAACTTCAAGACGGAGTGGAACCGGTCAACCCAGGAGGGCGGAAGGCTCGTGGACCTGTAGCAAGCGCACGTTGAGCGCGAAGAGCAGAAGAAGAAGCTCCAGCCCCTCGCTCAAGAGGGGGCACGGCAGCATGGTGCAGGCCGACCCGACGATGCCCATCAACGTATCGACCTGTCCGACAATGCTATAAGGTCGCCGTGCGTGGTATTCCCTATGCCTACCAGGTGTACGAGGTTGAAGACAAGGACCAGGGCGACGAGATCGATGAGGCCGGCGAACCTATCGACTTCACTCGTCTGATGAATCCCGGCAAGTCTACTATTCCTGCTCGATATGCTACCGACACCGCCGTCAAGGTCCCGTCAAGCGCCACACCCGACAAATGCACCTTTGCCAATCATAAGCGCCTTGGTTCTGCCTCTATGATTTCGATGCAGGATATACTCTTCACCAAGGGAACGCCCGGAGCTGCAGGTCCGACGCCTACATAGCGGGCTGATGGTAGTTGACGCCGATTCGGCTGAGATTAGCGGACGCGGAAACCATGGCCAGGTTGTAAGCAAGAGGTTTGCCTGAGTATAGCGGTGGTTTAACAGGGGAAGGTTAGTTTTCCGTCGCTGTGGTTGATGATTACAGGCGCAGGATGGCCACTAGCTGAGACACGCGGAGAGCTAGTCCTGCTTGGACTTCTCGTATTGCCAGGTAGTCCTGCTTGGACTGTATATGATCTACGGCAATCACATCCAGTTTCGCCTGGTCGCTCCGGCCCCGACCAGCACTGGGCCTTCTGCGAGCATCTGTAAAAGCTTTTGCATCATCAGATGTGGTTGGAACAGCCCAGAGCACTGGCTCTGTGTATGCAATACGTCGTCAAGTATCGTGCGAACGATCAACGCCAGATGCGGTGGCCGAGACAGCACTACACGGCCGACAAGCTCTTCGACGTATTTCAAACCGCCAATCAAAGCTTCCATAACGGTACAATGACCGTTGTGGATGTTCATGACGAGGTTGAACGACGGATGAATGGCATTAAGCTGCAATATTCCTGTCTTTTCTGCAAGATTGTTCTTGCTCTGGTTCACGCTCCCCTCCGTCCTCTGCCCCCGTTACGAACCACGGTGTAACCAAACCGCCCGCACAGTAGCAGCGACAGCCACAGCAACAGATCAACGTCCCTGTACTGATCCTTACCGCTTTGTATGTTAATTTGTCTTTCGAAGCCGAAAAATAGATGCGTGACGCACCCGAGAGCGGTGCCACCAGCAGTGGCAGCAATAGCAGCAGCCGAGACCGAAAGGGAAAGGGCAAGGCGTGTCTGTGCCTGTATACGGACCCTTTTCCATGCAAGACTGGTTGATGCACAAGACGACATATTCTCTCTCTCTGAGACGACCCGAGTCATTTCGCTGAGACCCTATAAGAATGGTGCGAACATCAAATGGAGGCAGTTCGTGAGGTATGGCGAGAGCAGCATCCAGCTTATATACCACCACTATGGAAGAAGGACTTATGGACATCTAAAGGGAATATTCTCCGCCTGCAAAGCTTCCGAAAGTAAAGCAGCGTTACTGCGTCGAAGCACGCCCCTACTCGGCTGCTTCTCCCGAGACAGGTCTTTGGGTCTTGCGAGACTTTCAGGAGTATCTGCGATGTCAAAACTGGCACGCCGGCAGGTTTCTTGCCCACTGGGCTTCATATATAGAACCCGTCTATGAAAAGCCACCGGTGCTGCTCCAACTTCGACTTATATAGTCTGTCATTCTTCCGCGGGTACTTTATTCTTCCGTGGGACTCGTTCTTCCACGAGTATTTTGACCCCTGAATAGGGCTATTAGTTCTACTACTGATGATTCGGTAACGAACCCATTCACAATTCCAGGGTCACGGCCTTTCCCAATGAATTTCAAATGATCTCAGGAAGCAACTACCGCCGCGACTACACTGTCGGAAACCCAGCCTTCCCTGACCCTCCCCAGTCTGAATGGGCTATGCTCAAGCAGACGAGCCAGGACAATTTGGCATAGCGTACGCTTGAGTTCAAATGCTTGTACCACAAGAAGAGTCGTAAAGAAACAAAGAAAAAGCAAGAAATAAAAAGGGGGGAGATGGACACTTGCGCCGCATCGGAGTCGACTACCTCTGGTGGTAGCGCTGCTCGTCTCTCTGCCAACACGTCGGCCTACATTGCTGAGCGAAGAGCCAGCTATCCTACACAACCTCCCACCAAGGCACGAATCCAAGCCAAGAAAGCTGCTGGCTCGATGAACACTGCTGGCCGGGCAATAGTAACAATGCTGCAACTACCAAGGTTGATAGAGACCTGGCAGAGGCTGACGAAAGATTACGCAGATGATTGGCCAAGGTTAAACACAAGCTGGAAAAGCGGAAAAGATGAGGGCGACGACATGAGAGCAAGCTCTGGCTCATAATAAACCGTCGCATCTTCCACCCCCAGCAGCCAGATGACGAATCGATATCCCTCGTTCGTGCCCATGCCCATCGAGCCCGCCGGTCAGCATAGTCCCACCAGACCTCACGGCCCATTCATATCAAGTGTTGTCTCTTCGAACCCGCAACACCCGCCACTTTTCCTCCCCGCGCCTCAGAAAACCACAACTTCCTCACGCCGGCCATCCCCAACACCCTTCTGCTTCACCTCAACCACTCCAAGACCTGTGCACCCCGCCTATGAGGGTCCATCATGATAGTCGCGCTGCATACTTGGGGGTTTCCTCTTTGAGGTTGCTGTCCATGATGAATCGCTGACAAGTTGCCCACCCTTCGCGCCGGATTTCTACTTTGCCCAGACAGCTGTGGCAATAGTTTCAGGCTGGTGACGAGAATGTCTAAGTACCTTCTAAAGAGACGGCAGCGGACGAGTACCGAGCTCATTTCGACAAGGCCCCGGACGCCTGTAACACTAATGATCAGAGGATGTGGAAAGGGCCAAAGGAATGTAAACTGAGGAGGAAATGGAACGCATCGATCCTCCTGTTCCAGTCCTCCAAGCTCGATGCCAACGTAGTCAACTACGGTGGCCGGCTCCTTCTACCGCTGGACATATGTCGCGTCCGTCAGCACCGTCGCCACCACTCGTGGAGCCCCCCACCCCCAAAAGGACTCCATCAAGCGCACCAGAAGCTTCGTCGCAAAACAGCGACAGAAAGGCTCGGTCCGCACCTTCCGAGATATGACTTCCATCAAGGACCGCAGCAGACTTGACCGCTGCCAACAAGGTTATCTTATTTGACCAGTCCGATAATCACCAGGAAGATGTCCAAGCGTCTAACCGTGCTCACCGCATCGGCCAAACCCCAGACGTGGACACCAAGGGTACCGTCGAGGGACTCATCTACAACTCCTGCGTCAAGAAGCTATGCTGGCGGTGTATGTTCACACGAGATTTGGCAGCTTGGATATACTGCAGTGTCCATTCCGTAGACAGATTTTCTGGATTATCAGATGAGTTTTACGACCACACTTCTCGGCCAAGACGATCCATACTAGGGGTTCTGCAGGATTTCCCAGCAGTCGAATTTCCCTACCAGTATGTTCCATCTGTATTTTCTGTCATACGGGTTCGCGAATTCAGCACCGCGAAGGGGTGGTTGCGACGTCCGACATTGGCTAAGAACCTTCACCTTTCAACCGCCGACGCGCCTCCGGTGCGTAGGGTGACCGTGCAGAATACACCTTCTCGTACTGTTGTTTTCGCTGGTGTGGGAGTCATTCGCCTGGTCATCTCGCTACCTCCTTGTACATTACTTCTTCTGTCGGTCGCCTTTCCGATCGATTTGGGCGTAGAAATCAACCCATTTATGCACGTCGGGAACATCGAGGCGGGGCCTTCAAGCTGGAGGCTGTGATACTTCCTACAGTTCAAGGGTGCCTTTCCCATCGGAGTTTTCGAGCTATCCTGGGCTCATTTCTTACATGGTTTCCCCAGGTCATAGAAGGAGCTTCGGTTGATCTCACGACCTAGAGTGCCCCGTGGCTCATCGCTCGAGAGGTCTGTAGCTTGTGTGGAAGGGTTTCTGTTTGGTCTTACGAGTTCAGGTGCAGCACAAGCCAGAACTCGACGTCTTTCACTTCCCGGATATATTTCAACAGCTGTATGTGCTGCTCATGGCGACCAGCCACTCAAGAAATATCACCCCAGAGTAAATTATGTGCTGACAAGGCTGCCGCAGAAAATCCCATGCTGAGAAAGTCGCAGCAGAATAGAAGGCTCTCCAGATTTTCTCCCAGACTTTCTTGTGTCAACCGATGTCTCAAGAAGGGAGCCTATATAACCAGCCATGTCCGGATATTGAGTTTGTTTGTTTTGTATTTAACGTGGGGGGTAGCTCCTCAGTAGTGCAAACCACGCCTCCCAGAGCCATTGCATCGCAAGGTTGTAGAGGTGTCAAATTAGATACATTCAGATCCGCGCACGAGCCTATCCTCGCTGTAGCGGTACCAATCTGGAGTGTTCAGATGGTTTTAGTCAATACCCAAGCACGATTCCGTCAGAAAAACCTCCTATCTAGTGACAAAGCGACCCAGTGAACCTCAGTTCTCTGGTGTACATATCGTTCCAGTAGCCGTTCGATATATGTCGCATTGGTGGGTGGAGTAGGTGTTTGTTATCTGCTGGCGAGGGAAACCACAAGGGGGAAAACCTCGCAGGAGTGGGTATTGTGGAGACAAGCTGCTTGGCTATCGGGCTCTGCGATAAAATGGGGCCTCTCCACTGTCGTGTGCTGGTTATCGACTCGCACAAGCCGGGTCAGAAAGGGGGCCATAGCAGGATTCGAACCCACTTGTTCTCGTCGCCCACCGCACAAACGAGAACACAACCAGGCGCATTTGACCATTGCGCCATACGGCCCGGATATTGAGTAGTGCTTTTCTTTTCTTGTCCCTTTGCACTCCGGGGCTCTCTACACGACTGGATCCTCTTAGGGTTACCTCGTTGCATAGTTAACATATGCTGTCTTCAGCATTAGATAGCATCTCGACCTACCAACCCGACCGATAATGACTGGTCACGAGGAAGCCGCCTGTGCTTGGGCCGGCAGCACCGAACCCGGCAATGGAGCCCCGCCTGGATTTGGAGATCCCTTACTGATGCCTAACTTTTTCGACTACGGCGGAAGAAAAGCTATAGGTCGAGCAGAAGGCCAAAGATATTGCCCAGGCGGCAGAGGAAGTTTGGGCCCGAGAGGAATGTTTCAATCTTCTGGTGTTCCTATTCGAGAACGATAGCGTGGAGACGCGATGGCAGACGCGCTGAGAGTGATGATGGTAGAGGTGGTGGCAGAAACGATGCTGGCAGGAACGATGCTGGCAGAAACGATCAAGGCCAGCTGAACCCGACGTATTTGCTGAGTCTCGTGTGCCAGATGCGCCGATTCAGTCTGAAGTTCACTTAGTGGATTACAAAAGACGGCTATCCCTACAATCCAGCTGCAGGTAACCATTCCAACCGCAATGGTTTCATGCCTGTTTGGCGTACCATAGACAGCCAGAGCCACGGTCAAAGATTGGCTGTCCTGTCAGGAAGGCCAGTGTTGGCCTGCTCGCCGCAGAGGATCTGCAACTCGCGAGGGGCATTCTGCGGTGCGACAGGTCGACTGCGGCCGCTGTCATACCCTCATACCGAAGTCTTCCTGATCTGCTTCAGCATTGTCAGCCCCCCTCTTCGTTTGACAACGTCAAGGCCAAGGTAGGATGCTCTTTCACTTGGAAACTGCCTCCGCAAAGCGTCCTTGCTGACCAGATATGCACAGTGGTTCCCGGAGATCGACCACCACGCGCCCAACATCCGATTACCTTCGTTGGAACCAGCTTGATCTATGCAAGGACGAGGCAACTATGGACATTTTGCGCTCTAAGAGAATGAAGGCGGTGTCGTATGGCCAGGCTCTGGTATGCGCGAAAGATCCGGGCTCACAAGTACCATAATGCGCCAAAATGGACTTGCTGATTGACGTGTGAGCATCATCCGCAGGCGTACTCCTCGCAGCCAGATACTTACGAGTAACCGGACTGGCAAAATGGCTTCTCGCCCGCGTTGCGCTGCTGTCCAGAAGGCCAACACAGCAGTAACTGACATGGTCGACAGCGACAACCACACAGGCAGTCGGACACGCAGAACCATGTCGTTCAGGTCTTCACTCGCCGATCCGACACCAAACGATACCAAGGGTTCCAAGGCCCAGAGTATGTTGCCTGATGACCAGAAGCCGCGGAGCGATAGCGCATCAACACCGGACGGCGCCCAACCTTCCACACCCCTCAGAAAAACATCACACAAAAAGGCACCCCAGCCCGCGATGATCTTCAAAGACCTACCCGAGGGTAAGAATGCCGTTGCATCGGTTTCGTACGGCCCTCCTGCGTCACCCGTTTTGAACTGGCAGTGGGATATCCGCCTTGCAAACAGGCAAGAGGTTGTGGCGCCCTTGGAACAGAGGCTCTCTGATCATAGGGTGATAGTTCTTATATCGAATATACTACATTATAGAGTTCCACTTGGTCCCAACTGCAGTGACGTGACCCTTGAATCTGACATCAGCTGGCAGAAAGACAAAGAAAGAAAATATCAGAGCCGGCCTTCCTTCCTGCATCAAGAGAGGATGGTCTGATATGGAGTCTTCGAGTAGAGCAATAGGCACTTGTTGAGCGACGACATCGTGCAGATTGAACGTCCAATACACTTACCGGCACGACAGAAGCGAAGACGAGAGGGTTAGAGCCCTATCAGTCTGGGTCTTGGAGAAATGCTTGTTGGTAGCCGCGGGCTGATAACTAGCACGTCGCCGGCTGTGACGATGCCAAGACCGGGCCCGGATGTGGGGGACGGGAGGTCCGCGGTATCATGGATGTACAAGTGAAGGGATTTAAAACAGGAATGGAGGAGATGCGGAGAGAAACCACAATGACGGTACCCATTGGGACTGGCTCTCACTTTCCGTGACTATTGTTTGTCAATGTTGTGTGCTTCATACCTTAATAATGACTTGGTGGTCAAGCAGTACGCGCCGTCGCACGACCACGTGGTTTGCATACGAAGACCAGCGACACATATGGTTCACCGTGAAGGACAAGAGAGGCAGAGAGCGAAAGGAATAGACACTGGACAAGCCAGTGTAATACAACGGGGTACCTGCAGCGAGCGGCGCTTTAGACTGATTGCCCGTGCGTTACAGGCGTTCTTCCCGGCACCGAAACTCGAGCCGCCCCGGCCATTGTCCGGCGATGAACAGAGAAGATGCAGGGACCCGTCGGCAGTGCGATGCAACGAACCCTATCGGAACCGCAAGAGTGAGCACTTGGTGATTCAAAGTTGGTGAGATATACACACCCTGCATAAGTCGTGCGAGATTGCGGATTTCAGTTCGCGGGGTCGAGGGGGAGGCTGGGGGAAGGGAGGGTGAACGCGTGGTTGTGACTGTTGGCAACGTGATTCAACAAGCCGTTGACTTGTGTATTGCGAGACATCGGGAGATTCCAGCTCATACACCACGGCATCACATGCATGCTGGACATATAGTTCAGAGAGCCGTCACCGTCGCCGGTTGAGATGTGTGGCTTGCTGAATAAGACATTTGGTTCACAGTCTGCTCACTCCGTCAAGCGTAGCGTCGCAAACGAGGTCAAGAGACTGATGAATGTTCCCGTGACGATAGAACTGAATTCGAACACCAGAATAGTCGTGAATGTTGTCTGCTTGGCATCACATTGAAGATGACAAGAAAGGGGTTACAAGCAGTTGTTAATCGTTGGGGGCAGGTGGGTAGAAGAGAAAGATTTGGGAGGCTGGGAGGACGGGAGCGGGGAGCTGGCACGGGTGGGCAGGTGTCAGCATGACCCAACAGCTGGCATTGAATGTCTCGACTGTCTGCACAGACATCTCGGCGTTAAGAACAAAGCAATTTGACTGCCCGCCCTGGCACCAAAACAACATTGAAGCCTCACTGACGATGCCACGAAAAAGGAGGAGTGGTGTTCAGGGAATATCCAAAAATGCCTTCTTCTCCATAAGATCCACACCGCTCAACGTTGCTTTTGGGCCTGTCGCTGATGACTTGACCGGATGCTGAGCTTGCCATCGAAACTGTGGCCAACCTTGGCTGCTGAGCTGGGGCGGTGATGGCTTCAATGTTTGCTCATATCGTGGCCAGTCAATGGTCGGCTGGTCAATGGTCGACCGGAATATCCAATGGCACGATCATCGAACGAACCCCCGCTCAATGGGAAGCATCTATTCATCAGGTCATTAGGTGTAACTCACACGCCCGCTAGTTTCAGTGTGGCTGTCTGGTCGCCCACGTGTCACACTCGGGTCACCATTCCCTCGCCGACGCAGGTACAGCACACGAGAGCCACCTGGACTGGTTTCACTCATCGGCTGTGTCGATTGACCTGCCGCAGACAAACCGGCGAGTCATTGTCCCGGCATCATGTTATCACTTCGCTCCTTCGCTCGTAACATATCACAGCGATCTAGAAACATCACCGCTTCATTCATACTCAATGTCGATTTTCGACCTGTTTGACTACCATTCACAACATTGCTATTGTGTCTGGAAGTTTCAACTTTAGTATATACGATTGTGCATTCCACTGCCCTGTCTGCACGACCTCTCGCAAAGCACCAACAACCAACCCTGTGTCAGCCAGCCAGCTACGAAAGATCCTCATCCCAACAACCTGTCTTACCCTCTCAAGCAGATAACTTTCTCAACTTCCAGCCCTCATCATGAAATACACTGCCGCTCTTCTCGCTGGCGGTGCGGCTTCGGTTGCCCACGCCAGCGCCTTCTGCGCCAACGCGGTCCAAGATACTATCGGCAACTATTACTGTCCCGGCGCAGTCGCGCAAATCAAATACACCGGCCTCGATATCCCAGGCAAGTATCGCAAAGTTGCCTCTATGGACAATTCGGGTCTTTGCATCTTCGAGGACCAAACATATTCCGGCCCTATTGCTCCTTACGACGAGGACGTGAGTACTCCACCTAAAAAGAGACGACCAAGTGCTGATATAGCTTATAGCTGTCCTTGCAGTTCCGTGGGCCGATGGTGTTGAGCAACGTCGCTGTCTACCATCCCACATCCTCCAACAGCAAGCGCAATACCCCCAGAACTTCCCAGTCGAAGCGCCACGGGCATCAGCACAAGCACTTGCACAAGAAGCACGACCAACACATCGAGGAGAAGCGTGCCGACATGGTCACAGCTGTCATCGATGGGATTACCCAGACGTGGGAAAACGACTGGTTCGGTGGTGCTGCTACTTCTACCAACCTAGATCAGCCATCCATCCCTACTACCGAAGCTGCTGCTACCCCTACCGTTGCCGCCGCCGAGACCACGCCTGGCGCTCAGCCCAGCTCATCGCAAAGCTCCTCTTCAGACGCATCCAACACTCAGGCTACCGAAGCTAGCGACTTTGAGCGAACCGCCTACTACTGCGCCCAGGATGGAACAGCCGATGGTCTTGTGTTCCTCGCCAATGTCGGTACTGATGGTGTATCTGGTACTTTTGACAAGTAAGTCCAGCCCTCGACTCGGATTTTGTGAGTCAGTGCCTAACGTATGGTCTAGTGTCTGGGGCTCCAGTCTCGGCTACGTCGACGAGAACGGTGCCGCTGCCGCCTCCTCTCCCACTGTTCTGCAGAAGAGGCAGCTCGCCTCGAACCAAGAGATTGCCATCTACTCCGATAAAGAATGCACAAATGGTGACTGTGGCGCCACTCGCCCCAAGTCGGTCGCCTACAGTAAGACCTACCCACCATAGCTCTGTCTGCACAGGACTCAAGAGGTGTCGCTAACAGGAGAACAGAGGGTTTCGCGGGCGCCACCAAGATCTTCGTCGTCGAGTTCACCATGCCCGACACGGGCGAGACCGCCGACGGCAAGAACATGCCCGCCTTCTGGATCAACAACGGCGCCATCGGGCGAACCGGCCAGTACACCAGCTGCAACTGCTGGGCTGGTGATAACGAGAGCCCCCTGCAGGGTAGCTGCGGCGAGTTCGACGTTGTCGAGATCCTTACCCCCGGCGAGACCAGGGCCAAGTCCACCTTCCACTTCGCTGCCGGCACCGGCGACTCGCACTACTTCGACCGTCCCGTCAACGCGCCTATGACTGTGGCTGTCGTCTTCGACGCGGCTTCGTCGACTGTCTCTATCAAGTTCCTCGACAGCTTTGATTGGAGCACTAGCCTGACCTCTGATCAGGTCAATGCCATGATATCGGATGAGTCGGACGTCAGTAAGCTCAGCTTGATGACGTTCGGCCGTTGATCGACGAGCGAGTAAGATGTCTTTGGATATAGCGTGGCGCAGGCGTTCCTTTTTTCTATGTGTGCGGGCGTGGGCGGTCAATAGCTGTTCACCGCGGGTTTGACTTCGGCTGGTTAGAGTCAAGCTCGCTTGATTTCCTGCTATTTCTCGGGGATGAGATCTTATATTGCGACATCTGGGATGACAGTTATCCTACACATACTGTTATTTTATGCGACGCGGACCTTTATGCCATCCGTTGATCGTGAATTCCACCACGTGAACAGTGTTGGTCTAGTAGTAACTTAGCATTCGTTTCCTGATGTCGTCACAGATTGCTTCAAGTCTGATCTCCATGGCTGTATCTTTGCGTTGCCTTGCCTAGGATTAGTGCTTCGCGTCTAAGCGAGAGTGGTCGGTCACCATGATAGCCATTCTTCCTATACCTGTTCCGGCTTACATAGCGTCGCCGACGTAGCCTTGTTCCCCTGAGTCTACTTATCTAGGTAGGTTCTTGACTCTTTGACCCCCTATACATCCGTCCCGCATACCAAAGAATGCAGGCACTACATGCGTGAGTGCATTCGCATCGAAGCGAGCTATTCCTCCGAAGCGTCTCCACTGATTCCCCCCCTCTATACCATATACCCGCGCGTTTATTAGAGAAGAGCATACGAAAATGGGTGGCATGCATTGCTGGTCTCTGACTGTTTCCGTCCCATATCCAGGTCCCGGCACGAGTTCACCGCGAGTCTTCCAAGTTCGCACATGTACTGGCCTGACTCGCCGGGGTGATATCTCAACTTGAGCTTCAGGGACAGTACAGGCGGCCCTGTCTGTCACTGCCGTGGTGCGCTTATGCGACTCTCGTCTCTCGTCGCCATGGCATGGCATGGCAGCCTATCGTAGCTAGGCGGCGGGGAAAGGCGGCTCTGGTCGGAAGGGTCCAGCACGTAGGGGCTTGATGTCTTCGTATCTTCGCCAATTGCGGTCCGCATGAAAGGGACCTATGCTCATCTAGATTCGCGATGATCTCGTCGCCTCTCTTGAGGTAGGCAAGGAAGAGAGAGCAGTAATCCCGAGATACCCCTCAGTCTATCGCAAGGCAATTTAGTTTCAGTCATTGCGTGAGTCGATATAGACAGAGGTAGGACAAGGTGAGGGAGACTGCGAAACGACATCGTATCTACCTATTGCCTTCATGTCATTCCAAACAAAAGTCCTCGTTTTCAGAAGTCCCCTGTTCACGAGCGTCCGTCGTATGCTCCCTAGCAGACTCTCCAGGCTGCAGCATGGTAAACTCATCCGAGTGGCCGGATCATGGTCCTGATGGTGGAATCCTCGTGACATGGCCATATAGCTGCTGCCTAGCAGCACCTCAGGCCCAACTTCGATAGGTATCGCTGCAGTGACCGTATCTTTGGAAGCTTGCCCCAAATCATCGTAATGCTGGCCCAATGGGGAGAGCCTGTGATTATGTGGTTGATACTGGATCGGGACCCCTGCCTGACTGACGCCGAGTAAGCACACATCAACGCTGAGATTGGCGGCAGGAGACGCCAAGCAGGATGGGCTCTCGGCCCCCAAAGTCTCAACTGCAGTGATTTGAGATCTGTTGCTGAGTCAGGCACGCAATCATCAGTCAGTGCTTGCCAATCGGCGGCAAGCGGCGGCCCAGCCGGCGGTCTTGAATGTGGTCTTGAATGCGGTCTTGAATGCGGTCCTCGTTGGCACGGCGTTAGGAGGACATATGGTAGACCAATAAACCTCCTTGCAAACATACCCTTACGCCGTCGCCGTCGCTGTCGCATTCGACGACCCAAAGCTGAACTGAGCTGAGCTAAACAATCTTGTCAATGGTCAGGAGCACAAGCGTCGTGGGAGGAATCGCCGGCCGGCATCCACGCTCGGGGTTTTGGTCTACGTGTTGATAGACGACTACGACAGATCTAGCGCGCAGAGATAGATGGATGTAAGCCGGGTCCAGAAGCACGGGGGGATGAAGGCCACTGTCAGCGCGAGAGCCGAAGGTGGGGGTGTTTGCTTCTATAATCACCACACAATATACTCCCCCATATCCCAGACCAGCCTAGTTCCCACCAACTACCTAGTTGTTTCTATCTACGACGTCCTAAGACGATATGAAGCTCTTCGTTTCAATATTGATTATGGAAGACGCTCTATCAAGACACGTTCCTCGTAGACCAAAAGCAACTGGCGATGATTCCATATTGCTAAGCCCGCATAACCCCGCGCGCGGTCTTACTGTATACGCGCATTCGCAATTGAATAGCCTGAGACCCTTTGCATGGTAGGTATGGATTATGGAATGCTTAGAAGTGCCTTACGCGAACGAGAACACAAGGCCAGCCTGCAGCAAGATACACGCTGGCCAATGAAACAGTCGCTTCTTTGGCTTTCCCAGGCAGATCACACGTCTTGGTAGATGTGTAGATGCAGGGGCCGACTGGGCTGAACGGGTTCGCTGTGCAGGTTATGCGCCATGGCGTCTAGGTGTGTCTGCGGAGGTAGGCAAACGGGCCGCAACCCAACAACACATAAGACCTCCCCCCCTGAGGCTAGCAAACGAGGGTTGCGGTATAAGTATGGGCAAAGTCCCTTCCCTGGATTTACCGAATCTGTATGTTTGCGTTGCATCAAACATACAATCCACCCAGCTTCCCAAGCCTTCCAATCGGACCTCTGCCTCTTCTCCTCGGAATCCAAGACAACCTGACGTCACAGCCAAGGCTTCTCATCTCAGACCTTACCTACCACCGCAATCGGATCCCGAACAACAACGGCAATGTCTGCGAAGAAGATCATCACAGTGTTCGGCGCAACCGGCGCCCAAGGTGGGGCTGTCGTGTCGACCTTCCTCAGTGACCCCAAGCTGAAGAACGACTGGGCCGTCCGGGGTGTCACCCGAGATGCCAGCAAAGACTCGGCCAAGAAGCTCGCCGAAAAGGGTGTCGAAGTCGTCGCTGTAAGTCTGACGAGTCCAGCAACGATATGCAACAGCTTGTGCTGACTCGCTCATAGGCCGACAGCAATGACAAGGCGTCGCTCGTCAAGGCCATGAGCGGCTCCGACACCGTGTTCGCCGTCACCAACTACTGGGAGAAGCCCGACATGAAGCTCGAGGAACAGCAAGGTCGCAATCTCGCTGATGCCGCCAAGGTATGCAGAGCGACTGCATCCGCTTCGCACGCACGTACTGACCCCAGCTTAGGAGGCCGATGTCCAGCACTTCATCTGGAGCACTCTGTTGAACATCACCGAACGTAAGTAGTACCTGGGCCAGACGACATCAGGAAATAAACCAAGTACTTACAAATACGACAGTGACCAAGGGCAAGCTCTCCAAGGTATACCACTTTGACAGCAAGGCCCACGTGGAAGACTACGTGCGCTCGCTCGGCATCCCCGCATCGTTCTTCATGCCGGGCTACTACATGTCGAACATAACGGGCTTCCAGTTCACGCAGTCGCCGCCGGACAACGCATGGACTTTCAGCCTGCCCATCGCGGCGTCGTCGCCGATCCCCATGTACGACACGGCCGACACGGGCAAGTACGTGAAAGCTATGGTGCTGAATAAGGACGCGCTGCTCGGGAAGCGGTTCATCGGCACGACGGCGTACATGACGGCACAAGAAGTCGTCGACGGCTTCAAGAAGGCCTTCCCCGAGACCGGCAAGACGGCCCGCTTCTACCAGTTGCCCGAGGACACGTTCCGCGGCTACATGAGTGGCACGGGCGCGCCTGATTTTGTGGTGGATGAGATGTATGAGAACATGGTGCTCATGCAGGACTTCGGCTACTACGGCGGCTTGCCCCTCGACGAGACGCACAAGTATGTCGAGGACCACCTGACAACGTGGGAGGAGCACATGAAGGCGGCCAAGAACTTTGCGGAGCTGGAGTGATGGAGTGGTGATGGGCGTGTGTAAGGGGTAGGGAAGAATTAAAAGTAAAAGAGGAATCCATTCGTTTGGACAATTGATCTCGATGGCAATGGACGTGAGACGATCATGTGTGAAGCCGGACCTGAACTCCCGCCGCCACCCCGGATGGTATGGTTCCTCCCGGACGAAGTCGCTTCGCGGGGATCGGCAGACAAACCCGGAGCCCATAATAACTGACAGTTGGATAACAGATTGCCTCCCGGAGCAGTTTCCGCGATTATACAAGGCCATCGTGATCTATCCCGCAATGCACGTGAAAGGGGAAAAACGGCTCCGTATGGGAAAGACAGGATGGGTTTCTGGATGATCAGCCAGTTTCAGCCCAGCCACGAACATCGAAGATGGTCCTCCCTGCATCTATGGCACAGCGATGAACCACATTAGTTTTGGGTCATATGGCATTGCATATCTGTCGGCACCTCCAGCCCAAGATGGTGGACCCTGAACGGACAGTTCGCCCCGGTAGGGCAACCTGACTCTGCCTAACAGCCTCTGTATAGCACTATTCGTAGTACTAGTACTGGTAAAGCCCTACTAGAGCCCGGACGGCGTACATTCCGACAACTTTCCACCTTTCTGCTGCATGCGGCTCCGCCGCTGTGGACCCCAACGTCCAACGAGCCGCTAGACATATCTGATCCCGACGCGCCGTCGGGATCCTCGACGTCACTCGCGCACAGACAATTGGAGAGAAAATCTTACCTAGGTATTGATCTTCCATCTCTCGCCCTCTCATGTCAATGCATCTCTATCAGCATTATCAGGGGCCGGTATTCGTGGATGAGATGCCCCGGTGAATATCAGATCGACCTTTTCACGGACATCCATCCGGCTTACATGGTATTCTGTTGAGCTCCTCCTTATTTCCGATCCTACCTAGCCTTCAACCTTCAACATGGGGTAAGCTAGGCCGACTAAACCACCGACGTCACCGACGGGGAGAGTTGGTCGGTTGCCGGCAGTGACATCTCTTCGCTCCACCAAATGAATGTGCCCCAAAAGCTCCTGCTCTCACCGTTTGAACTGGTTCGTTGGTGGAGTTGATAACCATCTCCAGTTAAATACCCGTCCTTTATCTGCATTCCCACGCAAAACTCTTCTGCTTTTCTCCATTTCTTACTCAGACTACAGCCCTGCGGACCAAGTGCTCCGTTTGATCTCAGGTAAAATCCGAGCCTGATGGCCTGTGCAATACCGAAGATGGCCGTGGTGAATGCTCCTCGATCACCTCACGGCTTTTTGCCCCGTGGTGGGTAGTGACACCTACGTAATGCTTGCTCTCCTATCTTTTTCACATATAACAAGCCTGTCCTTGACTGCTATGACTATTGAATTGACTGCGTTTCGAACCTGATACTTGACTCTGATCCTACTGATTGGACATTCTGACAAGCGAATTTACCACGACTCGAATCGTTTTCTTCAAAGCAACGACCTACCACAGCAGAAAATTATGGCTCGAAGCAGAGCATCAAGCACCGACACGGGACAAAACCCCGACCTCGGTAACTCGGAAGAGCGTCTCACGAATCAGACAAGGCCCGCATCAAGCCGTCGCGATGCAGCCGGTAGCCGCCCAAATACAGGTAGAAGCCAGCAACCCGGCGGTGCGACCGCGACGAGCAACCGCGGCAGTCAGCGGCCAGGTGCCTCTACGAGGTCACGAAGCTACGAAGGAAGCACGCCCAGCAAACAGGGCATCGAAGCCACGGACTGGGAGCAGAAGAACAGCAGGAATGTTCACCGCAGCCCTCCCAGGAACCCGCCGGGCGCCGATGCACGATGGGTCGACCAGGCCTACCGCGACGCGAACCCGTGGTACTCCCAAGCGGACAAGAAGCCGATCTTCAGTTTGGGCCGGCCTCTACCACGCACCGTCCGCTGGAACAGCCAAAACAAACAGGCGGACGCCGGCACCCAGGCCGCCCGGGGCGCCCCCAGCAAGTCCAAAGAGGACCTGGCCGAGCTAGGCGAGGTGGACTCAGACGATGCGATCTCGCCGGACCTCGAGAAGCAGGCCACGACGCAGTCGCGCCAACCGGAGGCGGCCCGCCACACGACTGATGGCACGTCGCATGGCGATAAGTTTAACGACGTCGGGCAGCCTGTGTTCAACTACATGCCGGGCGGGAGCAACACCAACGTCAGCGCCGCCATGAGTCGGCGGGGGACCAACGAGTCGCATGCGCGCCAGACGAAGAACAAGACCGACGAGGAGGGCGAGGGGGAGAAGCCGGATTATGGGATTGATAGCGAGCCGCTGGGCCAGCGCGAGGCGGACGCTGTCGAGCAGACTGATCGGGATCCGGATGAGTTTCGGAACTGGTGGGCGCGGCTGCGGGCGAGGCATCCGGAGCCGTTGGCTGAGTTTCTGGCTGTGAGTTATTCCTGTCCCTTTGGTGATGGATGGTTTGGTGTGCTGACTTGATTCGATTATTAGACTGGTGTAGCGGTGTTCCTGGGTCTGGCTGGCACGCTCTCGGTGAACTTGTCTGCCAACCAACCTAGTCCGTACGGCACTTACGAGACGTCGTGCTGGGCTTGGGGATTTGCTTGGATGTTCGGCGTAAGTAGATCCAAGAGTCATGCATTTCCCCTTCCGGTCCGGTTTGAAGAGTAAATCTTCTATAGGACTGTCTTAGAAGAAGTTTTCTCCCAAGAGACACGCATCTCAACTCCCTACCTCTCGCCGAATCGCTTACAAGGCGTACTTACTGACATATGTTTCCAACAGATCTACCTCGGCGGCGGCGTCTCAGGCGCACACATGAACCCAGCCATCAGCGTGTCCCTCTCGCTCTTCCGCGGGTTCCCCTGGAAGCAATGCTTATACTACGTGGTGGCACAGTTCATAGCCAGCTTCGTGGCAGGAGGCCTGGCGTACGGTTGCTTCGCCGACACGATCCGGTCCGTGGATCCGACGATGTCGAACACGGCGCTGTCGTTCTTCTCGACGCCCCCGGACTGGGTCTCGCTGGGCACGGCCTTCCTGAACCAGATGGTCGGAAGTGCCATCATGATGATTGCCGTCTTTGCGCTGGGCGACGACCAGAACAACCCGCCGGGCGCGGGCATGCATGCCTTCGTCCTCGGCCTCCTGGTCACGACGCTCAAGATGACGCTCGGCTTCAACATCGGGTCGGCGCTGAACCCGGCCTCGGACTTCGGGCCCCGGGTCATCGCGTACGCGAGTGGCTACCACGGCTCCGAGGTGTTCTCCACGAACTGGTGGTTGTACGGGCCCTGGCTGGCCACGCTGGCGGGCTCGGTGGTTGGATGCTCGGTGTATGACGGCTTCATCTTCACGGGTTCGGAGTCGCCTATCAACTACCGTGTGCCGCAACACTATAGGAACCGGGCTAAGAAGATGCTGAACTTGAAGACGGATCAGTAGGATATTTTACTTGGTAGTTGACCTCAAGATGAGATTCCTCTGGCATTGGCAGCCGTTGTGCCAAATCCTACTTTCCGAGTGATACTGAATGTCAACGACCCTTGTTTGAATGAGACTGTGAATGTAAAAGTACCTGCTAACATTCATTGCCTCTCGCTATTTGAAAAACACTGTCGGCTACTCAAGGATATTTGTGAAGTCTACCTCCTTTCAACTGCGGGGCACTTGAACTGACACTGATGATTACCCCGATGTCTCGCTATAATCGGATATAAGCTTATCTTGGAGAACTCTATGAAGTAAACCGAATATGCGCTTAGACGAAGTCGATATACAACTAAGCGAACGTGGCGGACGGGAATCCGCGTGCCTCAGTCCGCCACGGGCGTCAGTCTGATTTAATCATCCAAAGCCGAGGTTCCTCTTCAGCCTCTGCCTTCTGCACACTCCGCATCCCAACATTCACAAGCATCGGCAGATCTACCAGATGCGCTGACACCAACCAACCGGCAGGCTAGACACCTGTGTCATCATCTCCAGTCTGAGCCTGTCTCGTGCTCAGAGATCGGCCGTCGTTTGAATCGTTATTGCATACTCCTTATCCCATTCCTTTACATCCCCGAAGACGTGTTTGGACTGGTGCCAGCGGGAGATCAAGCTTCGGTGGCTGTGAGGCTTGCGACCGACTGATCGCGACCGTTGGACTATTCGCACGCTTGGTAACAAACTTTGTGTCCAATTCACAGTTTTCTCGAATACCTGCCAATCTGCATCGCGTCATCACCGGCTTTCTTCCCATCTACAAGTCCAAAGCATCACCGCGATGGCCTCGCCACCCAAGCCTTGGGAGCGTTCCGGTGCAACGGCTGCGGGATCTGGTAAGTTGGCCTCCTTGTCACTTTGACTTTGCGCCACGGTCGGGATCTAACAGAACAATTATCAGCTACGATGACTGCACCTAGCGTGACCTCGACAGCGACCGGTGCTCCGATGTCAACGACATCGAATGCCATGACTGCACCTAGAGCTGGCAATGCCGATTCTGCCTCGACGTCACCCGCTATTCCACCTCGACCCGATGCACTGTCATCCGTGGTCAACCAGAATGCATCCGCCTACGGTCGCGTGGGAAATAACCCATACAACCCCGCTTACTCATCCCCGTACTCCTCGCCATACAGCAGAATGGGTGGTATGGGAGGCATGGGTGGTATGGGAAGCATGTATGGCGGTGGCTATGGTGGTTACGGTAGCATGGGTGGCATGTATGGTGGTGGCATGTACGGAGGAATGCCTGGCATGAACCCGAACGACTCGAACAACCCAAACAGCCTCACCAACCGCTTCAGCAATAGTACACAGGCGACCTTCCAGATGCTCGAAGGTGTGGTTGGAGCGTTTGGCGGCTTCGCGCAGATGCTGGAAAGCACGTATATGGCGACTCACTCGAGTTTCTTCGGTAAGTGAATCGGTGTGAACTTGATGTGTGCTCTCACTTGAGTTCATTTGCTGACTGCATGATAGCCATGGTGTCTGTTGCCGAGCAGTTTGGGAACCTGCGTGATACTCTCGGCTCGGTGCTGGGCATATTCACCTTGATAAGATGGATCCGCACCTTGATTGCCACAATCACAGGTCGACCTCTGCCAGCGGATGCCACAGCACTGACACCTGCCGCGTTTGCACGATTTGAAGGACGGCAGGCACCAGCAAATCCAAATGGCCCACCCAAGCCTAGCAAGAAGCCTCTCATATTCTTCATCCTTGCGGCCTTCGGTCTGCCCTTTCTCATGAGCAAGGCGATCCGATCTCTGGCAGCTTCTGCAGAGGAGGAGGAGCGCAAGCGCATGGAAGCAGCAGGACAGAATGCACCATTGGATCCCACCAAGCTGGAGTTCTGTCGAGTCATGTACGACTTCACCCCTGAGGCTGGCAACGCTACTCAAGGGATCGACCTGGCCGTCAAGAAGGGTGACTTCATTGCTGTTCTAAGCAAAAGTGACCCACTTGGTAACCACAGCGAATGGTGGCGCTGCAGAGCTCGAGATGGACGTCTTGGATATCTCCCTGCTACCTTCCTAGAGCTTGCGAAAAGACCCGGTCAACCCATCGCAGCGATCAAGGCCGGTGCGAGTGAACCTGTTATCACGAGCAAGGCAGGCGATATCTCGGCTGAGAGCTTCCAGAAATCCCAGTTTTACTCTTAGGGAGATAAACTTGATTCCGAAGACTGGGTAGCTGCACTAGCCAAACCCTTCAAGGAACTCGAAGTTTACATTACTACTGGCATCAACAAAGCCTCATCTATGCCGAACGGTACATCGCCCACCAATTCTGGCCAGAACCATGCGAACATCGGCGAAGATCATGGAGACACTGCTCAGGGCAGTGGCTCGGTGCCTTCAACCGGTACTAACGGAAGTAGCCATCAACTTAATGGCACAGGCGACCGAGATGATGATGAGCGCGACGATGATGAGCGCGACGAATCATCATCCTCTGGAGATGGTGAAACGCTTGTTGGTGCTTTGGTGACGATCTATGAGCTGCAGTTGATTGCGCTGTTTCTCGGCGCATCTTTCACAATCTTGATCTGTACCATATATGATGGAGAGGCAGAACGCATCGCTGCTGAAGCTGAACGCATCGAACGCGAGGTTGATGTCCCGGCTACTGCTCCGCCCTCACCTGCTTCCCCGCCCTCGCCCATATTTCGTGGTGAGATTTCTCCTCGTCTTCACCGCAATCCGACAGATGTCCAGTTTTCTTCTGGTTCGATTGAGGATCTTGCCCGCTATAGAAGAACGCGATCCTCAGCAGCGATTGCAGCTAGATATGGGATCAATGGAGGATCAAACGCGGCCAGCCGTTCAAACACGGCCAACGCATCAAACTCGGTCAACGTATCAAGCACGGTCAACGGATCAAATGCTGCCAGCGAATCAAACGCCAGGAACCACCGTGGTGATCAGCAAGACGACGCAAATGGGGGCGTCGACGGATGCAGATTCCAGTAGGAACCACGGACTGCCTGCCGACCAACAGTACGGTTCGCAAGGCCTGTGTCTGCCTCAGCGCACCGCCTCTGGGGCCAATCATGACCGCAACCTCGTTCGCATCAGTTGGACTGGACACGGCGCACACCATTGCATAATCGAACGCTTGGAGCCTTATACTATATTTATTTTGCTCATTTCGATAGGGTAGCACTGCATGACCAATAGGGTAGTCAACTGGCGTTCTTGGCTGGAAAAGTACACTTGGAAGCCTGGACTGGACGGCCTTTGATACCTTAGGTAGTTACTCTCACTTGAATAACTTTGCACGTAAACTAGTTGCAGATAAAATGGTACACATGGTACATGAGGCAAGATTGTCTTTGGAATGTGACTGTGACTCGACACTTTCCCCACTCGCCTTTTTGCCAGCTCGGGTGCCTCCCGTGTTAAGAGGAATCTAGACCACACGTAAGAAACTTAGAATACTGGCATAAGCAGGCAGGAATAAGCAATTCTGGTTTGATACGCTATTTCGAATGCTTGTTCCAGTATGCCTATTCCAATTCGATGAATCTACCGTGTTCGTTGGATGGGTGGTGTACGGAGACTTGTGAGGGTTCAGTGTACATGCAGCCACCTCTGCCCGCAGTATTTGATCGGACTGTTCAAGCTTTTCCATGAGACGTTATATTGTAGGTGAGATTGTTTCAAGCTGTATCGTACCTGGCGAGCTGGGCATGCCTCGCACGCAAGGAACTGGGCAAATACTAGCCTTATCATCCAGGACAAGTGACAGTTTCAGCGAGGACAGTGAACCGCTTGAGGTACGGCCACCCCTCTCCCCCCATGAGTCTCCGTACGGCATGCCTCAATCAACTCTTTGGCATTGATAGGATATCTATGTTGTGGAATAAGCACCATGGAATGAGCAGCTCTGATCTAACAGGCAATTTTTATGCTTATTCCAGAGTGCTTATTCCACTCACAAAAAAATGCATCCTTTAAAGTTAGCTGAGCTAAAGCAGGTGTATACACAGACTTTTAGAGGTTCAGTGTACCAGAATGTTTCTAAGAAGTAATCATGCAAGGTCTATGTGATCGCAAGTAGGTAATCTACACCCGGCCGACTCTGTGCCGGAAGCCTAAGCCTGCCATGAGACTTATCCAAATAGATACCTGGTGTACAACAACAAGACGCCTACCGGCCTAAATACCTCTTCTCCAACGTCCTCAACCCCAAATAAGCAACAGCCGTAAAAGCAAACGCAAGCTCAAACCCAACATCACCCCCTAATTCGCCCCCACACAGTCTGCCCACGGGCCCCGTGAACCAAGCCTGCGCCATCCCCACGACCGCGCCCACGACCCCAAACGCAAACGCCCCCAGCGCCGCCAGCCCGGGCGGCAACCGTTTCGGGTCCGTATAATCCTCGGGGCAGTAGCCCGCCAGCCCGCGGCGGAACGCAAAGTGTTCTGTTAGTGCCACCCCTTCGTAGATGGCGAGCCAGTACCCGATGACGAGCATGAAGTTCTCGAGCGCGGATTCGAAGTGCGAGTAGCCCGGCACGGCGACGGCGACGTAGACGGCGGTGCCGACGGCGCACCAGGCGGGGCGCAGTATATGGTAGCGCTCTGTGAGTGTGGGTGTCAGCACCTGTAGTGAGAGTGCTACCGAGTACACGTTCGGGCAGTTGTTGGCGACGATGGACAGGGCGAGCACGACTAGACAGAAGTCGCCGAAGTGGCCTAGGGGCGGGACGAGCGTCTGGGCGAGGAGGCCGCCGACGCCGGCGTTGGCGTAGGCGGCGCTGAAGGTCGGGTTGGCGATGGCGGTGGCGACGGCGGCGCCGAGGAGCTCGGTGAAGCACAGCGGGAGGAAGAGCCCAACAAAAGTCCACAGGAACACCGGGACGCGGCCGCGGTCGGCCGGCTGGTAAACAGTATAATCAGCGGCGTAGGCGGTCCAGCCGGTGGCGAAGCCGAACACGGACGCGGCGAAGGACAGCACGGCGCCGGCCTCGGCGGCGGGGCTGCCCCTGGTGGCGAGGGAGGGCAAACTAACAAAATCGCCCGAGCGCGCGAACGTGCCGAGCACGATGAGGAAGACGGCGAGGCTGGGCAGCCAGGACCAGCGCTCGTAGGCGTGCACGAAGCGGTAGCCGAAGGTGCAGACGGCGAGCGTCGAGCAGGCTAGCACGAGGATGCCGGCCCAGCCTGGCACGGAGGGGTTGATGGCGTGTAGGAGCTGCGCGCCTACTATGGCGTTTACGGCGGACCAGCCTAGACAGGCTAGGATGTTGAAGAGGGCGACTGTAGATCGATAAGTACTCAGGTCAGAACGGGCGGTCACCGTCCTCCCCTATTATCGTGTGCTCGGTCGAGCTGGGTGGCTTATTTTACTTACTTAACTTCACGCCGTAGTAGCCGAAGTAGAAACGCGAAAGCACTATCTGGCGCAGGCCGAAGCGAGGACCAAACGTCGAGAAGAAGCAGACCGGCATGATCCCCAGGAGGTTGACGAAAATGATGGTCAAAGCGCTTTCGACGAAGCCGAGCTTGAAGATGGGTATGGCGAGGGCGCCGATGGCGAAGGACGAGACGACCATGTTGGCCGAGAGCCACTGTCACGCAAGTCAGGTTATGTCTGATATATCAGAGCAGAGAGGGGGCCTAGGGGTAGTTAGGTATGGTCTTACCAGAGTCCCGACTTGGCTCATACTAGAGTCCGTCCTCTCGTCGTCCGGGACGCGCTCGATACCCCGTTGCTCCACGCCGAGACTTCCGGCCAGCGCCCGGACCCTAGAATAGAGCAAAGGGCCCGAGACGAAGGCCTCCTTGTGAACTGCGTTGCCGTCATCGACATGTCCGACTTCGAGGTCCCTCCCGGACCTGCTCTCCGAGCTGTGCCCGTTTTGAACTTGATGACTGTTATCGGAAAGCGGCATAATGCTATTATTGAGATAGCAACATGAAAGATGAGATCAGAAAAGTCTGCTGGCGACCTGTGATGAGCCGTTCTTCGGATCGGTTCGTAGTGGGTAGTGGGATGCAGTGCAACAGTATAAGGATTGCGAAGCCCTGCTTTAAGTAGCCGGTACCGAGTAGCGTCCACACTCAGGGGGTGAGGTCGAGGGTAGGACAAACACCAAAGTCAGGACTGACAGATACTGAAGACTACTGAAAAGTCGGAAGACCCCGAAGAGCTGCCGGGGCGGCGCTGATGAGTAAGGTGACGCTGGGTGAGGAGGCGTCTCTGATCGGGGCCAGTGACACGGACAAAGATGGGATGCAAAGCAATAGGGCGTCGAGCGGTAAACTATCACAACCAGGGAAGAGATCGAGGCGAGGGAAGACTTTATTCTGGCTGTGCAGCCCGTGATAGATATGCCCTAAGCGGCTATTGGGTCACAGTCAACCCTCGGGACAATGGGCGAGGTGATGCAGAATCCCCATGCCCGGGATGCATTGTGGGACGGGCCCTGCAGCTGTGTTCAATGGACGCCATTGTGCATGCTCATACATGGCTCGTGTGGTATTGGGTAGCAGGCATTTCCGAAGACGAGCTCGGAGCAGATGCGGAGATGGGCGAAAGAGTGTGTGGGAAAGGGGGGTGCATGGTGACCGGACTGGAGCCATCAGTCAGCCTTCAGAGCTATGGAATCCGTGACATTTCGCCTTGAACCGACATGGCTTTAGATATTCCGAGGTCTCTTTACCATAGTTTGAGAGCCGTGTTCTTATGTCATAGATGCTGTTCTATCGAGTAATATCTTGCCCGAAGAATCAGTATGGCCCTAGGGCCGTCACGATGACTTCGACACATAATGCCGTCACGATAAAGATGAACGCAGCACACGGGCCCTCTGATTGGCTGAACCTCGTGGTCATGGGCGGAAGGCAGCGTGGAGAGGTCGTCATCCAGAGGCTCTTCGTCACAAGGGTTGAGCTTCAACAGCCTAGAGAGGAGGAAATATGCCATAGAGATCAACCTGCGCTCATGCTTTAGAGGGTGGGATTTAGTTCGGTGCGTAAAAGTTTGACGAGAAGAAGCATGCTTTGGAGCCTAGAGCTCAGAGGCGACGGGCGGTAACCAAGATAGGACATGGCAAGGGTGCTTGTGCTCGCCATGGCTTCCGCCGGAAGCGGGATCAAGTGGGCTCGGCCGCCCGCGTTGACCAGGGAATTATTTCACTGGCTTTGCAGGAGAGGTTGGCGCCGACTTCCACACCCCAGCCCCGGCGATGAGTTCATCTCCAGAGCCAAATCGCAAGATCCGTACCAAGAAACCAGACACCAAGCGCCGCCTATTGCCCTCAACTTATCACGCAAGTATGGAGCCCTTCCTACCTCGCATCAACGATGCGGTGAACGAATAGCTGCAGGTAGCGAACGCAGCATACTGCGGTGTCCAGGGGCACACCACGTGAACTCGGCGCCAGGTTCGCATCCCGCCCGCCTGCACGTTGCCTTCCGGAAGCCTGCCTACAGGACGCAGCAATATAATCCGCGCGTGCCGGCGCATCCAGCCGCACATGGCAGGATTACCCGTATGATCCCGGCTGCGAACCCGTTGGGTGAGTTGCGGCGGCTTTGGGTATATTGTAGTTTGCCGGTTGAGCGTGCGTCTTCTGCCGCATAGATTGATCGAGGTTCTTTGTTCGGCTGCAGGTGTATGGTGGACGGCTTGTGATGATATTTTTTTTGACGCCAGAACATTTCTCACAGAAGCACAATGAAACATAACGCCGCCTCACCACGGAGTCCGGAAGTAGAGCGTCATACCGACACGGACACGGCGCAGGGCCTTTCCCCCTAACACAGCGTACCGAGTCGTGACACCACCCGAGTCACACCGTCAGCCTTGACTGCCAGTACTACCCGATTGGTTTCAGGCGACCAAGGCATCAATCGAAGTTTCTAAATTGCCCGAAGAGGAATGCCCTCGACGAGAATGCCGCTTCCCGTTTAAGTCAGGGGAAGAAGCCGCAAGGAAGTCCGGGAAGTGCAGTGGTCCGAGGACGCGCCGACTGCCCCAGTGCTCGTAGGGCTTATGACAAGTCAGCAACATGCTAGCTAAGGTGACGACAACATCTAGCAGATGGGGGACAACTCGTGAGGAGACAACTCACAGAGCGTTGTCTGACCTTGCGCTACCCCGGCTTCCGTGATCCAACGTCGACTTCCTCATTAATCCGAAGCCGCTCAGCGAACAGCTAATGATAGCATGTGAGCCACAAACACATAGAAGGTAACACACCACGTATCGATTGAGGTGCTCGAGATTGTGCGTATACATAGGTACGGCGACGCCGAGATCTAAATGCTCCAGTTCAAACCGCAATAACCCAGAAACAAACACCGCGTGCGCCACTCATGCCATCCCGCTGTCCAATGCATGCATATATACTCATAACACGAACACTATCACCCACACTCTCACAGTAACATCACAGCACAACCAGGTTGTTGATGTTCAGCCCCTGGCTCTCGACATGGTATCTCCTCCGCAAGCCCAGGCTCTTGGCCGTCTTCAGCAGCTCGTACGCGTCCTCCCCGCCACCCACCATCAGCATGGAGATCGGGTGGTGTCTCGTTACACCGGCGCGGGTCCTCTGGGGCTCGTCGAGGAGCGGCCGGATGAAGTTGAAGCCCCAGGTGTCCTCCTCGCCCTCGCTCAGTGCGTCTCTGTCGTCCGACACGACGATGACGAGCTGTAGCGCGTTCCTGTGTGGTGCGAAAGAGGGGATGTTGGCCAGCTTCTCCGAGAACGAACACCCGCCACGGCGCATCACGATTACGTGATGATTCTTGGCGGCGATGTCGGGTAGCTTGGCCTCACAAGCCTGGTCAGCAAAGTAGATCAGCTTCCAGGAGAGCGACTCAACCTGCGGGTTCCTATGTGGGTTGGGGGCTTCGCGAACATCTGGAAGCGGGGCGACGCCAACGCCGACAGGAGTGATTGCCGGCATTTCTGTATATAAGTAATCTGGTTTGGGTGCCGGTTCGGGGCCGACAGTTGTGGCTGGTTCGCGCAAAGCGGATGTGATTTGGTGTAAGAGCGAGTTGAATAAGTTCGTAGCACTGAGACTAGCCTCCTGGATATCGATGGTGGGCTGTGACTCCAGAGAAGGCTCTGGAACCGCCGATGTCAAGTTGTGGTCCTGCACCGGTTCCCGAGCTTTGGTTTGTAGAAGGATGTCGACAAGGACCGAGTCGCGCACACGGTGGAACAAGGGATCCGCAATGTCTGCGAGCACATCGCGAGTGATGAAGACCTTCTCATCTCTCCCCAACACCAAGTTCCCAATGCTGCTGATACGCCAAGCTCTTTCGGACGTTTCGGGCGGTTCTTCCATAACAAGGGCAAGCTTCAAACCAGAGAGACTGTTGATCGCAATGCCTTCGCTTCCCATACGGACAAGGTTGTGCCCACCAAACATGAGGTTGAAAGCACTCCCTACGGACTGCTGGGTATTTGAGGGAAACTCGATCACCGAAGTATGTACCTGTTTCGAAACAGAGCAAACTCCGTCACTCGGTAACATAGACGGTGGTAGCGTCCAGGGGAAATATGTGTGGTTTTCTCTGGGCTTGTTCGCCTGCTTCTCCCTCGAGCCAGATTGCTCTAGCTGTGCAGTGATATCTGAATCACTGTGAATATTGGGCACCTGATGAAGCCGGATCAAGGTCGCTGCGTTGTACAGGTCTGGTCTCGCAGCGGTCGCCGAGCCGGACAGTGGTGGAAGAACCGGAGGTACGGGACAGGTATTTGTGAAGTTGTCCTTGTAGTGGGGTTGAACCGCCTTCTCGACCGGTGGCTTTCGAGGTCGCTGGCCTACATTCTTGTGAGGGATGATCAATGGGTGCCCTTCCGTAGTAAAGACGTAAGCGGCGTCAAGATTGTTCAGAGGATGTTCAGAATCAAACAGCAGATAGAGGTATTTCGCCGTCTCTCCTAAGAAAAAGCTCTCCATGCGGTCACTCATCTCACCCGTGCGTACGTCTTGGAGGCCAGACCAGCCACACTCCGTCCGACAACGCCTGATGATGTCTCGCAGAACCATCTCGCCAGAATATAAATACCAGGGGTCTCGAGTAGCACGATACAGGTGATACGTGGACTCGATAAACTCAGGTCGGCCAGGCCACCATCCAAGGCCGCCCTCGACAGTGCCATCACGAACAGACCAACGCTCCGGCAAAGCCGAGTACCGAGTCCACAATGCCGTATATAGCAAATGAGTTTCGATGGCTTCGTCTAGCTCACCAGCGAGTGCTAACAGGCCAGAGTAATACGCGCCTAAGCTGTCGATCCAGTATGCCTGGGGGGAGCCGGTGGATATATGCGCATTGACGTAATGTGGGTGATGCACCCCGGAGTAGAGATGTCGTTTGATAGCAGCGTGAGCGTGGTGCCACGCGTCGAGAAACGAATCAGGGGAGTTGTCTTGCTCTGAAAGTGGCTGGTACAGCTGGTTGGGGTCGAGCCAGCTACCATAGGGGGCCGTATGAGGGATTGTCAAGTTTGGCAACTCGTGGCCCGAAAGCAAGATATGGGTCTTGAGGGCATATTCAAAAAAGCTATCGATTCCTGCACCGATGCCAGAGAAGCCTCCGATCCAGTGTCCTGCCTCGGCATCTACACCGGCACCAATGAGTCCGATATTGCTTCTTCTAGACCAGACAGCCCAGAAAGCTCGTTTGGCAGCTTGCTCGAACCTCGTATCTCCCGTGAGACGACTTAGCACGGTGAACTCGAGGACTAGGCTTCCAGCACCGGCGCTACACGTTTCCGTGATCTCGGCGGTGTCTTGGGCTTGATCCGGATCCAAGCTGATGTTATTATGCAAGGGCGAATTCAGGTAGAAGGGTATACCGTGACGGAGATTGACCCGGGGATACGGCATGCCGGTCTGTGTGTAAAAGGCCGGAAGCAAGCGCTGGGCCAGGTCGAGGGCAAGCCGCAGCAGCTGGCCATCGTATTTGAAGCCATTGGGCCAGGCGATTGGGTGCTGCTCGACATCGATGTTGGTTCTCTGCGGATCGTACCCAGAGATCGGCAGTTCCCCGACAGCGAAGAGGTGTGCGCTCAGCAGCCCACCAACACCCCGTATCACAGTCTCGAAGACCTGCACCTTGCTGTCAACATCGAAACCTCGCCCTCGCGCCCCCTGACCTGTCGGGCCGTGCCGTCCATCGCCATACTGCACGACCAACGCGGCTACGCCCTCTTGGAAGTCCCTTAATGCCTTTGGACCGGTGTCTCTACTGTCGGGCGGCGCAGATGCAAGGATGGCGAGGGTGGAAAGGCTATCGATGAGGGTCAAGGAGTAGTTGCCGAGGACGTCATTGAGCTCGACATTTCTTGGGTTGATTGGATCGCGGGTCAAGGGAATACACGACACAGGCCGTAACTGGTAATACATAAGCTACTGCATAATCTACGCACGGGTTGCGCCCACGACGGTGCATACCTCATCTTCGGGAAAGGCGATGTTCATGTAGTTATTAAAGCCATGATAGAACATGTCGACCGTGTCCTGGCGCAGCTCGGCAATGCGACTCGGGCGCATCGCCTCTACAGAAGCAGCCAGCCATGGCAGCAGCAGCGCACACAAAGCGACCAACCTAGCGACGGGGTACCAAGGGTCCGAACGGTGCAACGGGGCCAACTCGCAGCCGGCCGAGCCTGGCAAGGGCATCACCAGCAACAAAAGGCGGAAGAATGCATGTGTGGGAAGAAGCAACCAGATGGTGAGCCGGATCACCAACCAACAACAGACTGACAAGCGAAGATTGCGCGGTGTGGGTGGTCGCACAGTTGCAAAGCTTCGTCCCCGTGGCGATGTAGATGCAGATGCCGGCGATTTAGACGAGGCTGGCCAGCGGCAATGCGATGTCGGGTGGTGAAGGTTGTTGTGGTGAGGAACTCGAGCAGAGGTACTTTTAGGTTCATGATGCTCGATCCATCAGGACCTGAGAGAATGGATCCCATTCTATTCACTAACAATGCGCCAGCGCTAAGCGGTGGGCGACTGATAAGGATTGTTATCGCAGACGAGGCTTCAGCTTTGTGTCTTGAGGACACGTGCCATTGAAAGTTAAGAAATTCAAATCAGCCTGTTTTAGCCTTTAGGCGGTTATGGACGCTGCTGCATATCGGCTAATCTCTGGGGGTTCTCTCCCGCTAACCTTATTTTATGCCGCCACTGACCGAGGCCGCTGGGCCGGTGCAACCTTTGGGCAGACTTCAAAGTTCAAAGTTCACAGCCGACATTCTTGAACTCCAAAACAACAACCTGCATGCTTCAAGCTGGACATAGCACCACATGTCAACGAGTCGCCGTTTACTGGGAACCCTTGCTACCACCTCTTTGGGAATCTCATAGCACACAGATGCACATTTACATACACGAACCTCAGAGGTACAGGTATTTTTCCTCAGGGTACAGGTACATCAGCACAGGGTGCCCCCCAGACGGTGAAGCAAGGAGAGAACACCTCTCTTCACTCTTTGATAGGCGTCTGAGGGGTGGGACATGCCTCGCATCAACTTATTGGTAAAGGGTCATCCCAAGAGTCAGGTTCCTCCTCACCACGGCTGACCCCATCCCCTGGATGCCGGGCTGGAGAGGACAAGCAATCTTCCCTCGAGGCCATTCGTCTCTGTCGGGGTATAATGTCACGACCCGAGTGTTCAAGTCTATGGGATCCCCACATATCCAACACTGATTCTCGTCCAAGCGGAGGTGGCAATGATCTGCCCTGAAGAGACCTGTCACAGTCTGTGGTTTCAATCGATCGATAGTCCCGCCTCCCTTGCTTGTAATGGCTCTCAACACACGAGGAGCGAGTGCAAGAATTCCCGGGACATAAACTCTATCATCCGACTCGGCCCCTCGATAACAGCATTGACTACAGGTTGGATACATCGGCTCCCCAGCACCGGCATATGGGGAGGATTTGGTGCAAGCCTGTGTCACGTGGGGGGTGGCATAACATGAGGCAACTAAGTCTTGCTTATCGACACTTTGTCCTCGAACTCCCAGATATCTCTACCTTACCCATGGGATAAGAACAAGCCAGCCTTAGAAAGACAGACGCACCCTGAAGCCCGAAGCCAGCTCAGGGACGACACCCGGGATAATAGCAAGCCACTATCGCTACCCAGTTCTATTGTCATTGCAAAAAAGGGGTTGGTGTAGCATCTCCGCAGTGACCTTATGGTGCATAGGTATGGGACAGCTAAGCTTACTCATTAGCTACAAACTTCAACGGGAGACGGCATGAGGTGTCAGCACTTAGAAAACATGGCAGGGGGCCCTCACGAGTCACGACTACGTTACCGGTCCCATTAATTTACCCCGTTCGCATTGGAATGCGCTTGTAGGAAGAGCCGTGCAGAACTCACCCCCTACTTGCTCGATATCGTCACCCCTGTTCCCACAACGACACCGGGAGATCGAAGAAACTGGGATACCCCTGACTGACGACCTGATTCAATTTATATCATTCGCGCTGGTTCCTTTCAAAAATCAAGGAGTCTCTCATTGGCTGCGAACTCATGCTTCATGTGACAATCCCTCCACGTGGAGCCTACCGTATGCGATGCGACGGTGACCGGCGACCACTTTCCCAGCGACGCGGTCCTGGAACTCCGCGGGATGCCTATCCTGGTCCATGAACCAGCAGTACATCGGTCAGCCATAGAGAGAAGATGATTAATCTTGTCCCTTGCGAGCCATACCGTACGCTTGGGAGCCAGAGTCCATTTTGCGGAAGACTCGATGACGGCCAGTGGTATATGGGTGCGAGTGCACGCCTCCACCACCCAGCGCCATAGTCCCTAACGTTTCTTACCCTTGAGAGAGTCCCGAGGCCTACGGGCTGGCGAATACTATCCAGTTTACCTTGGTGATCGGACTCGCTCATACATTAAACACCACTTCACCAACAGTTTGGTCCCTCTAGCACAGATGAGGAGCATGGTCAATAGGGGCTACCGGATGGGGTAGCACCACCATATAGATACATGGTTGACTGTACGGTACTTACCATTACCTCATGGCAAGTAGGTTAGGTCTCCTTCCACCAGACCCCCCGGGCACCATCAACGACATATACCGTTGCGATGGTATCTTACTGAGACAAAGCTGGGCAGACAAAGTATGCTGGTTGCTGCTAGAAGGTGCACAGTGGCATTATGTCCTCTCAGACGCATCCAAAGGTAACTGCGCCATATTCCCGAATGATCTATGCCCTCAGGATACTCGCAATCCTAAATCATCCCGAACAATCGAGCCAGGTCCCCAGTTCCGCACAGTATCCAGCTCAGGGTGGAGCCAGAGCACTCCCCAACATCCTCTAGGGCTCTCGCATCGCTGCAGTGAGGAATGACGAGTACAATTATGGGCGCATATCTCGCGTCGCTTGCTGTAGAATATCTGAGCCCGTGCTCGGCTCTCGCAGTTTACGCTCAGCAGCGACGATGGTACCATTTCCTTCGGCAGATGAACCGAGGAGTTGACGATGATGATCTCGCGTTTGGTCGCCCCGCGTGCCAGAGCAGCGTCGCAGATCATGAGCCGCAGTTCGACTGGCAGACGGGTGAATGGGAAAGGCTCCATGATGGAACGTCGTGTGTTCTTGATGGTGGCGTCGGCGCAACGACGAGGTATGTGGTGCAAGCTCCTGGCTCTGGCGGTGAAGATGGGTATGGGACAAGGGCATGGAGAGATTGAAATTTCGAAGTATGGGAATGTCATTATTTACGTGAAGAGTCTCTTTCATCCTGAATCGCCCTTGGGTATAATCACCCGCTGCCTGACACATGATTAGGCCTACTATAAGAGGGAAGTGGATATCACGGTACTATGTTAGGTCTATTTGCTTCTTGGACGATCCTCTTGTGGCTTATCTGTAATAGAAACGGGTGGGTCAAGGGGAATAAAGGAACAGGGGAAGGGGTAAATCTCCAAGGGATCAAGGCTCCCAGAACGTCGAGCAGAAGATTCTGGTTGATGCTGGATGAATTCTCAACACCAGGCATCAGGATGATCGAAGCTGATGGGATTGATGCCGATACTCGTTACATCGACCTGCCGAGGTTGTTCGCGGCAGGGTTCCCGAGCCCCTGAGGACCAGTCCTGCGGGCTTTAAAAGGGGAGGGGAGGTGCTTAGGCTACATCGCCAGTCACATACCGAGCAATGGAGAGAACACTGGCCAAGAGCTGATTTGTTCAAACGCCTTACTCGCCGCCCCAATCCAGGGTTAGTCATCTGAGGTTGCTTTCTTCACGGGGCATCCCGAAGGAGGTGAGATTGGATCGTGGACTGTGGACGCTAACGTAGGGCTGCTTGGTACTTTTCTCTACTTCAGTAGTATATTGAGGGCGTGGTTCCCCATGCCGGAGTTTGGTATATGGCAGTACCGCGTCAGTCGATCTTGGTACGCGATTACGGCACAGCAGTACGCCAAGGCAGTACACGCTAGAGTTTCCATACCAGTTTCTCGCGGCCCATTAACTTGAGCCCTAGATTCTCTAGGAAAGATTTAGGTACCTACGGTACCTAAGGTAAGTAACGATAGTCCAGGGTACATGTACGGGGCAGTGTCCAGCCGAAGTCAATGCCGGATGCTTTGTTACACCTCCACATCATCTACATACCGTCAAGGAACACGCTTGATGGGACACGTTGAGCAGCTCAGACACCCTTGCTTAATAAAGCGCAAACCAAAAGCCCACCACAGCGCCTGGGTCCCCGGACTGTCGTCCGTCAGGGATCGCACGAAGCGCGTCGATGTCCTTGACGGGTGGTGTTTGCTCCTCCTCATCGGCTATCCTGAAATCCGCAAGCTAAGCCTTTCTTCCCGTCATAACCATCGCCCCCGCCTCACCACCACCAACAGCACCACGGCGACCAAGGAGAGGAGAGGCAGTGATGGGATAGGGCGAGCAGACGCAGTCCAAGGCCCGCCGCTATGGAAGCCCATGCGGCCCACCACTGACCACTCTCATCCCCCGCAAGAAGACACCTAGACACCCACATAAGCGCGTAGGCGCAGCGCGCAGCCGCCCGGTGAACGAAAGATCCGGCATGGTAGGGCGGGAGAGCAGATGCGATAGGGCAAGCAAGCGCGGACGCCGTCCCGGCCGTACGGTACCGGTAATTTCAAGCCCACCAGCCCACCCGGGACAGGAAAACTCAAATCACCAATAACCTTACGCGCACGGCCCGCGATTCCTCCCCAGGCTAGCTGCTTACCAACCTTGTACCGGTAAGCACCTTGTATCGGTAAGCACTAGACGCGGCAATGCTAGCCGAGCGAGAGATGAATGGACACACGCACGATCCCTTACATGCGGATGTCGGTACGGAATCCCTTGTCGGGGAGGAAGTACCGCACTGTAGGTAAAGTAGGGAGGTAAGTGGGCAGATAGGGGGTGCGGAATAGCAGCGCGGGGAAAGATAGATAGAGAGCCGGAGCGAGGACGGGTAGAGAGGACGGGTAGAGAGGACGGGTAGAGAGGACGGGTAGAGAGGACGGGTAGAGAGGACGGGTAGAGAGGACGGGTAGAGAGGACGGGTAGAGAGGACGGGTAGAGAGGACGGGTAGAGAGGACGGGTAGAGAGGACGGGTAGAGGGACTCGGAGAGACAGACATGAAATCGGGCCATGGGTAATGGGGGCAGACACCCGCCCACGCGTGTATGTAGACACGTCTACAACTGTACGGACATCCGTCGTGTCAATAATAGAACAATACATGTAGGATGCTGACAGTCACGCAAGACGAAGCATAACCGCATACCGTGCCCCGCGCGCGCATCGCGCGTCTGGGCATCGCAGTGTCAGCAAGGTTGCAGGCATCATATCGTGCTTCCTCATTTTTGTCAAATAATCCCGACCTAATTCCGATACGTCGCCATCTCTTACACGTAGGACCTTGCTTACAGCCTTACCCATGGAGTAGGGTGTCAGGTAAGCACTTAAAATACGTAAAGTCCTGCGCAGGAAGTAAGTAAGCAGACTGAGCTGAGCCGCAAAAGCCCACGACAACCGTGCTTCGCCCGTCAGCTTATGTAGGTACTGTACCATGGCGGTGTGCCTTCGTCTCTAGACTGTAGTCGCTGGGGGTTGACCATGGAGCTGTGGGGTCCTGGAGAGGACTTCGCTTTTTATCGTTTGCGCTGTTCGTTTTACTAGGTCCCTTATTGACATATCGGCGTCACATATCGCCTGGACCTTCCACCGTTTTGGTTTTTCCCCCTTTTCCTTATTTCCAACCACCTTCCCGACTCGGGTAGTTTCTAGTACACCCTCAACGACCAGCGACCAGTGACTGTGACCTAAACCCCTCGTCATCCACTAGCATATATGTGAATGCGTGTGTGTATCCTCATACAGATAGCGACGATGGGGCTCAATGCCTATGCCTATGCCAGCTCTCCAAGTACTGTATTAAGGAACGTAGTTGCCACTAACGGCAGAGTATATACTAGCGCACAGCGCGTACGACGACGCCAGTATCCAAGTCTGAAAAAAAAAAAAAAAAACGGCAATGCCCCACTGCATAATGCAACGCCCCCATGGTATCGTAGTGCTCTGGTATTGTGTTCTTGCGAGACGGACTTCTTCTACAACTGTAACATGATAAAGGAATGGTCATTACCTCGGACTCCTGTCGCTTGCCAGACCTGGAAAAGGGAATAGACCGCCTTGGTTGAGAATCGCGGGCCCATGTGATGGCCTAAGGCGGGCAAAGAGGAAAAAAGGAAGGAATTGAAGGAAGGGGTATCTTTTGGAGGCCACCGGCGCCGGCTCGACGGGAAGTGGTAGCAGTGTGGCGGTCATGGATGCCACCCTATCGAGACATGTGTTGATGGTGGAGCGGCTGGTGGTGGTGGCCGGGAGCAATGGAGGTGTACATCTGGTGGTCGCTCCTCTTGGGGAGCATCTGCTCACAAGCCTGCTTCGCCACGCGTGCGCTCTGGTCCTCCCCGCGCTCCCTCTCCGCGCCCGCGTTTTGATGGTCCATCAGCGGCGCGTCCTCCATGCCATGGTGCATCGGCTCCGGCTCGGGGGTCTCGTGCTCGGGCTTGCAGAACTGCTCCAGTAGGTACTTCTCCTGCTCGGCTGTCACAGTGTGGATGTCGCTGCCGTCGTTGTAGTGGGGCATGTGGTGTTGGCTGTTCATGGACGCCGCCCATGGCCTGCTGGGCGATTGCTTGCGGATGGCGTTCTTGCGTTGCCGCCGCGGCTTCTTGGCCGGCTCCTCGCTGTCGAACTCGTCGATGCCCAGCTCGACCAGCCGCTTGACGACGTGCCCGTCTTTCCAGTCCCAGGCCTGGCAGCCGCCGTATTCCTTCATCAGCTTGAGCAGCTCCGTGGGGCGGCGTCGCTCGTATTCCTCGACGGCTCGTCTCAGAGCCTCGTCCTGAAGAGGTTATGTAAGCATTTCTATCTATTTGTGAGATTCGTACGGGGCTATCTGCTCACCTCGTCCGCGGGCCACTCTGCGTACTTGAGTACCGATCTTGTGAGCGACATCTGAAGCGTTGCCCTCTCTTTTGGTTCGAATCGGTCTGAAAATGCCGTGCAGATCTGATCCCACATGCCCTTGCCCTTGTCATCGTTCATCTGGCACCTGAGCTCCAGGAGATAGCGGTCTTCCTCCTTAGCGCCTTCTTTCAAGGTGAGTCTCTTACTGGGGGCACGGTTCGACCCCGGTGAGGTACCACCGCCCAGGGAGTCTTGCTGGGCACCTGAGTTCGGGACCGCTCGGCTTGGAGCACGCGCTCGTTTTGTCGATCGTCCTGATCGTCCCGTCCTGGAAGACTTTGAGGTTTTTCTCGAGCTATATGAGGACGGCGCGAAGTCAATCATTACGTGCGGTACGTGGTGGCCTAGGTGCCCGTAGTGGTGTTGTAGGCTGTTTATTGGCGTCGCAGATGATCCGAGGTCGCGCGGGTCGGGAGACTGCTGCAGAATCGGTACATGGGACGGAGCGGCCGTAAGTGGCATCTGGGAGGTAGTATGCATCAAGGCTGACGGGGCCACACCTGGGAGCTGTTGTACTGGGAACAGAGACTGATGAGCCATATGAGGTGACATGTCATCTTGAGGCTCTGTACTAGACACCCCGTAAGATCCCCAGTGGAAGTGGGCTGTCGGGTCCGGCATCGTCCCTTGCGCCTCTTGAGAGTCGGCGGACTCTAAGCCGTGCATCTCCATTATGTCTGCCGTAGTAGATTGTAATGGCATAGGTGCAGTCGAGCTGCTTGTGTCATGCACCGGGTAGTCCCAAGGGCGAGACGTCCCAGGCGGTGTTGGCTGTTGGGAGTTGCCCGGGTGTTGGTTGTAGGAGTGCATCATCTTGGAAGACCTTTCTGACATTGATGGAGAACCACCCGAGACTGGGGTAGGCAGATCAGAGTCATATGGTGTTACCGTGTAAGTGTTAAAGGGAGCCACCTGTGTAGTTAATGAGCTTCCAACTTTGCTCACGAGGTGACCTGAGTCTGGAACTTAGAACTTACAGAAGTATAGGGTGGTGGGTTATCGTGGGTCCCGTAGGCAGAAGCAGACGGAGTTGTGCTGGAACGTCTACCTTCGGGCAGGCCCGAGTCTCCGGAGAGACTCTCGCGCATATGAGTCGTTCTTGAAGGCATATATGCGCTGTCATCCATGTCTATTTGGACCGTCGAGTGTTGGAGGTAATGTGTTGTTGGTGCGTACCCGAGTTTTGAGAAAGGACTAGATGGAGGTGTTGAAAGTGCCGAGGGGATATATGCACGCATGGATTGGGAAGTATCTTGGGGGAAGAAGAGGAAGAGTATGGTTGAGCTTGTTCAGGTAAGATATGTAGAAATCTGCCTTTCAGGGCCGCGGCCATGTAAGTGCAAGGCGGAAGATTGGAGACAAAGAGAGACCAAAGCCTTGTATCATACAGGTTGGTTGATGCTCAGGAAGATGGGAGAGGTATGTATTATGTATATGTGCTCCTGGGTAGCTAGCTACCACATGCCTGAAGGCCAGTCCCCTACGAGTAGCCGAGTCTCGGTGCTTGTAAGTAGCTGTCTACATGCACCTTGGGTAAGACAAGGGGCCAGGTACCTACCTACCTTGGCGTATGAAGTACTCCCTGACCAGGGTGGCTTGCATACTGCGTGGCCAGGCCGATGGGGGCTTGGATGGATACTGGGACAGGTAGACTGCTGCATCGACCTCTGCATTTGTAGCCGCCGAGTATATCAACGCAGGGTCATTATGGACTTCAGGATGATAATTTGACGGTAGGGTGCGAAGCCGACTTCAGCCCTTCAACACCTCCAGGACCAGCTCACCCTTACCACTGAGCGCCCCAGGAAATGTATTCAGAGGTATAGTATAGTAGAAACAGGCTCAATGAGGCCTCGATGATCCTAGAGGTAATGTAGAAGTATATTGCTACACATATCATTGGAGGGGCAATGAGTCGGGGTACTGAAAGAGCGGGCGATAGGCGTGTCAGAGGAGAGCAACCGGTTACTCAGGCCGCCAGTGTCTGGGGACGCAAGTACTCGGTGGATCAAGCCACTCAGAAATACGTAGTCGACCAAGTAGACGGACCGTTCGTACACTGTGCGCAAGCCTACCTTGTAGAGGTAGTCTTCCGGTTCTGGGCAAAATTAGGCACGGCACCCAGAGAAATAGGTGTGAGGTCAGGGACAGTCACAGGGTGGAGGGGTGAGTGGAACTCGGTACCAGGGTGCGGACTCAAGCACTTGGCTGCAGTGTATGGGAGCGGAGTCGATCCCCAGTCTCGACACTCAACGGGTATGTACAAGGCGATGCCGGTAAGGCGGTTTGGCGTTAGGTGACGTGACAATAATTTTGTGCCCTGTCGATAGCATATTCCTCCTACTCTATGGCCTTCTGACGATTCGTCCCCGAATCTGTAAGAATCAGAGAGCCGGAGAAAGTGATGTGTGGCCGGTCCGAGGAGTTGTGTTACCAATGGTCCAAAATGAATAAGGCAAAGAGATACACATTCGTTCCCACGTCTGCATTGCATGCTCATAATGATTGATCAGTCTGGAATCATGCATCGTAAGGGACGGCTGGCATGGATACCAGTTCATACAAGATGAGGCCATGCGGGATGAAGAGGCCAAACGGGGATAGGAAATAGGGTAGCTCGGGGACTTGAAGCGCAGGTGGATGGATGGGCGAGTGGCGTGGAATCGTTCCTTGCGCGGCTCTTGAATCGCTGGGACCAATGAAAGTCGCAACGCTCCTCACCCGTCCGTCATAATGCAGAGATGAGGGGATTCGACCAGAGTACTCGAGATCCTGCTGGGCTGGTCATCCCCGACAGGAGTGTGCCACGACGATCCCGCAGATTGGCTGCTTACCGAATGTTTTCCTTTTGCGGGGCAACCTGAGGACCACGATAGCAGAGATGGGGGTATAGGGCTGCTTCTGGGCATCGTGTCTTAACCAACACGCGGTTAGCGCTACAGAAGCAACTTAATCGATCGTAATTCTTCACGCCAGCCGCCTATAGCGTTGATTAACCGCGATGCGCAGCGGCTTCTCCCCTGATAGCATATTGCAGGATCGACCAACCTCGACTGAAGAGGCCGCCATACACAACGTCAAGAGTTGATTCGCTCGAAGCCGGGAGTGCCGCTCCGTTCGAGAAGATGCAATGGAACGCTTTTGGAAAAGACGCACCGGGAGGCCCCCAGCGGTGACGAGCTACGACCCAGAACAAAGTACCGGCGGGCCACATACGGAGGCAGTAGATGATCCCGATGGTAAGTCGGGTAGGCATGGGCTTCGGTCGGATGGGCAACGATTGGCCCGCCTGCGATGCGGTCCATGAATATGAATAAGAGGTACCGAGGCCGGCGGATATGCCAGGAAATTGAGGTAGGGGGTATCGAGATTGGTGGGCAAGGATGCGTGAGAAGTGGGCACAATGCGGTTTGAGCTTCGAATCGGGAGAGGTGGGTTGATCTGATTCGGGCAAAATACTTCATACACGAACCGAAAACAGACAGTGATGGACGGCATAGGTGCCCCATCACTGCATCCAGTCTTGAGGGCCGATACATCCCGGGTTGCTCTCAAGGAGGGAGTGGGACGAGACGATGACTTGACTTGGCCTCCCCTACATCTGGACTGCTTGAGTCTTTCCGAGGTAATTAGCACAGAGTGCCACGGGTGTCCAGACTCCGGACAGGGAAGAGCTAAGTTGGCCAATCGCCGGGATATAGCTCGGCGGTAGCTAAGACCTAAAAATGAAAGAGATGGCCAAACCTCTCGGTAATAGCAACGTTACCGGCCTGTTTTTAATAAAGCATATGTTAAGTATGTAATAAATATAAAATCGACATATTTTAATCGAAAATAATTAAGGTAAAGCATAATAATCGCATCATTAAACCGCTGATATATAATTAAAATTATAATACAAATCTTAATTAAGGAAAAAATATACTTAATATGCGCTATTTATATTTCAATCCTTAATCATTTAATAACTTTTAAAAAAAGCAAAGCTGAATAATTCGTAACTTAATAGCTTTAAATGAAACTATACACACATATAACTTATTATTTGAAAATTATAAAATAACAAGCTTACTACTTTAAAATACTTGATATAAATAATACCGATATTAATAATAATAAATTAATAGAAACCCATATATTTAATATGATAATTAGAAAATAGAAAAAGAAGTTTATTTAATTTATACGTAATATATATTAACGGTTCATAAAAATTATATTTAAATATAACGAAATAACAATCTTAGATAAAAAATACAATATCCGTTTGAAAGATACCTACGATTATTATATATCAATACTTTATTTTAAAGGAAATAAAAAAGCAAAAAGTATTTATATATCTATTTAGTCTAAAAAAATTAAAACTATAAATAAATATCAAATCTAACAATTATTTGAAAACATAATATTTAAAGTATATACGCACTTAATATATACTTAATATATATTAACTATATGTAATTAACATTCTATCGGATATTAAAGAAAATAAAAAGCAAAGTGTAAATAAAGATATTTAATTAAGTGGAAGAAGGATTTAATCTATACCGGTTATATACTACCTATATATCAATTATACATAGAAAAACTATTAATAAAAATTAGTATTATCAATATATATATATAACTATTAAATACTAAAAATATATTAATTTCCCGAATTCTTTTAGTTTTATTCAATCCCAATAAAACAGTAATTTATAGCGTAATTAATTCGTAACGAAAAAAAAAAGGGAAAAATCAATCTCGTTATACAAATAATAAAAAGTACTAGTAAATAATATATATAATCAACATATATTATAGACGCTTATTTTATATTCTAACTAACGTTATTGTCAAACCTTTTAACCTATATAAAAACGTTCTTATAAAAAAACGCTTATAAAAACCTTATAACTAATAATAATAATAATTAAAATATCGACTATTATATATTTAAATAAAACAATATATATTTTATATATACTTGATATATATATCATAAATATTTATTAAACGCAAAGTTATTAAATCAGGTGCTTTTATTTTAACTTTAAAAAACTACAACAGTTTGTTAAAACTTTATGTATAAAAACTTTTTAAATAAATATTAAATATTTAAACCGTATATATTAAACCTATAACTTATTAAAAAACCGCTATATTAAAATTAAGTTAAAACAAATATACATTTTTGCGGTAAGTTTATTCGTTGAACATATATTTAATATACAGTTAATACATATAAACTTTAATCTCTTTTTTAAAAAAAAATTTTTAATCTAAAAAATATATAAAATAACGTACGACACATATATACCGCTACGTATAAAACGCTATCTTTAGATCTTTATTATAATGTATAATCCCTATATATATATATTTTGCTTCTTATTTTAAAAAATTAAAACCCCTTTAAAAATCAGATAATCTAGTATAAACTATTAAAGTATGGATTTTCACCCTTTATATATTACCTATATACTTGATATGTAGATATTATATATTATACATTGATAATTTATTTTAAATGTGCGTTAAAAAATTCGTCGAATGTTTAACGTTTACCTTTTAACTATTGTTGAATTACATTTAACATGTATTCAATATATGGCCATGATATAACAGTATAGACGCTTTCTTAATACTTTATAAGCTTATAGTTAATTAATTAATAAGTTTTAGTACGTTTTCATTGTATATAATACGTATATTTAATATATATTTTATAAGAATTAAACGTAAAAAAAGTTAAATATCAAGCTTTCGTCTCTTTCCTAATTTATATGCAACATTTACAAATTTAATAACCAACAATAGCTCGTTAT